GACAGAAGAACCCACACACAACTGTCACACAAAGACAGAAAGAAAAACCACAAAAGCCAATACAAAACTCCACGTAAACCCACACAAAACTCCACATAAGCCCACACAAAACTCCACATAAACCCACACAAAACTCCACATAAACACACACAAAACTACACATAAACCCACACAAAACTCCACATAAGCCAATACAAAACTCCACATAAGCCCACACAAAACTCCACATAAGCCCACACAAAACTCCACATAAACCCACACAAAACTACACATAAACCCACACAAAACTCCACATAAGCCAATACAAAACTCCACATAAGCCCACACAAAACTCCACATAAGCCCACAAAAAACTCCATATAAGCCCACACAAAACTCCACATAAGCCCACACAAAACTCCACATAAACCCACACAAAACTCCACATAAACCCACACAAAACTCCACATAAGCCCACACAAAACTCCACATAAGCCCACACAAAACTCCACATAAGCCCACACAAAAACTCCACATAAGCCCACACAAAGCTCCACATAAGCCAATACAAAACTCCACGTAAACCCACACAAAACTCCACATAAAAACACACAAAACGCCACTTAAACCCACACCAGAACGAAAAAAAAAAGCCAACTAAATCAATCAACATGATTGTCTTGTGTAAAAAATCATTGTTTTAAAACCAACAAATCTGTGCGTCTGTCTACCTGTCTGTCTGTCTGTAACTTGACTCTAGAATTTGATCCATGTGTAATTCATACGACCCCCCCCCCCCCCCCCCGCGTGACAACCTGGCTTTAAGCAGTACCTCAAGAAAGGTTGTTGTCTGTGTTTCCGTCTTTAGCGTGCTGAATTTATTGTTTTGTTGGTTCAAGGTCAATTCAATGCCGCTTGTATACCAGTTTGTTGGTACATGTAGACTAGACCCGTGTACTTGTACTTTAGACCCGTGTACTTGTACTTTAGACCCGTGAACATGTACACCAGACCCTTGTTGTTCCTGTACATTAGACACGTATAGACCCGTGTACTTGTACGCTAGACCCGTAACCTGTACATTAGATCAGTGACAAGATTTGACCCGTGTACCTGTACATCAGACCCGTGTATCTGTACACTAGACCCGTGTAGACCCATAAAACCTGTACACTAGACCCGTGACAAGACTTAAACCCGTGTTCCCATTGACCCGTGTTTCCCATTGACTCGGGTCACACCACCTCGGTAGATGAAAACCTTGCAAGTTGCAGAAGCATGTTTTATCGGAACTTGTTTTAAGTTCCAGAACATGTCGCCAGTTCTTGGAACATGTTTATCAATTCCCAGAAGTTGAGATAAAAAGAGATTAACGTTAATCTCGGGTCTCGTGCTGTCGATGACGTCACACACAGAAAGGTTTGCCCGTGAGTAGATTGTTGAAGTAAAGACAGCTGAGGGTGGGGGGGGGGGTGGGGGGGGTACAGATACGACAGGAAATAAAATTGTTGGAGAAAAAAAAATCATTTTCATTTAGCTAATTAGCCGTGACGATTGTGTCGGTAATTAAATTTTTAGCATTCCACGGCCAACATTGATAACCACCGAGTGTAGAACGTCCAACCATAAAAACCCGGAAGTCTGATATCGTCTGCTGGTCCAATTACGTCACCACCAGCTTGGGAAATGAGATTTGCGGGTATGATATCTACCTGTGGAGGTGTGTGTGTGTGGGGGGGGGGGGGTGTATGAGGGGGTGGGGGTGACGTTTGTTATCAGTCTGTCTGGAACAATCTGACCACACAAGATCGATTTCGATTAGTCTGAGTATTGATTGGAAACTTGTGGGGGGGCTATTGTCGTGTCATTAGAATTGTTGCTGTGCAGGGACAATAGTTGTGTCATTAGACTTGTTGCTGTGTGTGTGGGGGGGGGGGGCTGGGAGACACCGTGTAGGGACGGGGAAGACAAGGAGTGGTGTTCTGTGTGGGGTAAATCTGTCGTTCAAAAAGTTGGAGAAATTCTGGTGTTCAAATAGTTTGAGAAATTCGGTCGTTCAAATAGTTGGAGAAATTCTGTCGTTCAAATAGTTGGAGAAATTCTGTCGTTCAAATAGTTGGAGAAATTCTGTCGTTCAAATAGTTGGAGAAATTCTGTCGTTCAAATAGTTGGAGAAATTCTGTCGTTCAAATAGTTGGAGAAATTCTGTCGTTCAAATAGTTAGAGAAATTCTTATGCCATAAACACGTTGTTAAAAAAAAAGGTCCATAGCGATGTGATTCATTGAATCGTTGAGATTTAAACCTAAACCTCACCTTAACCTTATCCTGGTTGTTTTTACGCTCATGATGAACAGGTGAGTAACCCACCTGTTCTAGATGTCATAACCTTGACCTGCTTAGTCATGCGACACAAACAATGACTGCATTGATTTATTTGGTTGGTGGATGTTGTGGTTTAGTTTAACTACATCAACATGACGGCTGCTGTGGGTTTAGTGTGTGGGTTTAGTGTGTGGGTCTACTGTGTGGGTCTAGTGTGTGGGTCCAGTGTGTGGGTCTATGGTGGGGATTTATTGTGTCGGTGTGTTTTGTAGATCTTTTTATGGGTGTGGAAACTGCTTTGGTCTGCTGTTAAGAATTCACCAGGTGTGTTGTGTGGTTGACCAGGTGTGTTGTGTGGTTGTGTGGTTGAGCAGGTGTGTTGTGTGGTTGAGCAGGTGTGTTATGTGGTTGACCAGGTGTGTTGTGTGGTTGACCAGGTGTGTTATGTGGTTGACCAGGTGTGTTATGTGGTTGACCAGGTGTGTTGTGTGGTTGACCAGGTGTGTTATGTGGTTGACCAGGTGTGTTATGTGGTTGACCAGGTGTGTTATGTGGTTGACCAGGTGTGTTATGTGGTTGACTAGGTGTGTTATGTGGTTGACCAGGTGTGTTATGTGGTTGACCAGGTGTGTTATGTGGTTGACCAAGTGTGTTATGTGGTTGACCAGGTGTGTTATGAGGTTGACCAGGTGTGTTATGTGGTTGACCAGGTGTGTTATGTGGTTGACCAGGTGTGTTATGTGGTTGACCAGGTGTGTTATGTGGTTGACCAGGTGTGTTATGTGGTTGACCAGGTGTGTTATGTGGTTGACCAGGTGTGTTATGTGGTTGACCAGGTGTGTTATGTGGTTGACCAGGTGTGTTATGTGGTTGACCAGGTGTGTTATGTGGTTGACCAGGTGTGTTATGTGGTTGACCAGGTGTGTTATGTGGTTGACCAGGTGTGTTGTGTTTTTGAGTGTTGAGTTCAATAAATGTAACTGTACACTTCTTCCACCACCCATCGACCCGTCGTTATAAAACGTCTCGATATCACGTGTTACAGATGATTTAATCTCCGTGTTGCTAATGTATGTGTGTGTGCACGTGCCAGTTAGTGAGGGAGTGAGTACATGGTAGGCCCATATGCAGGTCTGCGCTTGAATGGGGTAATGAGGTTGTTATTCAGAAAACAGATTTTGTTAGGCATAAAAAGGTAATATGAAATTAACATCTACGATTGTGATTGCTTACACTTCTTACATTTTCTGAGTGCTTACTAATGGCAGAACTTTCTTTTGCTTTGAACAACTTCTCTTTTTCTCTCAAAATAGGATGTAATTAATTCGTTTAGAATCCGTATTTTCAAAGTTTTAAAAATATAAAATTTAGAGGGAAATACAATTTTCTATAGCGCTAATTCCAGCAGACTCACCAACCTTAAAATATTTGCTTTTGTTCACGGAATATGCACATAGCTATTCCTCATTTTATTATAAACGGGCTTAAATACTTAAACAACGTCTTGAAATATTGTCATTTAGATGTGTGTACTTATACGACGATCATGAATGTTGTGTACAGCTGAGTGTACATGCATGACGAACATAAAGTCATGAATGTTGTGTACAGAAGAACGTCACAAACATGTGTGAACGAATGACGTCATTGAAAAAGAAAACCTACTGATCTTATACCCCCTCCCCTAAGCCTCACCCCACCCCACTTCAAAAAGCCCACTACATAAACTGGTCTATCACAGTGAATTGTGACAACAAGCCGTCAATACACAGCCTATCCGGTGAACAGGGAATTTTATCCTCCCAAAAATTTTACCTGTGGCAGAAGTCAGCGGTGACAGTTCGCGTCACACCCAGCCGGGGAACAAGCAACACCCATAGAAATCACACGGGGGGGGGGGGGGGGGCTGGGCTTTTCCTTATCGGGTTTATGCAAACAAATCCATCTCGTATGCTAATCAGATCTACACGCCTCGTATACACGGGACATTCTACATCTCATTAAAATATGAGTGCTTGCATCAAGTGTTGAATGGTAAATATTTTCATCTCCTGAGCTAGGTAATAATTAATAGGTAATTTGATTAAGTCACAGCTAATTGAGTAGTAACTAATTAATTAGGTACCAGCAAATTAGGTCACGGTTAATTATAAAGTACTTTATTAAGTAACAAACTAGTTGGTTAGAAACTAATTAGGTCACAACTAATTAGTTTGCGACTAATTAGGTCACAACTGATTAGATATTAAATTAAGAAAAACACCCATTGGATAAACAGTAATTAGGCAACGCCTTCTCAGGTAATAACCAATTCGGTCATTGTGTATTTAGTGAAAATAGTCAATGGCTAAAACTGTTTCCGGAAAAACCTGTGCTAGATTCTATAGACTAGAGTTTTTATACACTTTGTAAACAAACACATGTCTTGAAAACATACTGGAACATGTAGAAATAAAACACTGGTATACATAACAAAAACATAACAAAAACTTAACAAAAACTTAACAAAAATATAACAAAAACATGCTCTACCTTTTGGTACTAATAAACATTCTAAACATAAATGTAAAAAAAAATTACTTCTGTACCCCAGTATTCACAAATGTGATACACCTTATTCTAATCCAGTCCATGTGAATACTGGGCAATTTTTTTTTAAGTCGCCGATTGACTTACCATTTTTTTCTTTATTTACAGAATCGGAACCATCGGCCAAGTTGTTTTTATAAATCGTCAAAAGGACAACCAGCACCACATTCAGCACCACCAGAACGACAACATAGCCTGCACCACAACAACGACAAAATGTTCCGCTAGACGCCCTTGACGCAAGGAAACTTGTCATTTGTTGCTTCAAATTTTTGTGACGCTATTCTCATCTCCGTCACGCCAAGATGCGGCGCTGTTAAAATCTACCAAACTACGTCACCTACCTGTAGAAAGTACAACTACACTAACATAAAATGTCTTTCTTTTCCGGGGGAAAACCCAAGGAAAAAGACCCCTTCGCCACGAAAACCCAGTTTTACGTGGAGTTTCTGGGGTGGATGGAGTGTAGGGGGGTCAGGGGTCATATGTACACGGAACCGGTCATACAGGAGTTGAAACAGAGGAACCGGAAGCCGGAGAGACCGCCCACATTAACCATACAAGTAAGTAAGAAGGTTCCCTCGTTGTCTCATATACGGCGCCATATTTAAGCAAAGTTTTGATTTCATATGTATAGTGGACAAATACTCTTTAAGACCAAACGACCCATTTGCCAGATGAAGTAGAGCTCATCTGTTTCTTTGACCGAAGCATATATGGTATACTCATCGTTATGCAGGCTTCCGTCCTTCTCCGAGATAATAGAAAAATTAATTAGGTGAGAGTCAGCAATTAATTAAAAAGAGCCATAGTTTTGGTGTTTTGACCGGAGTTCTCTAACGATACACCCGTTGTATTTTGTTTCGTTAAATTTCTATCTAGAAATTTAGGGATAGTTTTATAACACACAACTCGCCAATATAAAAACCTGTAGGCAACACACAGACAGATGGCACACACACACACAAGAACACACACGCATTCACATAAACACACGAACACGCACAGACGGTACCAATCCACACACACACAAGCTTAACCAACACACTCACTTAAGAACGCACACACACACTCACACAAACCCACACCACAGGAACAAAACCCCCACAACGTTTCATAACCAACACACACTCACACAAACCCACACCACAGGAACAAAACCCCCACAACGTTTCATAACCAACACACACTCACACAAACCCCCACCACAGGTACACAAACCCCACAACGTTTCATCAATGTAACTCTACACGTGTACAGGCCCACGTGTTCACCTGCTTGTGATGGATTACATTTCGCCCGTGTAGAGGTATTAGGATAATCCATGTCACGTGATCTCCCTTCTGCCTTAATCCCCGGCACATTAAACCACAATTCATGTCGAACAACAGCCCGGGGGGGGGGGAACTTTGTTTCATCTGCTGGTTTTGTTCTACAGTCATGTTTACAGTCAAATTAACAAACAAACCTATCTACAGTCCAGTTAACAAACACAACTTCACTCAATTGTTTGAACATACAAACGTACCAATGTGTTTTAGAAATTCATTATAAGTCTGCTATTGAAACTTTTCGACATAACATACTATTTTCTCTGCTGACAAAGGTTGTCGGGATGTATGCATACACGTGATATAGAAGATACGTGCTCAAAAATATTTTTTTCTAGGCTAATTTGGAGATCACTTATTTGATACAAGTTGCTTTGTATCTGAGAGTATTTTTCCAAGAATATTTTATACGTTAAACTCGACTAACTTGGCCAGATATATCTTAGTGTGAAATGCTCAAAGTGAAATTATTGTTTTAAAAAAAGGACCCTGGTAACATGGACTTAATAAATTATTGATTAAATAATTGATTAAAATAAGCCACAGAATGTAAGACAGACATATTTCTTTGCTACTATGTGTTAGGTCATTACTTTTACACCATATTTATTTTTTAAAACCTAACACCACAAACGTATCTGTTTCATGAGATATTCGCTTTGTCCTACACCTGTTTCATAAGATATTCGCTTTGTCCTACACCTGTTTCATGAGATATTCGCTTTGTCCTACATCTGTTTCATGAGATATTCGCTTTGTCCTACACCTGTTTCATGAGATATTCGCTTTGTCCTACATCTGTTTCATGAGATATTCGCTTTGTCCTACACCTGTTTCATGAGATATTCGCTTTGTCCTACACCTGTTTCATGAGATATTTACTTTGTCCTACACCTGTTTCATGAGATATTTACTTTGTCCTACACCTGTTTCATGAGATATTTACTTTGTCCTACACTTGTTTCATAAGATATTCGCTTTGTCCTACAGGTGAGCAAGAAGGACCTGAGGATCACCCAAGAGGTGGAGGACCACAAGAAGAAAGGCATCAAGAAGATCAAGTTCCCCACCATCCCGGCCAGGGACATCACCTACGTGTACCAGGCACGCCACCCCGACGGCCGGCTGGACGACATCGTGGCCTGCATCTACCTCGGCTACATGCCCCGGACGCAGAAGCTCGTCCACGTCCACGTCTACCGGTTCGACGAGGCGAACACGGCGAACCTGTTCGCGCGTCAGATCGGGGTGCTGGTGGAGGGCAACAGGCAGCACATCCTGGACATCGAGAACAGCCTGGCCATGAAGGGCGAGATCGACGAGCCAAGCCTCATCACGCTCGACGCCATCCTCGAGCACCACACCACCGACTCCGCCGTCGGCTCGGCCTCCAGCGCTTACAGCGACGACGAACCTCCGACTTTCGGCAGCGACGAGATCGACCCTGACCTTCAAAGTTTAAATGACGTCATACCTTTCGACAACGTCGCCGACGAGCTGCGCTTCCGGTTTAAGCTGGAGGATTCCCCGCTTCTGCTCCCGCCAAAGGATTACGATACCATTAGCCGCGCGCACGGAAATCTGGCCAAAATCAACCAGAGGCGTTGTCTGAACATGAACATTGTCGGCCCGATGGCCATCAAGGAGAGCTTGTCCAAGGAGAGCGGCGTGGATTCCATCTCCCCCACAAGCGACACGTCCAGCACTAAAACCGACTTCAAAACCTCACCCAAACAGCAGCACAAATCTTCCCTACCTCAGCACGGGGTTCTGACCAAACAGACGTCGAAAGAATCCATGCAGATACCTCTAAAAAAGGAATCCACCAAAGGCAGCCAGCACTCCGGCAGTACCTCCCCGGGAACGCCCCCGAAGTCCGGGAAAGATTTTGTGTACCCTCCCAAAGTGAAGAGCCCGCCCGCCAGCCCTAAGCTGTACCGTCAGCCCGTCCGGCAGAATTCCCAACCCACCCGACCCCAGCCCGACCCCCGGTACCGAGACGACCCCCCGGCCCACTACTACCCCAACAACGACTCGGATGACGTGTACACCAGGCACAACAAACTCTCCCGACCCCCCGGGGACCTGCTCGACGAAATCCCCCCGGACTACAACGACGATGACGTCATTGACTCCCACAACGGCCGCTTCTATCAGCCCGTGCTCACGCGCAGCATGCCCGCTGACGTCATTCGCGCTGAGATGGGCGGCGGCTCCAGGCCCAACAGTGGGGACTCGCGGCCCAACCGGCGCAACGGCTCCGTGCCCTACCCTGGCGACTACCCCCCAGCCAACCAGAACAACTACCCCCCAGCCAACCAGAACAACTACCCCCCAGCCAACCAGAACAGCTACCCCCCAGCCAACCAGAACAACTACCCCCCAGCCAACCAGAACAGCTACCAACCCAGGCGCGTAAACTCCACTAAAAAATAACGTGAAAACAATGTACACCTGCCAACCTGACATCCCTACAGCTGCCAACCTCACATCCCTACAGCAATCATTCAAAACAAACAACAATCATGGAACATTTCGATACTGCATCAGATTCCTACATCGTCATCGATTTTTTAACATCGACCAATATTCCGAAATCAATGTACATTCCGATATAGGATACACGTTCTGAATCAACAAACCGAAAATAAACATCATTCCACCATTGATCGAATCCATCAACAAGTTAAACCAATTAACAAACCAACTAATCGACGTTCCAATATAAAACAGGATTTAAAATGTATTCAACATCCCCAGTTCATTAATGCATTATCTAATAACTTAATGTTGTGAATCTTATGGTAGGAACGGTGGAAAAACAAATGACCACGGCAAAACGACACTGATGTGTTTAAATTTTGTTATTTTATTTTTTTATATTTTGTTGTTTGTTAATTTTTAACTCATTATACATTTTAAAACTTTAAACTTTATTGTAAATAGAAGCAGATTTGTAAAAACACAAGGATCTTCGACATGATTAAAGAAAATGTATAACAGACAAACTATAAACCACTGAGTAATATATAAAAATATATTTGTGTGAGTTTGTATGTGTATGCGTGTGTGTTTGGCGAATATTTTTCACCATTGGATTTGACATGTTTCCGAAAGTTTTACCCATTTCTATAAACTGAATGCTAGATCAAGATTACTTTTTTTTTTTAGAAAATAGTTTTAAAATTTTTCTTCGAACCCTTTTGACTTTGTTATAATATTTTGATCACTATATACAACTTATTGACGTATTGACCGTAACTAAATTGAATGTTTAAACTATTAATATTTTCTTAACATTGCTGTTTTCTAATGTCAGGTTTGTGTGTATTGATCAATCCTTTGAAATTTCCTATGTAACATAATTTTTTATACCAAACTATCCCCTCCCCCCCCCCCCCCACATCCCCCAAATATACGATTGTTTTTTTTATCGTAAACTAGAATTGTCTTTTTAGCGTTCACCAAAATCAAAACATATTTTAAAATGTTATTCAAAGGTTCAAATAACAATATTAATGCGGTTATTTATTTATTTATTTTTTGTGGGGGGGGGGGGGGGGGGGAGGTGGGGGGATACCAATAGGTTAATGTTTTTGGAAAAAGCAATGAATGATGAATTTAAAGAAATTAATAATGAATTTCTAAAAGACTAATTCGCACCTTCGCTACAAATTTTAATTTCCCAAAATTTATTTAAAACGTATTTAAAATTGTGTGTTTGTTTGAAAATAGTTTTGTAAATTATTTTCAAAATTCCCTCACAATCATTAGCCGATTATTTGTTACTTTGTGTATCTGTGTAAGGTATTTGTAGATCGTTATGAACAGATAAACTGAGCATCGGGGTCGATGCATTGTTTAGATTGACTTTTTTATATTGATATTTAATGTATGTTATAAAAGAAGTTACCGGTAATTTATTTTTAATTTAATCAACTTCATTAGCAGCTACAAAAGTTTTTACTGAATGATGTATTGAACATAGACGAGGTGTTGGCTCGTATTTAGATTGCTGTGCAGACATGTGTAGGCCTACAGTCTATGTAAACTTGGTTTTTTTTTTTAAACGTAGTCTCCAGCGGCATAAATACTAATGAGATATGGTCGTTTCAATCACTGTTATGATTGAAACTAACATTCACATTGTACCATTCATTGTATGACAGGAATTCACATTCAGATTGTTACAATCATTGTGTGACAGGAATTCACATTCAGATTGTTACAATAGCTATATGATTGAAACTAACATTCAGATTGTTACAATACTTGAATAATTTGAACGTACAATTTTACTGAGTTCATTGCCCAAAAATTGAATGAATTTATCTTTGGTGAATTCACTGAACAGCGTGTTATAAATATTTGGTTCTCTCTCCTGGTATATAACCACGGTGTATTGTACATAAGGTTCGTGTTGTTATAAGCGGTTTGTTTAACGGGGTTTTGAAACGGCTAGATTTAAAATTGCCCTGAATCTCACTCTAAGCATGTTTTAAAAAAAAATCGTGTCTGTTAAAATTTGATGCAATCAGCTCCATCAAAACAGTGGTCTACTAAAGCAGCCATCTCTAAATTTGGACTTGGGAGCATCTTTTTGAAATATAAGTTAGAAGATGAAAACAAATTGAATCAAACAATAGGTGGCGATATAAATATGTTGACACAGACACTGCCTTCTAGCGCCGTTAGAATATTGTATTTATAGGCCCATATATATATATATATATATATATATATATATATATATATATATATATATATATATATATATATATATATATATATATATATAACCCTTGTTGTGGTTGATTGAAATTGAAATGTTGAGGTCATGTGACTGAAGCGACCAATGAACTGTGATATTACCTTTAGCCCTGTATGTGTATGATGTTACCAGTATGCCGTGTATGATGAATCATTCGCTTGATTACTTTACTAAATAAACGTATGTACACCCAACCTTTATTGTTATTTTCTACTGTCTGGTTGGTTGTGTGTAAAGCCTTTTATGTGTCACGTGGTATAGATGAATGACGAGAAAAAACAAACTAGCCACCGACTGGTGTGAATCTTGTTATACAGGTATGTTGCCTACCTGACAAAAAAAAAAAACTTTTACAGCATGCTTTTAAGGTCGAGAAATGTTTAATGTCCTAATCATTTCTTTGAGGTTCAGTGCTGTACAATATATTTCTATGCCCAGGCACCAAAACTATAGTTCTATGCCCAGGCACCAAGCATTGCTGTATAGTACTAGGCACAGGCACCAAGCATTGGTGTATAGTACTATGCCCAGGCACCAAGCATTGCTGTATAGTTCTATGCCCAGACACCAAGCATTGCTGTATAGTACTATGCCCAGTAACCAAGCATTGCTGTATAGTTCTATGCCCAGGCACCAAGCATTACTGTATAGTTATATGCCCAGGCACCAAGCATTGCTGTATAGTTCTATGCCCAGGCACCAAGTATTGGTGTATAGTTCTATGCCCAGGCACCAAGTATTGGTGTATAGTTCTATGCCCAGGCACCAAGCATTAGTGTATAGTTCTGTCCACATGCACAAAGAATTGGCGTGTAGTACTATGCCCAGGCACCAAGTATTGGTGTATAGTACTATGCCCAGGCACCAAGCATTGCTGTATAGTTCTGTCCACATGCACAAAGAATTGGCGTGTAGTACTATGCCCAGGCACCAAGCATTCGTGTATAATGCTGTGCAGAGGCAAGATACCAAGATAGCGCCCTATGTACAACATCACAAAATGTACTTAGCCCTCGAACAAACACCCACCATAGCGGCGACAGAAAGACTTGAATCAAACCAGGCCTGTTCGCGTGTGTTGACATAAGCATAATCTCAGGACTCTCACTTGTATAGCTCGCCCTGTATACCCTGCGGCCCTGTAACAGTACCCTGCGGCCCTGTCGCAGTACCCTGCGGCCCAGCAAAAGTACATGTTGGACAAACAGACCGCATACAAAACGACGGGCGTTGGCCGCTCTTTGATCGGTTGTTTCATTCATGAGGACGGTGGGGTGGGGTGACTGGTGGGGTGAAAGTGTGGAGTTTATTTACAATTGGTTGATTCGAAAAAATAGATAAAAGCTAGGGGGGGGGGGAGGGGGGTTGAGGTCACTTAAATATAGCATATTGAGCAATATTTAAATGATTCAGTGGGTGGTAAAAAAATAGCTTAATAATACAATTACCTTGTCTTTCACAAAATGTGTGGATGTCATTTTCTTGTATTGATTCGTATCTGAAGGGAGGGGGGGGGGGAGGAGAGGTGTTAAGTCAGTTGACCTTCCCTCCCACCCATTGGTCTTAGTGTCTTTGGTTTGGTGTGTAGGACTTACTTCTGTAGGACTTACTTTGTAGTACTTACTTTGTAGGACTTACTTCTGTAGGGCTTACTGCTGTAGCACTTACTTCTGTAGGACTTACTTCTGTAGGACATTCTTCTGTAGCAATTACGGCTTACTTCTGTAGGACTTACTTTGTAGGACTTACTGCTGTAGGACTTACTTCTGTAGGACTTACTTTGTAGGACTTACTTTGTAGGACTTACTTCTGTAGGGCTTCCTGCTGTAGCACTTACTTCTGTAGGACTTACTTCTGTAGGACATTCTTCTGTAGCAATTACGGCTTACTTCTGTAGGACTTACTTTGTATGACTTACTGCTGTAGGACTTACTTCTGTAGGACTTACTGCTGTAGGACTTACTTCTGTAGGACTTACTTTGTAGGACTTACTTTGTAGGACTTACTTCTGTAGGGCTTCCTGCTGTAGCACTTACTTCTGTAGGACTTACTTCTGTAGGACATTCTTCTGTAGCAATTACGGCTTACGTCTGTAGGAGTTACTTTGTATGACTTACTTCTGTAGGACTTACTTTGTAGGACTTATTGTTGCAGGACTTACTTCTGTAGGACTTACTTCTGTAGGACTTACTTCTGTAGGACTTACTTCTGTAGGACTAACATCTGTAGGACTTACTTTGTAGGACTTACTTCTGTAGGACTTACTGCTGTAGGACATTCTTCTGTAGCAATTACGGCTTACTTCTGTAGGACTTACTTTGTAGGACTTACTGCTGTAGGACTTACTGCTGTAGGAATTACTGCTGTAGGACTTACTGCTGTAGGACTTACTTCTGTAGGACTTACTGCTGTAGGACTTACTTCTGTAGGACTTACTTTGTAGGACTTACTTCTGTAGGACTTACTTCTGTAGGACTTACTTTGTATGATTTACTTCTGTAGGACTTACTTTGTAGGAATTACTTTGTAGGACTTACTTCTGTAGGACTTACTTCTGTAGGACTTACTTTGTAGGACTTACTTCTGTAGGACTTACTTTGTAGGACTTACTTCTGCAGGACTTACTTCTGTAGGACTTACTTTGTAGGACTTACTTCTGTAGGAACTTCGTGTTACTCTCCTATTGTTAGTAACTTTACTAACGTCCTTTAGCCTTACTCCCATATGACGTCCTTTAGCCTTACTCCCATATGACGTCCTTTAGCCTTACTCCCATATGACGTCCTTTAGCCTTACTCCCATATGACGTCCTTTAGCCTTACTCCCATATGACGTCCTTTAGCCTTACTCCCATATGACGTCCTTTAGCCCTACTCCCATATGACGTCCTTTAGCCGTACTCCCATATGACGTCCTTTAGCCTTACTCCGATATGACGTCCTTTAGCCCTACTCCCATATGACGTCCTTTAGCCTTACTCCCATATGACGTCCTTTAGCCTTACTCCCGTATGACGTCCTTTAGCCTTACTTCCAGATGACGTCCTTTAGTCTTACCGTTAAACGTCTTTGTTTGTGAAACGTATGATGCGATGCTTAAACTCTACTTCTTCTGCCCTTTGGATTGTTTTGATTATGATTGTGAACTAGATAGCCCACTGATTCAACGAATGAACTGGGACGAACGAGAAAGTGTGCAACGAACAATCAAACTATACAGATACCGGAGACACTTGTTAGGTTACTCCCCCCCCCCTCATCATTGACATTCAGATTTATCAGATACATATGGTGTATGTTGACATACGGCCGCCACACGCGTTGTATGTTGAACAAGGCAACAGCACATCCCCCCCTTCCTCCTGCCAAATAACTATGACATATACGAATATTTGTATATGGTGGGGGGGGGGGGTCCATCAACCGTACCTCTGTTGGGGGGGGGGGGGGGGTAAGACCTGACAATTATTAACTTCGCTCACAAGAAATGGTTCAGCACAATTTATTCGCGAATTCCTCTTTTATTATTGAAGAGACCTCACAAAAATGTAAACAGTAAAAATTTCAGTCAACATTTTTTTAACCGCAAAACTCCAAATATTTGTGTTTAAAAAACGAAACAGAAACACGTTTTCTAGCGGCCTACTGAAGCAGTCACGTAGGCCCAGATATTTCAAACACCGTTTAGATTCTCCATTTGTTTTGGTGGTTTTCGTCACAGTCCGCGCTAAGTTTGTGGAATTTTTCTCTGGTTGAATGAAGATCGTGTAGAGCTAGCGAGGGCTGGGGGCGTCTTGAGTCGGGGGCCATAATGCACGGGGCTTTGTGTGAACTGTATCGGAACGACCTCTGCTGCCCCGTGACGGTGGGTATAGGGGATGGGAGAATGTGTAGGATGGGAGTGTGTGTGTGTGTGGGATGGGAGGGGGTGTGTGTGGGATGGGAGGGGGTGGTGTCGTGTATAGTGGCACGGGTCAGGGTCGCCACAGTGTGTTGGTTGGGTAAAGCTACCAGCAACACACGGATCGTAGAGCGAACGTACGTGGACCTAAATCACACACTAGACGGATCTAATCACAGACAAACCTTAAAACAGGCTTTAACAATAAACCGTAACATGGATGTTGACGTTAAACAAACCCTTACATGGGCCCAATCCTAAACCAACCATTTCGTGCACTTAATCCTAAACCAACCATTTCGTGCACTTAATCCTAAACCAACCATTTCGTGCACTTAATCCTAAACCAACCATTTCGTGCACTTAATCATCAACCAACCATTTCGTGCACTTAATCCTAAACCAACCATTTCGTGCACTTAATCATCAACCAACCATTTCGTGCACTTAATCCTAAACCAACCATTTCGTGCACTTAATCCTAAACCAACCATTTCGTGCACTAAATCCTTAACCAACCATTTCGTGCACTTAATCCTAAACCAACCATTTCGTGCACTTAATCATCAACCAACCATTTCGTGCACTTAATCCTAAACCAACCATTTCGTGCACTAAATCCTTAACCAACCATTTCGTGCACTTAATCCTAAACCAACCATTTCGTGCACTTAATCATCAACCAACCATTTCGTGCACTTAATCCTAAACCAACCATTTCGTGCACTTAATCCTAAACCAACCATTTCGTGCACTAAATCCTTAACCAACCATTTCGTGCACTTAATCCTAAACCAACCATTTCGTGCACTAAATCCTTAACCAACCATTTCGTGCACTTAATCATAAAACAAAACTTACATGGATTGCATTTAAAAACAATTTTTAAAATTGCCTCTTGATGTAAAAGAAAAACCTGTTTAAATATTTTGATCCTCTAAATTCCTTTCAAGCAGGTTAATCTACTTTTGTGTTGTCAGTCATCACTACATGACTTTAATGGGGTTCTGATTGACTAGAATAGGTTTTTTGATAGACTAGAATGGGTTTCTGATTGACTAGAATGGGTTTCTGATTGACTAGAATGGGTTTCTGATTGACTAGAATGGGTTTCTGATAGACTAAAATGGGTTTCTGATTAACTAGAATGGGTTTCTGATTGACTAGAATGGGTTTCTGATTGACTAGAATGGGTTTCTGATTGACTAGAATGGGTTTTTTGATAGACTAGAATAGGTTTCTGATTGACTAGAATGGGTTTCTGATTGACTAGAATAGGTTTCTGATTGACTAGAATGGGTTTTTTGATAGACTAGAATGGGTTTCTGATGGACTAGAATAGGTTTCTGATTGACTAGAATAGGTTTCTGATTGAATAGAATAGGTTTCTGATTGACTAGAATAGGTTTCTGATTGACTAGAATGGGTTTCTGATTGACTAGAATAGGTTTCTGATTGACTAGAATAGGTTTCTGATTGACTAGAATGGGTTTTTTGATAGACTAGAATGGGTTTCTGATTGACTAGAATGGGTTTCTGATTGACTAGAATGGGTTTCTGATTGACTAGAATAGGTTTCTGATTGACTAGAATAGGTTTCTGATTGACTAGAATGGGTTTTTGATAGACTAGAATGGGTTTCTGATTGACTAGAATGGGTTTCTGATTGACTAGAATGGGTTTATGATTGACTAGAATAGGTTTCTGATTAGCTAGAATGGGTTTCTGATTGACTAGAATAGGTTTCTGATTGACTAGAATGGGTTTCTGATAGACTAGAATGGGTTTCTGATTGACTAGAATGGGTTTCTGATTGACTAGAATAGGTTTCTGATTGAATAGAATAGGTTTCTGATTGACTAGAATAGGTTTCTGATTGACTAGAATGGGTTTCTGATTGACTAGAATAGGTTTCTGATTGACTAGAATAGGTTTCTGATTGACTAGAATGGGTTTTTTGATAGACTAGAATGGGTTTCTGATTGACTAGAATGGGTTTCTGATTGACTAGAATAGGTTTCTGATTGACTAGAATAGGTTTCTGATTAGCTAGAATGGGTTTTTTGATAGACTAGAATGGGTTTCTGATTGACTAGAATGGGTTTCTGATTGACTAGAATGGGTTTCTGATTGACTAGAATCGGTTTATGATTGACTAGAATGGGTTTATGATTGACTAGAATGGGTTTATGGTTGACTAGAATAGGTTTCTGATTGACTAGAATGGGTTTCTGATTGACTAGAATGGGTTTATGATTGACTAGAATAGGTTTCTGATTAGCTAGAATGGGTTTCTGATTGACTAGAATAGGTTTCTGATTAGCTAGAATGGGTTTTTTGATAGACTAGAATGGGTTTCTGATTGACTAGAATGGGTTTCTGATTGACTAGAATGGGTTTATGATTGACTAGAATCGGTTTATGATTGACTAGAATGGGTTTATGATTGACTAGAATGGGTTTTTGATTGATTAGATCAATAAAACATCTAAAAAATGGAATGGTTTCAATATAAATGCTTAATTTAGAAGCTGGTGCTGACCTGGACTCGAACCCAGGAACTCGACCCAACATGAGCTAGCACGGTAAATGTTTTAGCTTGATAGGGAAAATATACAAGAATAGTGTCTATTTTTAGCACGTTGATCGGGAAGTGACGCAATGTACTATTGTGACGTCACGTGAGAATCAAATTTTAATGGATTCCACTAAAAACACAATAAACAAAGTATCGACAAGCTACTACTAACTAAGTTTTATCGTATTTGATTTGGGTCCTGTTGTGTAAGTTAGGATTTCAACCCTAAATATGTTGCTTAGTTATTTCCATTTTAAGATTTTTGAATGAAAAGTTAAAATAATTACTTTAGTAAAAGAGCGAACGTCGCATTCTTAAAATAGATAAACCAAATCAGACACTCAATACTCTACTAGATCTAGATCTAGATCTACTCTATACTACATTACAATGTAGTATAGAGTCTTCTATATGAGTCTATACACTGTTGTTATATAATATGTAATCTACACTCCATAATCTGTAGTCTACAAGCTAAACTCTATTAGAGTCGAGAAAAGTAGATATACCTAGGACCTAGGACATATGTATGTCTAGGTCAACCTATAAACGTAACACTAACATTAGTTTGTGACACTTAGGTAACGCATTGTAGGCTACATAATATTCTATCTTTACGGCTGAAACTTATAAAGAAAGGCTACTCAACTTTTACAATGTTTAAAAAGATAATCACGGGTTGCTTCCCTTTGTAAAAAAATATAGCAAAAAAATAGCATGGCTTTTTTCTACAGGGTTAATGTCTTTTATTAATCCTGATATTTTTTTATTGTGAAACTTTAAAAATGCTCACACTGACTTCTGCTGGTGGCAAGATTTGTGGGGAGTGGGTCTATTTTAATTAACCTGAACTACCCACCTAAATTCAGCAAAACCTAACCCATGATACACGTTATTTCAGATTAATACGTGACCTAGACATTATCAAACTGCTGACATTTTGGTTCGTGAGACGTTGAACAATGACTGACGACACCTAACCCACAGTGGCGTCACCGTACCCCACCTAACCCCCGTGACGTCACCGGCCTGAGGATGGATGACGTCAGAGTGGAGTGGATGCGGGACCGGGTGTACGACGGCCTGAACCTGCTCAACCCCGCTATCTTTGAGGAGTTTCTGGAGCGGAATGAGAGCCAGCTGTCCACGTTCCTCAACCGTGGGCCGGAGAAGATGGACAACCCCGTCTCCATCTTGTTTTATAAGGAGAAGATCTGCGAGCTTTTTGATAGTAGGTTTTTATCTGCGAGCTTTTGGATGGTAGGTTTTTATCTGCGAGCTTTTGGATGGTAGGATTTTTTATCTGCGAGCTTTTTGATAGTAGGTTTTTATCTGCGAGCTTTTGGATGGTAGGATTTTTTATCTGCGAGCTTTTTGATAGTAGGTTTTTATCTGCGAGCTTTTGGATGGTAGGATTTTTTATCTGCGAGCTTTTTGATAGTAGGTTTTTATCTGCGAGTTTTTGGATGGTAGGTTTTTTTTATCTGCGAGTTTTTGGATGGTAGGTTTTTTATCTGCGAGCTTTTTGATGGTAGGTTTTTTTATCTGCGAGCTTTTTGATGGTAGATTTTTTTTTAATCTGCGAGTTTTTTTATGGTAGGTTTTTTTTATCTGCGAGCTTTTTGATGGTAGGTTTTTTTTATCTGCGAGCTTTTTGATGGTAGGATTTTATCTGCGTGATTTTTTAAATGGAAAGTTTTAATTTATTCCGCGAGACTTTTGCTGGTAGTTTTAATTTAAATATGCGAGAGAGCGCCACTTGCTCACCATTAGTCGCGTCAATCAAAAGTCCGCACCCCCACATCTAGTCCCCGCTGACACAGCTGTTGACGTATTGCAGGGACCGACACACCCAGCGCCATCTTGGAGGAAGAAGAGTCGTCCTGGTCAAGGCAAGAGTCGATGATGAAGGTGGCTAACCCTGATGGTAAGTAGAGCAGACAGATCTAGATAGGCACACAGACATACACACATACATACAGACAGACAGACAGACAGACATACAGACACACGAATACACAGAAGACTAGTCGGACAGACACACCAACACAAAGAAACTTAAATCTAAACACGGACATGCAATACACACATACGCACACACACACGTATATATATGTATATATATATATATATATATATATATATATATATATATATATATATATATATATATATATATATATATATGTGTGTGTATATATGTAAATACATATTTTGTCAATCAGATAACCCAGTGATCCCAGAATACACGAATATTCCAGAAGAAGAGACAACGTCCGCCTGTCAGGTTTCAACGTTTGACTCTCTTTATACTGTAGTAATCCTGCACTCCACACCACACACCACACACAACATTTAACACAAAACCACACACTCCACACACTCCACACAACACCACACACCACACACAACATTTAACACAAAACCACACACTCCACACACTCCACACAACACCACACACCACACACAACATTTAACACAAAACCACACACTCCACACACTCCACACAACACCACACACCACACACAACATTTAACACAAAACCACACACTCCACACACTCCACACACTCCACACAACATTACACACCACACACAACATTTAACACAAAACCACACACTCCACACACTCCACACAACACCACACACCACACACAACATTTAACACAAAACCACACACTCCACACACTCCACACAACACCACACACCACACACAACATTTAACACAAAACCACACACTCCACACACTCCACACAACATTACACACCACACACAACATTTAACACAAAACCACACACTCCACACACTCCACACAACACCACACACCACACACAACATTTAACACAAAACCACACACTCCACACACTCCACACAACATTACACACCATACACAACATTTAACACAAAACCACACACTCCACACACTTCACACAACACCACACACCACACACAACATTTAACACAAAACCACACACTCCACACACTCCACACAACACCACACACCACACACAACATTTAACATAAAACCACACACTCCACACACTCCACACAACACCACACACCACACACAACATTTAACATAAAACCACACACCACACACAACACTCCACACAACACCACACACCACACACAACATTTAACACAAAACCACACACTCCACACACTCCACACAACACCACACACCACACACAACATTTAACACAAAACCACACACTCCACACACTCCACACAACACCACACACCACACACAACATTTAACACAAAACCACACACTCCACACACTCCACACAACATTACACACCACACACAACATTTAACACAAAACCACACACTCCACACACTCCACACAACACCACACACAACATTTAAAACAAAACCACACACTCCACACACTCCACACAACACCACACACCACACACAACATTTAACACAAAACCACACACTCCACACACTCCACACAACATTACACACCACACACAACATTTAACACAAAACCACACACTCCACACACTCCACACAACACCACACACCACACACAACATTTAACACAAAACCACACACTCCACACACTCCACACAACATTACACACCACACACAACATTTAACACAAAACCACACACCACACACAACACTCCACACAACACCACACACCACACACAACATTTAACACAAAACCACACACTCCACACACTCCACACAACACCACACACCACACACAACATTTAACATAAAACCACACACTCCACACACTCCACACAACACCACACACCACACACAACATTTAACATAAAACCACACACCACACACAACACTCCACACAACACCACACACCACACACAACATTTAACACAAAACCACACACTCCACACACTCCACACAACACCACACACCACACACAACATTTAACACAAAACCACACACTCCACACACTCCACACAACACCACACACCACACACAACATTTAACACAAAACCACACACTCCACACACTCCACACAACATTACACACCACACACAACATTTAACACAAAACCACACACTCCACACACTCCACACAACACCACACACCACACACAACATTTAACACAAAACCACACACTCCACACACTCCACACAACACCACACACCACACACAACATTTAACACAAAACCACACACTCCACACACTCCACACAACATTACACACCACACACAACATTTAACACAAAACCACACACTCCACACACTCCACACAACACCACACACCACACACAACACCACACACCACACACAACATTTAACACAAAACCACACACTCCACACACTCCACACAACACCACACACCACACACAACACCACACACCACACACAACATTTAACACAAAACCACACACTCCACACACTCCACACACTCCACACAACACCACACAACACCACACACCACACACAACATTTAACACAAAACCACACACTCCACACACTCCACACAACACCACACACCACACACAACACCACACACCACACACAACATTTAACACAAAACCACACACTCCACACACTCCACACAACACCACACAACACCACACACCACACACAACATTTAACACAAAACCACACACACCACACACCACACACAACACCACACACCACGCACAACATTTAACACAAAACCACACACTCCACACTCTCCACACAACACCACACACACCACACACACTTCACACAACACCACACATTCCACACAACACCACTTGCTTCACACAATACCACACACCACACAACACCACACACCACACACCACACACAACATTGAACACAAAACCACACACTCCACACACACCACACACACTTCACACAACACCACACATTCCACACAACACCACTAGCTTCACACAATACCACACACCACACACCACACAACACCACACACCACACACAACATTTAACACAAAACCACACACTCCACACACTCCACACAACACCACACACCACACACAACACCACACACCACACACAACATTTAACACAAAACCACACACTCCACACACTCCACACAACACCACACAACACCACACACCACACACAACATTTAACACAAAACCACACACTCCACACACTTCACACAACACCACACATTCCACATAACACCTTTTGCTTTCCACAATACCACACCACACCCCACTTCACTTCACACACCTCCCACTACCCGCCCATTGCCCATAATCTGGTGTTGTAACAGTCACTGACGTATATCACCCCCCCCCCCCACCCCCAGGGTGTCGTCAAGACCGTGCTACACATGGCCTGGAACAACCTGCCCGAGTCCGTGGCCAACAAGGGCGTGGCCAGCTTCTTCTTCCTGAGGACCACCCCCGGGCTGGTGCCGGTCTACGGCTCCCTGATGGAGGCGGAGAGCGAGATGCCCTCCCAGCTGGAGTACGGGCTGCTCAATGATAACGCCATACACATGATAGAGAGGATGCTGGTTCTGGTAGGTGGGGGAGGGGAGGGGGGTGCTGGTGGGGGGGGGACTGACAGATGGGGCTGGGGGATAATGGTAATTTAGGTAGTTGAGGGGGGTTGATGGGTGAGGGATGTTCATAGCTGATTCCAATGCCCCTGTAATTCTGGCACTGGTTCAAATGCCCCTGTAATTCTGGCACTGGTTCCAATGCCCCTGTAGTTCTGGCACTGGTTTCAATGCCCCTGTAATTCTGGCTCTGGTTCAAATGCCCCTGTAGTTCTGGCACTGGTTCCAATGCCCCTGTAGTTCTGGCACTGGTTCCAATGCCCCTGTAAATCTGGCTCTGGTTCCAATGCCCCTGTAAATCTGGCACTGGTTCAAATGCCCCTGTAATTCTGGCACTGGTTCCAATGCCCCTGTAATTCAGGCACTGGTTCCAATGTCGCCAGGTGTACCAGCCGCTGCTCGCCTACCACCAGTACAACAACCTGGAGAAGTCTCAGGTCAACATGCAGGAGAGCAACACTGCCGGCAAGCCGGAAGTTTCGGCGAAGAAGTCCACAGACCGGAAGATGTCGAAGCGCAAGTCTAGCGCCAAACGGCCGTCTAGGACTGCAGATGATGAGAGCACGGGGCTGCAGGTCAGTTGGGGGAAGGGGGGTTGTAGGGTGGGTGGGGTAGGGGTTATAAGGTGGGTGGGGTGAGGTGGGGTTCTAAGGTCGGTGGGGTAGGGGTTATAAGGTGGGTGGTGTGAGGTGGGGGGTGGAGAGGTGGGGGTGTGTTGGGCTTAGTTTGGTTGGTCCAAGCAAATTGCCAGCAGGTTGGCGGGCAGTTATTCCGGCAGATTGTCCGGAAGATTGTCGGGAAAACTATCCGGTAAATTATCCGATTAATTGTTCGGTAAGTTTCCGGGCAAGTTGTAAGCAAGGATGTTGGCTGTCTCGCATGTAGGACGGTACTTTCTCCGGCACATTCTCCGGCAGAAAGACCGGCAGAAAGACCGGCAGATAGATTAATAGATATTCCATCAGATAGATTAATAGATAGACTAGCAGATAGATACCAAGTAACCCTAACCCAAACGTTAAACAGACCTTTCTTTCTCTCCCCCCCCCCCCACATATCACGTGACTATTTTCTTATGGCCTGTGTCACGTGACCGACAGAAGGAACAGCGCAAGACGAGCATCTCAGCACGTGACGACTTCCTGGTCAGTGTGGCCAAGTTCACCGGGTACATTGATGAGCTCCTCATGCAGCTCAAGAGCAAGGTCAGTCGCGTGGGTTAAGGTTAGTCGCGTGGGTCAAGGTCAGTCACGTGGGTCAAGGTCAGTCTAATACTTCAAGGTCAGTCAATACAACAAGGTCAATCTAATATTTCAAGGTCAGTCAATACAACAAGGTCAGTCCAATACTTCAAGGTCAGTCAATACAACAAGGTCAGTCTAGTACATTAAGGTCAGTCTAGTACATCAAGGTCAGTCTAGTACATCAAGGTCAGTCTAGTATAACAAGGTCAGTCTAGTACATCAAGGTAAGTCTAGTACATCAAGGTCAGTCTAGTACATCAAGGTAAGTCTAGTACATCAAGGTCAGTCTAGTACATCAAGGTCAGTCTAGTACATCAAGGTCAGTCTAGTACATCAAGGTCAATCTAGTATCGCAATGTCAGTCTAGTAGGCCACATACAGATGAGTAACAATTTAACAGACCACACATCACGATGGTGCGCATTCGTTCTTTCAACCGGTTTTATTCACTTAATTAGTGCGCACCACAGTATTCCAATCGGTTTTTATCCAATGTATTTGTGCGCATCACAGTATTCCAATCGGTTTTTATCCACTCGATTAGTGCGCATTAGTTCTTCCAATCCTATTGAACACGTATTTTATCCACTGTATTAGTGCGCATCAGTTCTTCCAATCCTATTGAACACGTATTTTATCCACTGTATTAGTGCGCATCAGTTCTTCCAATCCTATTGAACACGTATTTTATCCACTCTATTAGTGCGCACCAGTTCTTCCAATCTTATTGAACACGTATTTTATCCACTCGATTAGTGCGCATTAGTTCTTCCAATCCTATGTATTTTGAATCCACCAGCTGAAGCTAGAAATTCCACCTCTAAAATTGACCGGACGTCCGGCTGCTGACCTCAAGGACGCGGAGCTGATGAAGGTCATCCACGAGACTTGTCAAAGTTTTCAAAGTCAGGTCAGTCACTTGCTCTAAGTCAGGTATGTTAAATCAAATCGTCACTTCTTACAGTCATTTCTACCCCAGCTCATAAGATCTATTTCTTTAGCTCCGCTTTTTTTTTTGTATAGCGTCTCTACTTTCCCTTTTAAGTCTTAGATTATCTTTTCCTTAGCTCAGGGGTCTCCAAACTTTTCAGTCCGAGGGCCGCATTGGCTATCAAATTTCAGTTCGGGGGCCAGTTTCTTTAAGGCATGTCTTTGATTTTTCTGGGCAAAGTTCCTCAGCCATCACCAACTAACGTCTTTTCCGTGGACAAAAACATCTCCGCGGGCCGGATGAGAGGACATCGCGGGCCGCATCCGGCCCGCGGGCCGTAGTTTGGAGACCCCTGCCTTAGCTCATCATTTCCTTTGCTTAGAGGGGCAGCTACACATTTAGGCGCCCGAGGCGACCCATCAATTTTGCCCCCCCCCCCATATTTAAATATTTATTCAGGTTGGTGAAAAAGCGACCAGCCTCTGTCACTTAACCGTTGTTTTTATTTCCGTATCACACAAGTAGTATAGAAAACGGTCCTTAAAGTCAAGTAGCAGTCTAGTTTCTTAACTTAGATTGTGTGATACAGCTTAAACAAAATTTTATTTTTATTTCCCACCAAATTAAGCGTCCCACCCCAGGGTAAACCACCCTACCCCCCAATCTACATCCCTGCCTTAGCTCCCGTGTATCAACTCTGAGTTTAAGCTCAGCACTGTCCACCATTGCAGGTTGACCAGCTCCTGGAGACGGAGCTGAGCAAACCCCGGGTGGGCAACGGTCCGTTGGTGGAGATCAAGTATTGGAAGGACAGGGACACAATCCTACACGGCGTCACGGAGCAGTTGTCTACCCCTGTGGTAATGGCCTCTTGTTGGATGTAGTATGTCCTGTTGTAGGGGTGTAATATGTCCTGTTGTAGGGGTGTAATATGTCCTGTTGTAGGGGTGTAATATGTCCTCTTTTAGGGGTGTAATATGTCCTGTTGTAGGGGTGTAATATGTCCTGTTGTAGGGGTGTAATATGTCCTCTTTTAGGGGTGTAATATGTCCTCTTGTAGGGGTGTAATATGTCCTGTTGTAGGGGTGTAATATGTCCTCTTGTAGGGGTGTAATATGTCCTGTTGTAGGGATGTAATATGTCCTGTTATAGGACTGTAATATGTCCTGTTGTAGCGCTGTAATATGTCCTCTTGTAGGGCTAAATTACGTTCTTGCAACATTTATCTTCTGCTTCACAGCTGAAGTATATCCTTGACCTGCACATGCGCACTGAAGGAGATTTCGAGTTCACCTTGAAAGACCTGAAAAAATACGCCCTTGAGGCTCGCGACAACGTCCGGTTTTTGTCGACCTTGGAACGTCACTTCCGGAACATTAAATATGGCTCGACATTTCAGGTACAAGAATGGGGGGGGGAGGGTTTGACCCCCAGGGGACACTCCCTTAGACGTCAGTCGCGTAATATTTTATTGTTAGAAATAAAGATGGCAATCTGTTGAAAATTAATGACCACGCCTATTTTGATGAGGACTAACATGAACACACACCTGACTCCCCACCCATTTGACAACCAACCCCACCCACTTGACTTCGTACCCGCCTGACCAATATCCCCCACCCACGTTATTAATAACCCCACCCACCTGATCCCCACCTACCTGAACACCCGTCTGACCCCCACCCACCTGACCACCCATCTGACCACCCACCTGACCACCCACCTGACCACCCACCTGACCACCCACCTGACCACTAACCCCACCCACCTGACCACTAACCCTCCCACCTGACCACAAACCCCACCCACCTGACCACAAACCCCACCCACCTGACCACCCACCTGACCACCCACCTGACCACCCACCTGACCACCCACCTGACCACCCACCTGACCACCCACCTGACCACCCACCTGACCACCCACCTGACCACCCACCTGACCACCCACCTGACCACCCACCTGACCACCCACCTGACCACCCACCTGACCACCCACCTGACCACCCACCTGACCACCCACCTGACCACCCACCTGACCCCCACCCACCTGACCACCCACCTGACCACCCACCTGACCACCCACCTGACCACCCACCTGACCACCCACCTGACCCCCACCCACCTGACCCCCTGATTTCAGTCTGTCATCGACACGTTGCCGCCCATGATGAACGCGCTGAGAATGATCTGGATCATCTCACGGAACTACAACACGGACGAGCTGATGGTACCACTCATGGAGAGGATCGCCTGGGAACTCTGCGAGAGGGCCACCAAGGTCATCAATGTCCGGCATCTCTTCGAGTAGGTTTATGGCGCGGGATCGGGGACCACCCACACCATTTTTTTTTTTGTTTGTCAATTGTTTTAAAAATTGATCTAATATTCTAATATAAAATCTGATTGGCTGCAGAACTAAATGATAAACGATGTTTTGACATATAGGATGACCCAAACAACATGATACTCCTTTGAGGTGAAATAATTTCTAAAAGCGAGACTACCTTTAAGTTTAAGGAAGATCAAAATCAATCTCACTAGCATAAGTTAGTTATGTTCCGTGTAAAGAGACACAACTCATTTAATATTTGCAGCACAACCAACCTAGCATGATTATTTCCCTTTATGAAAAAATCAAGAAATTAAGAAATTAGGGATAAGGTGATTGGTTGTAACAGACAGGACATCCAGAGTTTCTTTCAGTCATTTCTTCGGTAGACGTTGCTTTCACACACAAAGTTTCAAGCCCCCTCATCCCCTTCCCGCCCCCTCCCCCCGGAGAAAAAAAAATGTATGAAACACGACGTCACATGAGAAAGTGAAAGGTGTGTCAGGGCAGAGGCGTAGCAACCCTCACCCCCCCCCCCCCCCTCAAGATTTCGATTTGCATCCCCCCCCCCCCCTCAAACTTTCGATTTGCGCCCCCCTCAACCTTTCAATTTATTTTTCCAATCCATTTTGGCGCCCCCTAAGGTCGGCGCCCGGGGACATATGTCCTCCCCCCCCCCTCGCCCCCCCCCCCCCTCCCCCGCTGCGCTACTGTGTCAGGGGTGCCTGCTGAAGCTGTAGAACAATCTCTGTGCCAGATTCGACACGGGCACGATAAAGCTGATGACGAAAGCAGCGGTCAAGATGCTGGAGACATGGAAGAAAGCCTACTTCACCGTGCGCGCCAAAATTGAGTCGTCTGGTCGTGACGTCAGATGGGAGTTCGACAGGACGAAACTGTTCGATCGTTCGGATTACATCATCGCCATCTGTGAGGACCTGCACGACATGGCCCAGGTGAGCTGTGGGGGGGGGGGGGGGAGGAAGGTCATGTTTTTGTTTTTTGCCACTCAACTAGCGTACCCGTCCCGCGCGTTGCCACGGGCTGACACATTATTTGAAGAGGATTTCATCAATGCGTTACAAAATAGTGTATTTTTAGACGCGTGAACTTGTTTTCTTTTAAACCTAATTAAGAGTAAACAGCGCCGGCGCTATAATGGATCTCAGATTATTAGGCGCGGGTTTGTCCACACTACCGCCCAGACGCCCCTGGGCGTGCAGTATAAACGCCTTCGGGGAATGTTAATTACCTTGCAGTTACACTACAAGCAAATGAAAGTATGTGTGTATGTCCTTTACGCAGTACTACAAGTTTGTATGTGTGTATGTCCTGTACTACAAGTTTGTATGTGTGTATGTCCTGTACTACAAGTTTGTATGTGTGTATGTCCTGTACTACAAGTTTGTATGTGTGTATGTCCTGTAATAGAACTTTGTATGTTACCTGACCTGCAGGTGATGGAAGAGTTTAACAACATCTTCAGTCAGGAGCTGAAGAACGTGACGGGTGACCCAGAGAGAATTGACGAGGTGCTGGAGCAGGTCTACGAGCTCGTTCATCCCATCTCTAGGGTACGTCGCTTTTATTTGCCCAACATCCCATCTCTAGGGTACGTCGCTTTTATTTGCCCAACATCCCATCTCTAGGGTACGTCGCTTTTATTTGCCCAACATCCCATCTCTAGGGTACGTCGCTTTTATTGGCCCAACATCCCATCTCTAGGGTACGTCGCTTTTATTTGCCCAACATCCCATCTCTAGGGTACGTCGCTTTTATTTGCCCAACATCCCATCTCTAGGGTACGTCGCTTTTATTTGCTCAACATCCCATCTCTAGGGTACGTCGCTTTTATTGGCCCAACATCCCATCTCTAGGGTACGTCGCTTTTATTGGCCCAACATCCCATCTCTAGGGTACGTCGCTTTTATTGGCCCAACATCCCATCTCTAGGGTACGTCGCTTTTATTTGCTCAACATCCCATCTCTAGGGTACGTCGCTTTTATTGGCCCAACATCCCATCTCTAGGGTACGTCGCTTTTATTTGCCCAACATCCCATCTCTAGGGTACGTCGCTTTTATTTGCCCAACATCCCATCTCTAGGGTACGTCGCTTTTATTTGCCCAACATCCCATCTCTAGGGTACGTCGCTTTTATTGGCCCAACATCCCATCTCTAGGGTACGTCGCTTTTATTTGTCCAACTTCCCATCTCTAGGGTACGTCGCTTTTATTGGCCCAACATCCCATCTCTAGGGTAGGTCGCTTTTATTGGCCCAACATCCCATCTCTAGGGTACGTCGCTTTTATTGGCCCAACATCCCATCTCTAGGGTACGTCGCTTTTATTGGCCCAACATCCCATCTCTAGGGTAGGTCGCTTTTATTGGCCCAACATCCCATCTCTAGGGTAGGTCGCTTTTATTGGCCCAACATCCCATCTCTAGGGTAGGTCGCTTTTATTGGCCCAACATCCCATCTCTAGGGTACGTCGCTTTTATTGGCCCAACATCCCATCTCTAGGGTACGTCGCTTTTATTGGCCCAACATCCCATCTCTAGGGTACGTCGCTTTTATTTGCCCAACATCCCATCTCTAGGGTACGTCGCTTTTATTGGCCCAACATCCCATCTCTAGGGTACGTCGCTTTTATTGGCCCAACATCCCATCTCTAGGGTAGGTCGCTTTTATTGGCCCAACATCCCATCTCTAGGGTACGTCGCTTTTATTTACCCTACATCCCATCTCTAGGGTACGTCGCTTTTATTGGCCCAACATCCCATCTCTAGGGTACGTCGCTTTTATTTACCCTACATCCCATCTCTAGGGTAGGTCGCTTTTATTGGCCCAACATCCCATCTCTAGGGTACGTCGCTTTTATTGGCCCAACATCCCATCTCTAGGGTAGGTCGCTTTTATTGGCCCAACATCCCATCTCTAGGGTAGGTCGCTTTTATTGGCCCAACATCCCATCTCTAGGGTAGGTCGCTTTTATTGGCCCAACATCCCATCTCTAGGGTACGTCGCTTTTATTGGCCCAACATCCCATCTCTAGGGTACGTCGCTTTTATTGGCCCAACATCCCATCTCTAGGGTACGTCGCTTTTATTTGCCCAACATCCCATCTCTAGGGTACGTCGCTTTTATTGGCCCAACATCCCATCTCTAGGGTACGTCGCTTTTATTGGCCCAACATCCCATCTCTAGGGTAGGTCGCTTTTATTGGCCCAACATCCCATCTCTAGGGTACGTCGCTTTTATTTACCCTACATCCCATCTCTAGGGTACGTCGCTTTTATTGGCCCAACATCCCATCTCTAGGGTACGTCGCTTTTATTTACCCTACATCCCATCTCTAGGGTAGGTCGCTTTTATTTGCCCAACATCCCATCTCTAGGGTACGTCGCTTTTATTGGCCCAACATCCCATCTCTAGGGTAGGTCGCTTTTATTGGCCCAACATCCCATCTCTAGGGTAGGTCGCTTTTATTGGCCCAACATCCCATCTCTAGGGTACGTCGCTTTTATTTGCCCAACATCCCATCTCTAGGGTAGGTCGCTTTTATTTGCCCAACATCCCATCTCTAGGGTAGGTCGCTTTTATTGGCCCAACATCCCATCTCTAGGGTAGGTCGCTTTTATTGGCCCAACATCCCATCTCTAGGGTACGTCGCTTTTATTGGCCCAACATCCCATCTCTAGGGTACGTCGCTTTTATTGGCCCAACATCCCATCTCTAGGGTACGTCGCTTTTATTTGCCCAACATCCCATCTCTAGGGTACGTCGCTTTTATTGGCCCAACATCCCATCTCTAGGGTACGTCGCTTTTATTGGCCCAACATCCCATCTCTAGGGTAGGTCGCTTTTATTGGCCCAACATCCCATCTCTAGGGTACGTCGCTTTTATTTACCCTACATCCCATCTCTAGGGTACGTCGCTTTTATTGGCCCAACATCCCATCTCTAGGGTACGTCGCTTTTATTTACCCTACATCCCATCTCTAGGGTAGGTCGCTTTTATTTGCCCAACATCCCATCTCTAGGGTACGTCGCTTTTATTGGCCCAACATCCCATCTCTAGGGTAGGTCGCTTTTATTGGCCCAACATCCCATCTCTAGGGTAGGTCGCTTTTATTGGCCCAACATCCCATCTCTAGGGTACGTCGCTTTTATTTGCCCAACATCCCATCTCTAGGGTAGGTCGCTTTTATTTGCCCAACATCCCATCTCTAGGGTAGGTCGCTTTTATTGGCCCAACATCCCATCTCTAGGGTACGTCGCTTTTATTTGCCCAACATCCCATCTCTAGGGTACGTCGCTTTTATTGGCCCAACATCCCATCTCTAGGGTACGTCGCTTTTATTGGCCCAACATCCCATCTCTAGGGTACGTCGCTTTTATTGGCCCAACATCCCATCTCTAGGGTACGTCGCTTTTATTGGCCCAACATCCCATCTCTAGGGTACGTCGCTTTTATTGGCCCAACATCCCATCTCTAGGGTACGTCGCTTTTATTTGCCCAACATCCCATCTCTAGGGTACGTCGCTTTTATTGGCCCAACATCCCATCTCTAGTGTACGTCGCTTTTATTGGCCCAACATCCCATCTCTAGGGTACGTCGCTTTTATTGGCCCAACATCCCATCTCTAGGGTACGTCGCTTTTATTTGCCCAACATCCCATCTCTAGGGTACGTCGCTTTTATTGGCCCAACATCCCATCTCTAGGGTACGTCGCTTTTATTGGCCCAACATCCCATCTCTAGGGTACGTCGCTTTTATTGGCCCAACATCCCATCTCTAGGGTACGTCGCTTTTATTTGCCCAACAACATCTTTACTCATCTATTTTAGCTGCCCACCAAATGTTAACACCTCTATTTTAGCTGCCCACCAAATGTTAACACCTCTATTTCAGCTGCTCCACCAAATGTTAACAACTTTATTTTAGCTGCCCACCAAATGTTAACACCTCTATTTTAGCTGCCCACCAAATGTTAACACCTCTATTTCAGCTGCTCCACCAAATGTTAACACCTTTATTTCAGCTGCCCACCAAATGTTAACATCTCTATTTTAGCTGCCCACCAAATGTTAACACCTCTATTTTAGCTGCCCACCAAATGTTAACACCTCTATTTCAGCTGCTCCACCAAATGTTAACACCTCTATTTCAGCTTGCATACCAAATGTTAACACCTCTATTTTAGCTGCCCACCAAATGTTAACACCTCTATTTTAGCTGCCCACCAAATGTTAACACCTCTATTTCAGCTGCTCCACCAAATGTTAACACCTCTATTTCAGCTGCCCACCAAATGTTAACACCTCTATTTCAGCTGCCCACCAAATGTTAACACCTCTATTTCAGCTGCCCACCAAATGTTAACTCCTGTATTTCAGCTGCCCTATGATGCCTTCTCCCCATCGAGGGCCACCATGTGGCAGATCCTGAAGACCAAGTTCTACAAGCGGGTCACGGAGATTGAAGAAACCGCCAAGACGTTCATTGACGAATCCTTCCAGGTACCCTGTCTGCCTAGCTAGAGCCTGGTCTGTGTTCGTCCTTGACCCGCCCAGTCCAAGGTCAACTGTTGTGTTCTCCCCACAGAGCCTGCGGTCGTCTGACGGCGCCTTTGAACTGCTCATCAAGTTGAAGGGCATCCAATCACGTGAGGCCGTCAACAAGCGCATGCAGTCTAAATTTAGAAACGTCATCCTGCAGTACAATAAAGAGGTGAGTGGGCATCTCAAATGTCAGTTTGGTCATGTTAGATGTCAATTTGGTCATGTTAGATGTCAGTTTGGTCATGTTAGATGTCAGTTTGGTCATGTTAGATGTCAATTTGGTCATGTTAGATGTCAGTTTGGTCATGTTAGATGTCAGTTTGGTCATGTTAGATGTCAGTTTGGTCATGTTAGATGTCAGTTTGGTCATGTTAGATGTCAATTTGGTCATGTTAGATGTCAGTTTGGTCATGTTAGATGTCAGTTTGGTCATGTCAGATGTCAGTTTGGTCATGTTAGATGTCAGTTTGGTCATGTTAGATGTCAGTTTGGTCATGTTAGATGTCAGTTAGGTCATGTTAGATGTCAGTTTGGTCATGTTAGATGTCAGTTTGGTCATGTTAGATGTCAGTTTGGTCATGTTAGATGTCAGGTTGGTCATGTTAGATGTCAGTTTGGTCATGTCAGATGTCAGTTTGGTCATGTCAGTAAGGTCATCTCAGAGGTCAGTTTGGTTTGTTAAAAGTCAGTTTAATAATTCACTGGTCATTTGTTTAATACCACTTGATTTATTATAGATACAAATAGCATTTAGCCACTGTCACTGTTTACGTGTATGAATAATTTTATCAACAAACTCAATGTTCAAATCGTTCATCTTTAAAAAGCCTGCCAAAGCCGTCTACCCTAAAACGTGTATGTGTGTTTGATTGCAGATTGAGTTCACCAACAATCTATTTATAGAAAACAAAATGAACCCCCCGGTTTACCGGAACTATCCGCCGGTTGCCGGCGCCATCTACTGGTGCCGGTCGCTGTTCCACCGGATCAAAGCCAGCATCGTGCGCTTCAATCAGATGGCAGAGATGATGTCCACGGACATCGGCAAGATGGTAGTACCTCAGTCTTATCTCACTCAGATATCTCACCTGTTATCTCAGTCAAATATCTCACCTGTTATCTCACTCAGATATCTCACCGGTTATCTCAGTCAAAACCTCTCTGTTATCTCACTCGAATACCACAGTTAATTACCTCACCAGGATTAATTATTATCTGAGCATTAACTCATCATTACCTCATCATCACCTCATCCTCATCTCACTATTATCGCATCACCACCTCACCACCACCTCATTTTTAACTCACTATTTACTCACCCTTACCTTACCAATACCTCACCATTACCTCACAATCACCTCACCATCACCTCAATCACCTCACTACTACCTCACCATTACCTCATTATCACCTCATCCTTACCTCACCCTTACCTCACCCTTACCTCGCCTTTACCTCACCCTTACCTCACCATTGCGTCGCCCTTACCTCACTATCTTCTCACCATCACCTCACTATTATCTCACCATTATCTCACTACCACCTCACAGTTACCTCACCCTTACCTCACCCTTACCTCACCCTTACCTCACCCTTACCTCACCCTTACCTCACCCTTACCTCACCCTTATCTCACCCTTACCTCACCCTTACCTCACCCTTACCTCACCCTTACCTCACCCTTACCTCACCCTTACCTCACCCTTATCTCACCCTTACCTCACCCTTATCTCACCCTTACCTCACCCTTACCTCACCCTTATCTCACCCTTACCTCACCCTTACCTCACCCTTACCTCACCATCACCTCACCCTTACCTCACCATTACCTCACCAATCCCAGGCCTCAGTCAAGTACCTCTCTGTGGCCAAGACAATGCGGAGGTACGAGGAGACAACGTTCAGGACGTGGCACGACCACGTGGAGCGGGTCATCCCCCACTACCTCAGGGCGGGGCTGCTCTACAAGATCCCCAACACCATACCCGTCCCCCCAGACGTCACGCTCCACCGACTCTCCTCTGGCTCCGCCCTTCATTCCTTATTTGGTGAGTCCTAGCTCCACCCCTCGTAGGTTGTTTTTTTTTTTATCTATTTCTGCCCTCACAAATAATTTCAAATAAGATTAAAATTTTGAATTCGCATTTATTAATTTTATTCATTTATTACATTTTAAACCCTGGAACAGCAGTTTAGTTTTCAATCCCTCCAAAAAACGACGAATTTTTTAATTCAAATAATGGATTCTTTAATTTTTCTAATTAAACCCATGATAAGCTATAAACTTATCAGACATCTTAATCCCCCCCCCCCCCACCTCCTCCACACTTTGGTATCCAGCTATCTAACCATGACCTTTGACCCTTGTTTAAATTTGTTTCCCCCTTGTTCCCAGATGGCAACATTGGTCGACTTATGACAGACGCCAACAAAAGTGAGTAGTTGAGCTTAAGCTGGTGTGTGACGTCGTCATCCTCTGATTCGCATGACGTCATCACTCTCTAACTAGTGGGACGTCACACTGCTCTAACTAATGCTAATTTAACGAGTAAAACATGTTTTTCCTCCATTTCTAACCTCCACCTAACCGTCTCACCACCTAACCGTCTCACCACCTAACCGTCTCACCACCTAACCGTCTCACCACCTAACCGTCTCACCACCTAACCGTCTCACCACCTAACCGTCTCACCACCTAACCGTCTCACCATCCCCACAGTCTCCCACCTGACCCAGATGTACGGAGTCAACCTGAACCCAGCGGTGCCACAAATCATCTGTGAGACCAAACTCTTGCTGTCCTTGCACCTCTTCGTGCCGGAGGTGGCCAAACACATGGCTCTTGATGTGAGTACTCAACACACGTGCGCTCAACACACCACAGGTTAATCTAAGCATGTGGGACGGCGTGGTCGGATGTAAGAACGAACGACTGATAGCCCTGGTCGAGTCCGCGTAACGTACCGGAGTCCACTCAACTCTCATGTCAGGGAAAGTAAAGGCGGCTGAGCATAGTGCTGATCACACTATACCTTCATATGATGAGGTCACGGAAAAAAGGTGAACTCTACTTTACCTGCTAAATGGATCGTGAAACTCGATGGTTTCATCTGAATCTCCCTTGGGACAACAGTTATACACACCATACTTGTAACAAATGTTTTGCCTGTCTGCGGGAGATTACACACGTCATACTTGTAACAAATATTTTGCCTTTTGGCCAGAAGTGTACACATATCATGCGTGTAACAAATTTTGTCATACTTGTAACAAATATTTTGCCTTTTGGCGAGAAGTGTACACATATCATGCTTGTAACAAATTTTGTCATACTTGTAACAAATGTTTTGCCTTTTGGCCAGAAGTGTACACATATCATGCTTGTAACAAATGTTGTCCTACTTGTAACAAATGTCTGCAGGAGGCCAAGCTAAAGAAGATTGTCGCTGACCTTGAGGACATGCTACAGAAGTATTTTGGGGTCATTGATTCTCTGTCTAACCCGGAGGTAATGTCTACTACAACAACTCCCGCCCCACATACAAATTTCTCCTCAACACCCCCCCCCCCCCCCAACGGACGAGAGCAGCAAATACAGACCCCGTCTCTCCTATACCTATTTTCATACAATATATCATCCACCCCCCCACCCCCAAACGCCAACAACATACACTCTACTGTACCCCACCTCTTTGTTTTAAGTATCCCCAAATGTCATAACCCCTAACGTCATACCTCTAATGTCATACCTCCCAAATGTCAAAACCCCTAACGTCATACCTCTAATGTCATACCTCCTAAATGTTATACCTCCCAAATGTTACACCTCCCGAATGTAATACCTCCAAAATGTCATACCTCCCGAATGTCAAATCACCCAAATGTCATACCTCCCAAATGTCATACCTCCTAAATGCCATACCTCCCAAATGTCATACCTCCTAAATGTCACACCTCCCAAATGTCATACCTCCCAAATGTCATACCTCCCAAATGTCATACCTCCCAAATGTCATACCTCCCAAATATCATACCTCCCAAATGTCATACCTACCAAATGTCATACCTCCCAAATGTCATACCTCCCAAATGTCATACCTCCCAAATGTCATACCTCCCAATTGTCATACCTCCCAAATGTCATACCTCCCAAATATCATACCTCCCAAATGTCATACCTCCCAAATGTCATACCTCCCAAATGTCATACCTCCCAAATATCATACCTCCCAAATGTCATACCTACCAAATGTCATACCTCCCAAATGTCATACCTCCCAAATGTCATACCTCCCAAATGTCATACCTCCCAATTGTCATACCTCCCAAATGTCATACCTCCCAAATATCATACCTCCCAAATGTCATACCTCCCAAATGTCATACCTCCCAAATGTCATACCTCCCAAATGTCATACCTCCCATCAAACAGCTGATCCTGATGGACAGTAGTCTGGCCAAGCTGAGAAAAATGTTGAAAGCTCCGTACAAGAGAATCAACTGGTACTCACTGGTCATCAACGACATGATATCCAAGTTCCACACGGTAGGTCATTTTCAACTGACCACAGGATTTCTAAGTTCCACACGGTAGGTCATTTTTAACTGACCACAGGATATCCAAGTTCCACACGGTAGGTCATTTTTAACTGACCACATGATATCCAAGTTCCACACGGTAGGTCATTTTTAACTGACCACAGGATTTCCAAGTTCCACACGGTAGGTCATTTTTAACTGACCACAGGATTTCCAAGTTCCACACGGTAGGTCATATTTAACTGACCACAGGATTTCTAAGTTCCACGCGGTAGGTCATTTTAACTGACCACATGATATTCGTTTTTGGTAGGTCATTTTTAACTGACCACAAGATTTCTAAGTTCCACACGGTAGGTCATTTTTAACTGACCACATGATATCCAAATTACCCGGTAGGTCATTTTAACTGACCACATGATATTCGAGTTCGGTAGGTCATTTTTAACTGACCACATAATATTCAAGTTCGGTAGGTCATTTTCTGACCATTGAACCTCTCTCTATTTCTCTGACTGCAGCAACTGAACCTCTCTCTATTTCTCTAACTGCAGCAATTGAACCTCTCTCTATTTCTCTGACTGCACCAACTGAACCTCTCTCTATTTCTCTGACTTCAGCAACTGAACCTCTCTCTATTTCTCTAACTGCAGCAATTGAACCTCTCTCTATTTCTCTGACTGCACTAACTGAACCTCTCTCTATTTCTCTGACTGCAGCAATTGAACCTCTCTCTATTTCTCTGACTGCACTAACTGAACCTCTCTCTATTTCTCTGACTGCAGCAATTGAACCTCTCTCTATTTCTCTGACTGCACTAACTGAACCTCTCTCTATTTCTCTGACTGCACCAACTGAACCTCTCTAATTCTCTGACTGCAGCAACTGAACCTCTCTCTATTTCTCTAACTGCAGCAACTGAACCTCTCTCTATTTCTCTGACTGCACCAACTGAACCTCTCTCTATTTCTCTGACTGCAGCAACTGAACCTCTTCAACGGCACCGTGAAGACGATCACCCGCATCACCAAGGACATCCAGACCATCCTGGACAACGTCGAGACACTGCATCTCTTCAAGCAGAAGGCCGCCCCCTACCCGGGCTTTGTCTTCAGCTGTAAGGTGCGTCCTGTGGCTGGTACCGCGGTGGTATGCTGATGGTGGTGGTGGTCGTCTGTATCTAGTTTGTTGGTGGCGTGTTGGTAGCGTGTTGGTGGCGTGTTGATTGCGTGTTGGTGTCGTGTTAGTGGCGTGTTGGTGGCGTGTTAGTGGCGTGTTGGTGGCGTGTTGGTGGCGCGTTGGTGGCGTGTTGGTGGCGTGTTGGTGGCGTGTTGGTGGCGTGTTGGTGGCGTGTTGGTGGCGTGTTGGTGGCGTGTTGGTGGCGTGTTGGTGGCGTGTTGGTGGCGTGTTGGTGGCGTGTTGGTGGCGTGTTGGTGGCGTGTTGGTGGCGTGTTGGTGGCGTGTTGGTGGCGTGTTGGTGGCGTGTTGGTGGCGTGTTGGTGGCGTGTTGGTGGCGTGTTGGTGGCGTGTTGGTGGCGTGTTGGTGGCGTGTTGGTGGCGTGTTGGTGGCGTGTTGGTGGCGTGTTGGTGGCGTGTTGGTGGCGTGTTGGTGGCGTGTTGGTGGCGTGTTGGTGGCGTGTTGGTGGCGTGTTGGTGGCGTGTTGGTGTCGTGTTGGTGGCGTGTTGGCGGCGTGTTGGTGGCGTGTTGGTGGCGTGTTGGTGGCGTGTTGGTGGCGTGTTGGTGGCGTGTTGGTGGCGTGTTGGTGGCGTGTTGGTGGCGTGTTGGTGGCGTGTTGGTGGCGTGTTGGTGGCGTGTTGGTGGCGTGTTGGTGGCGTGTTGGTGGCGTGTTGGTGGCGTGTTGGTGGCGTGTTGGTGGCGTGTTGGTGGCGTGTTGGTGGCGTGTTGGTGGCGTGTTGGTGGCGTGTTGGTGGCGTGTTGGTGGCGTGTTGGTGGCGTGTTGATGGCGTGTTGGTGGCGTGTTGGTGGCGTGTTGGTGGCGTGTTGGTGGCGTGTTGGTGGCGTGTTGGTGGCGTGTTGGTGGCGTGTTGGTGGCGTGTTGGTGGCGTGTTGGTGGCGTGTTGGTGGCGTGTTGGTGACGTGTTGGTGGCGTGTTGGTGGCGTGTTGGTGGCGTGTTGCTGAAATATGAGATATTTTCTGACATGAGAAATATTCTAAAGCGTGTAACAATTGCTTCAATTGAAACATATGCTTACATGTGACGTTGAGTGACATATGTGACATGTACTGACATATGTTACAATTGCTGACATATGAGACATACACTGACATGAGACATTTGCGACACTGCTGACATGACATAAACAGACACGTGTGAGCAGCCAGCCATAACTGCCTACGTCTCCCCCACCACCAACCCCCCCCCCCCCCCACCCCCCCCCCCAGGACACGTTCGACTTCGCCTACAGTATGCGCGACACCGACATTGAGCTGGCCTCTAAGAACGTCAGCTCCATCGGGGTACTCATCCTAAAGATCGAGTCCACCATCTCAAGCAGCACGGGGCTCACCAAGAAGCGGACCACCCTACAGAGCTACTACACCTACTGGGAGAGGACGATCTTCAACTCACTCACCAAGGTGACCCGTTGAACATTGTATATATCATTAAGGTGACCCGTTGAACATTGTATATATCATTAAGGTGACCCGTTGAACATTGTATATATCATAAAGGTGACCCGTTGAACATTGTATATATCATAAAGGTGACCCGTTGAACATTATGTCATAAAGGTGACCCATTGAACATTATGTCATAAAGGTGACCCGTTTAACATTGTATATATCATAAAGGTGACCCGTTGATGGTGACCTGCTTACTTTATGCTTCACATAAGGTGACCCGTTTAACTTTATATACCACCAAGATCATCCATTAAGGTTTATATATCACCAAGGTGACCCATTCGTCATAATACATCACCAAGGTGCCCCGTTTAACTTTTTCTATGACCAAGGTGACCCATTCACTTTACCACTACGGTAACCCGTTCAACTTTATACATCACCAAGGTGACCCATTGAAAATTATATATCGCCAAGGTAACCTATTTAACATAACTCCCCAAGACTACCACTGTTAATTAAAGAGTTGATAACTGTATCCGTCATCGCGTGTTGCCAGATGGTGTTGAAGAACCTCAAGTCGTACATCTACCAGCTCCGGCAGGAGAAGCCGCTCTTTGGCATCGAGGCTCAGCTGGCACCGCCCGACGTCATCCTCAACCCACAGACCAACGACATCTTCAAGACGATCGTCTCCACGGCTAGAGACATGGTCATTAAGTAAGTCTGGACGGCCAGAGACATGGTCATTAAGTAAGTCTGGACGGCCAGAGACATGGTCATTAAGTAAGTCTAGACGGCCAGAGACACGGTCATTATGTAACTCTTGACGGCCAGAGACATGGTCATTATGTAACTCTGGACGGCCAGAGACATGGTCATTAAGTAAGTCTGGACGGCCAGAGACATGGTCATTAAGTAAGTCTGGACGGCCAGAGACATGGTCATTAAGTAAGTCTGGACGGCCAGAGACATGGTCATTAAGTAAGTCTGGACGGCCAGAGACACGGTCATTAAGTAAGTCTGGACGGCCAGAGACATGGTCATTAAGTAAGTCTGGACGGCCAGAGACTTGGTCATTAAGTAAGTCTGGACGGCCAGAGACATGGTCATTAAGTAAGTCTGGACGGCCAGAGACACGGTCATTATGTAACTCTTGACGGCCAGAGACACGGTCATTATGTAACTCTGGACGGCCAGAGATTGGTCATTAAGTAAGTCTGGACGGCCAGAGACTTGGTCATTAAGTAAGTCTGGACGGCCAGAGACATGGTCATTAAGTAAGTCTGGACGGCCAGAGACATGGTCATTAAGTAAGTCTGGACGGCCGGAGACATGGTCATTAGGTAAGTCTGGACGACCGGAGACATGGTCATTAAGTAAGTCTGGACGGCCAGAGACATGGTCATTAAGTAAGTCTGGACGGCCAGAGACATGGTCATTAAGTAAGTCTGGACGGCCAGAGACATGGTCATTAAGTAAGTCTGGACGGCCAGAGACATGGTCATTAAGTAAGTCTAGACGGCCAGAGACACGGTCATTATGTAACTCTTGACGGCCAGAGACACGGTCATTATGTAACTCTGGACGGCCAGAGATTGGTCATTAAGTAAGTCTGGACGGCCAGAGACTTGGTCATTAAGTAAGTCTAGACGGCCAGAGACATGGTCATTAAGTAAGTCTGGACGGCCAGAGACATGGTCATTAAGTAAGTCTAGACGGCCAGAGACACGGTCATTATGTAACTCTTGACGGCCAGAGACACGGTCATTATGTAACTCTGGACGGCCAGAGATTGGTCATTAAGTAAGTCTGGACGGCCAGAGACTTGGTCATTAAGTAAGTCTAGACGGCCAGAGACATGGTCATTAAGTAAGTCTGGACGGCCAGAGACATGGTCATTAAGTAAGTCTGGACGGCCAGAGACATGGTCATTAAGTAAGTCTGGACGGCCAGAGACATGGTCATTAAGTAAGTCTGGACGGCCAGAGACATGGTCATTAAGTAAGTCTGGACGGCCAGAGACATGGTCATTAAGTAAGTCTGGACGGCCAGAGACATGGTCATTAAGTAAGTCTGGACGGCCAGAGACATGGTCATTAAGTAAGTCTGGACGGCCAGAGACATGATCATAAAATACGTCTGGACTGTAGCTAATGAAGCGCGTATGAACTGTGAATAATTGATCCCTTAATGAACATTGGATAAATAACCACAGTGTGACCCCTGTATGACCCTTGTGTCACCCCTGTATGACCCCCAGTGTGACTCCTGTATGACCCCTGTGTGACCCCTGTGTGACCCCTATCTCACCCTTGTATGACCCCGTGTGACCCCTGTATGACCCCTGTATGACCCTTGTGTCACCCCTGTATGACCCCCAGTCTGACTCCTGTATGACCCCTGTGTGACCCCTGTGTGACCCCTGTGTGACCCCTGTATGACCCCTGTATGACCCCTGTCTCCACCAGAACCAAGCGGTTCGTGCGCTGGATGAACGGCACGTGCGTGGATGCCCCGCCCCAGAAGGTCAAGTTCCTGGACGAGCCGTACGTCTTCTCGTACTTCCAAGACCTCGTCCTCGACCCGGAAGTGGCTGAACTACTGACCGAGTGCGAGGAGGCGGCCTTTAAATGCCTGGCCAAAGTTCACAAGTCCCTGGGCAAATGGAAGAAGTTCCGTCCCTTGTGGAGATCAGATAAGGTCAGAACTAGCACAATTTTAACCGATATGGTCAGCACTAACACAACTTTAACCGATAAGTTCAGAACTAGCACAATTTTAACCGATAAGTTCAGAACTAGCACAATTTTAACCGATAAGTTCAGAACTAGCACAATTTTAACCGATAAGTTCAGAACTAGCACAATTTTAACCGATATGGTCAGCACTAACACAAATTTAACCGATAAGGTCAGAGCTAACACAAATTTAACCGATAAGGTCAGAACTAGCACAAATTTAACCGATAAGGTCAGAGCTAACACAAATTTAACCGATAAGGTCAGAGCTTACACAAATTTAACCGATAAGGTCAGAACTAGCACAAATTTAACCGATATGGTCAGAACTAGCACAAATTTAACCGATAAGTTCAGAACTAGCACAATTTTAACCGATATGGTCAGAACTAACACAAATTTAACCGATAAGTTCAGAACTAACACAAATTTAACCGATAAGTTCAGAACTAACACAAATTTAACCGATAAGTTCAGAACTAGCACAAATTTAACCGATATGGTCAGAACTAACACAAATTTAACCGATAAGTTCAGAACTAACACAAATTTAACCGATAAGTTCAGAACTAGCACAAATTTAACCGATAAGTTCAGAACTAACACAAATTTAACCGATAAGTTCAGAACTAGCACAAATTTAACCGATAAGTTCAGAACTAGCACAAATTTAACCGATAAGTTCAGAACTAGCACAAATTTAACCGATAAGTTCAGAACTAACACAAATTTAACCGATAAGTTCAGAACTAGCACAAATTTAACCGATAAGTTCAGAACTAGCACAAATTTAACCGATAAGTTCAGAACTAACACAAATTTAACCGGTAAGGTCAGAGCTAACACAAATTTAACCGATATGGTCAGAACTAACACAAATTTAACCGATAAGGTCAGAACTAGCACAAGTTGAACCGTATGCTTTTGGAGAGATTTTTTTACAATTACTTAATAAAGTGTGTGAATTTGTACGCAATCCAAAATATCAAACAACAGGAAAAGGGTAAATTTTTTACCAGTAGACCATCGGATCTGAAAGAATACTATACTTGTTGAATTAAAGGCTTACATTTTATAAACAATTGTATTTCAAAAAACCCACCCGTCTACTTTCACTTTTAAAAACCCACTCTTCTACTTTCACACTGTCAAAAAACCCACTCTTCTACTTTCACTTTCAAAAACCAACTCTTCTACTTTGACTTTCAAAAACCCACCCTTCTAGTTTCACTTTCAAAAACCAACTCTTCTACTTTCACTTTCAAAAACCAACTCTTCTACTGCCACTTTCAAAAACCCACCCTTATACTTTCACTTTCAAAAACCCACCATGACGGTCTACTCCAGGAGGAACAACTAGACAAGTGGCTGTTCAAGAAGAGAACTGCAACAGATTTCGATTATAAGTTCCAGCACTATTTCTCATGTATCGAGAACATTGAAAGAAGAGATGAGGTTAAGGTAAGGGTTAGGGAGATATGTGGACTAGGTTAGGTTAAGGTAAGGGTTAGGGAGTTATGTTGACTAGATTAGGTTAGGGTAAGGGTTAGGGAGTTATGTGGACTAGGTTAGGTTAGGGTAAGGGTTAGGGAGTTATGTGGACTAGGTTAGGTTAGGGTAAGGGTTAGGGAGTTATGTTGACTAGATTAGGTTAAGGTAAGGGTTAGGGAGTTATGTGGACTAGGTTAGGTTAGGGTAAGGGTTAGGGAGATATGTGGACTAGGTTAGGTTAAGGTAAGGGTTAGGGAGTTATGTGGACTAGGTTAGGTTAAGGTAAGGGTTAGGGAGTTATGTGGACTAGGTTAGGTTAAGGTAAGGGTTAGGGAGATATGTGGACTAGGTTAGGTTAGGGTAAGGGTTAGGGAGTTATGTGGACTAGGTTAGTTTAGGTTAGGGTTAGGGTTAAAGAAATCTTTAAACTAGATAAGGTAATGGTTAAAGAAATCTTTAAACTAGATAAGGTTAAGGTAATGGTTAAAGAAATCTTTAAACTAGATAAGGTTAAGGTAAGTGATAATGAAGCGTGGTTGCTGATTATGATATTAGGAATTTTAAAAAATTATGTTTTATCCCAAGAACAATGTATGTCAAGGTTATTGGCCATATTCCTATTGTATTCATACCTCTTGTTTGTTATCTCTCAGGTGATTGGTTGCGTCGAGCTGAGTACATCAGCATTAGCAGACACCGCTAAAGGTCACGCCAGGGAATGGATACGTCTGCTGGGCAAGAAGCTTCACGCGCAGGCGGCGACAAAGCTGGTCTCTATCCATGAGGAAATCATGGTAGGTTCTGTTAGGGGCTCACGTCAATCATGGTAGGTTCTGTTAGGGGCTGCACGTCAATTATGGTAGGTTCTGTTAGGGGCTCACGTCAATCATGGTAGGTTCTGTTAGGGGCTCACGTCAATTGTGGTAGGTTCTGTTAGCGGCTCACGTCAATCATGGTAGGTTCTGTTAGGGGCTCACGTCAATTATGGTAGGTTCTGTTAGGGGCTCACGTCAATTGTGGTAGGTTCTGTTAGCGGCTCACGTCAATCATGGTAGGTTCTGTTAGGGGCTGCACGTCAATTATGGTAGGTTCTGTTAGCGGCTCACGTCAATTATGGCACGGTTCTGTCTTTAATTTCACGCTCTAGAGTCCAACTTACTTTGATGACATTCGTGATGGTAATCACTTCAATTTTATCTGGCAGGACAAGTCGTCTGACCTTGAAGACACGACGGATAACCTTGAGGAGTTGAAGGCCGTGCTGACGACCATCCAGAGCATCAAGGACAACCTGCTGATGTGGGAGGTCAGGTGGCGAGCTGTGCAGGAGGAGTACCGGACCCTGATGGTCTATGGGATAGAGGCATGTCCGGTCACGTGACTACACATCTGGCCCTGTCTCGTGCTTGTAACACCTCTCGTACACCTGTTGAACACCTGTTGAACACGTCTCACACCTGTCAAACACCTGTTTCACACCTGTCAAACACACGCTGAACACCTGTTGAAAACCTGTTGAATACCTATTGTACACGTTCACACCTGTTGAACACCTGTTAAACACCTGTGTTTGTTTCGACAGGTGCCCGAGGAAGAGCTGAAGCTCCAGGAAGACATCCCAAACATCTACGAGAAGGTTCTGCTCAAGGCCAAAAACAGAGATTGTCGTTTGGTCGTGGTCAAGTCAAAGTTCAAAATGGTAACCCCTAACCCCTAACCCTGACCCTAACCCCTAACCCTGACCCCTAACCCTGACCCCTAACCCTAACCCTAACCCCTAACCCTGACTGAAATCTATCACTGACTAGCCTCAGACATACATCATTTATTATTACCTAGCCATGCGGTTCTTTGGCTAAACTATCGTTTCATTGGCAAAACGATCACGAACTTGACATGAACCAAAACATATTGAAGTCTAACTGCTTGTATGTAAGAGGATTTCCTACCCCCCCCCCAACCCCCCTGGCCTGTGAGGCTAACCTCTCATGTGTGTGGCTAATCTCTCTTGTCTGTGAGACTTATCTCCCGTGTCTATAAAGCATTTCTTCCCTTGCCTAACCCAATGTAACTCTTCCTAAAGATCACAGAGCACCAGGTCAACAACTTCAAGGAGGAGTGTGAAATTTTCTACAACAAATTTATGGAGGAGGGGCCAGCCTCGGTGGGGGATAACCTGCAGATGGGTGAGTTAATGTCAAGGTCAAACTTTTAGAGGAGGTCAAGTCTATTTTTGTAAAGTTTGGCTTAGTGACATGGCTACCCACATCTCTATAACCGTGACACTCTATTATATGTTTCCTCGCCCCCTACATTATTCGCCTTACCCCCTTCCGTGAATATGATGCCCTCTATTATATGCTTCCATACCCTAAAGATAACGCCCTATATTATTTGCAGTCCCCCCCCCTTCTACCTTGTCGTGACTTACTGTATTATGCATCCCCACTTTCCCGCAGGTAACGCCCTGTATTGTGTGCCCCCACTCCCCCGCAAGAGACGCCTTTTATTATGTGCCCCCACTCCCCCGCAAGAGACGCCCTTTATTATGTGCCCCCACTCCCCCGCAAGAGACGCCCTTTATTATGTGCCCCCACTCCCCCGCAAGAGACGCCCTATATTATGTGCCCCCACTCCCCCACAGGTGACGCCCTTTATGATGTGCCCCCACTCCCCCGCAAGAGACGCCCTATATTATGTGCCACCACTCCCCCGCAGGTGACGCCCTTTATGATGTGCCCCCACTCCCCCGCAGGTGACGCCCTTTATTATGTGCCCCCACTCCCCCGCAAGAGACGCCCTTTATTATGTGCCCCCACTCCCCCGCAAGAGACGCCCTTTATTATGTGCCCCCACTCCCCCGCAAGAGACGCCCTATATTATGTGCCCCCACTTCCCCGCAAGAGACGCCCTTTATCCTTTATTATGTGCCCCCACTCCCCCGCAGGTGACGCCCTTTATGATGTGCCACCACTCCCCCGCAGGTGACGCCCTTTATTATGTGCCCCCACTCCCCCGCAAGAGACGCCCTTTATCATGTGCCCCCACTCCCCCGCAGGTGACGCCCTGGTCGAGAAGTTCACTGCCGGCGTGGAGGAGCTGGAGGAGCGACGCGTGGATCTCGCGCTGGCCGAGAAGTTGTTCGAGCTGCCTATCACGGTCCACGAGAAGCTGCTACTGGTCAAGAAACAGCTGGCCTGGCTCAACCAGATCTACTCGCTGTACCGGGAGCAGGACGTGAGTGGTGGGGGTCACAGGGGTCATGGGACATGTCGACCTAGGGGTCATGTGGGAGTCACAGGGGTCATGGGACATATCGACATATGGATCATGTGGGGGTCTAGACACAGGGGTCATGGGACGTCGACCTAGGGGTCATGTGGGGGTCACAGGGGTCATGGGACATGTCGACATAAGGATCATGTGGGGGTCTAGACACAGGGGTCATGGGACATGTCGACCTAGGGATCATGTGGGGGTCTAGACACAGGGTTCATGGGACATGTCGACATAAGGATCATATGGGGGTCTAGTCACAGGGGTCATGGGACCTGTCGACCTAGGGATCATGGCACGGGTCATATAAAAGTTCGACCTAGGGGTCATATGGCTAGTTGACCTAGGGGTCATATGGCTAGTTGACCTAGGGGTCATATGGCTAGTTGACCTAGGGTTTACATGAAATGGTCGACCTAGGGTTCATGTCACCAGTAATCCTGGGGGTCATGTGTCCAGTCGACCTAGGGGTCATGTGTCCAGTCGACCTAGGGGTCATATGGCTAGTTGACCTAGGGGGCATGTGTCCAGGCGACCTAGGGGTCATATGAATAGTAGATCTATTTTTTGCTGAATCTTGTACCATCCTGTACCTACCGTGTGGTGTGTGGTTTATCCTGTACCTACTGATGTGGTTGTGGTTTATCCTGTACCTACTGTTGTGGTGTGTGGTCTATCCTGTACCTACTGTTGTGGTGTGTGGTTTATCCTGTACCTACTGTTGTGGTGTGTGGTTTATCCTGTACCTACTGTTGTGGTGTGTGGTTTATCCTGTACCTACTGTTGTGGTGTGTGGTTTATCCTGTACCTTCTGTCTATAGGCCGCCAAAAACAAATGGTCTGAGACCTTGTGGGTCGACCTTGACATTGAGGTGCTGAGCCGCGGTATAGAGGACTACATCAAACAGCTGAGGAAGTTACCCAAGAACGTGAGGTCACTTCAGCCCGCCGTCGTCCTTGACCAGCAGATGAAACAGTTCAAGTAGGTTGACCTTTGACCCTGAAACATTTCAAGTAGGTTGACCTTTGACCCTGAAACAGTTCAAATAGGTTGACGTCGTAGAAGGCAAAAACTTGACCCTGAAAAGCGTTGATTTTAAACCCTAACATTAACCCTAATTCTTTCTCTGTCAGGTTTAAAATCTCAGCGCTAACTTATTTTTATTTTTCGATGCTAAATTTCAGGTGCTTACCTTTATTATTGTGTCGTAAGCGTAACTTTAAACGTTTTTCCCTTGGCTTAAACTTAACGTAATTAGGGTTAATTTATAAATAAATTAAAATCACCCCCCCCCCCCCCCACGTCCAGAGACTCGCTGCCCTTGATCGTAGACCTTAAGTCGGAGGCCCTACGAGAGCGACACTGGAAGGAACTGATGAGCAAGACAGGCCAGGAGTTCGACATGAACCCGAAGACCTTCACCTTGGCCGGCATCTTCAACATGAAGCTGTACCGCTTCTCTGCTCTCATCAACGAGATCGTCGTCGCCGCCTCAAAGGAGATGAGCATAGAAAAGGTAAACTTCAGTATGGGCACATAAAGTGATGAGCATAGAAAAGGTAAACTTCAGCATGGTCACATAAAGATATGAGCATAGAAAAGGTAAACTTCAGCGGAGATGAGCATAGAAAAGGTAAACTTCAGCATGGTCATATAAAGAGATGAGCATAGAAAAGGTAAACTTCATGGGCACATAAAGAGATGAGCATAGAAAAGGTAAACTTCAGTATGGTCATATAAAGAGATGAGCATAGAAAAGGTAAACTTCAGTATGGGCACATAAAGAGATGAGCATAGAAAAGGTAAACTTCAGTTTGGTCATATAAAGAGATGAGCATAGAAAAGGTAAACTTCAGCATGGGCACATAAAGAGATGAGCATAGAAAAGGTAAACTATAGCATGGGCACATAAAGAGATGAGCATAGAAAAGGTAAACTTCAGCATGGGCACATAAAGAGATGAGCATAGAAAAGGTAAACTTCAGTATGGTCACATAAAGAGATGAGCATAGAAAAGGTAAACTTCAGCATGGGCACATAAAGAGATGAGCATAGAAAAGGTAAACTTTAGCATAGTCACATAAAGAGATGAGCATAGAAAAGGTAAACTTCAGTATGGTCATATAAAGAGATGAGCATAGAAAAGGTAAACTTCAGTATGGTCACATAAAGAGATGAGCATAGAAAAGGTAAACTTCAGTATGGTCACATAAAGAGATGAGCATAGAAAAGGTAAACTTCAGTATGGTCACATAAAGAGATGAGCATAGAAAAGGTAAACTTCAGTATGGTCACATAAAGAGATGAGCATAGAAAAGGTAAACTTCAGCATGGGCACATAAAGAGATGAGCATAGAAAAGGTAAACTTCAGCATGGGCACATTCAAGTTGTCTCTAACACAGTGGTTCTTAAAATTTTTGGAGGTACCGAACCCCACCAGTTTCAAATGCGCATTCACTGATCCTTTCTTAATAGCTCTATCGTCCACGATAGAGAATCACATGGGTCGGGTGTGTGTCTTGACCTCCGCCCGAACCCCTGAGGTTGACTCACCGAAAACCCTGAGATTCGATCGAACCCAGGTTTAGAACCACCGCTCTAACAGTCTTTCCCACCACCTGGTGTACGTGTTACCCCCCCCCCCCCCTCCCCTCACCCCGAGACGAAATAAAAGTACTTTATATTTAATTATCTACTTTAATTAAGACCCCTAAACCAGCTGTGACCCCCCCCCTAAACCAGCTGTGACCCCCCCCCTAAACCAGCTGTGACCCCCCCCCCCCTAAACCAGCTGTGACCCCCCCCCCCTAAACCAGCTGTGACCCCCCCCCCCTAAACCAGCTGTGACCCCCCCCCCCCCCCTAAACCAGCTGTGACCCCCCCCCCCTAAACCAGCTGTGACCCCCTAAACCAGCTGTGACCCCCTAAACCAGCTGTGACCCCCTAAACCAGCTTTGACCCCCTAAACCAGCTGTGACCCCCTAAACCAGCTGAAACCCCCCTAAACCAGCTAAAGTAAAGTTTCCCTTTCAAACCTGACGATCTATGGGGCTAGTGAAGTAGAGTTCACTTGTTTCTGTGACCTCGGCATATGAAGAGATAATGTGGTCAGCATTATGCCCAGCCGCCTTTACTTTCCCTAACGTGAGTTAGATACCCATCAGAGTTGGGTGGACTCAGGGACGGTCTACTGACTTGAACCCGGATTCGAACTCGAGACTTACGGGTTAGCAGTCCAACTCTCAACCGCTAGACCACTCCGTCCCCCCCCCCCTAAACCAGCCGTGACTCTCCCCCCTGAACCAGCTGTGACCCCCTACAACAGCTTTGACCCCCTAAATAAACTGTAACCCCCTTAACCAGCTGTGACCCCCCTGAACTAGCTGTGACCCCCCCTCCACAGGGCATCAATGATGTGGAGGAGCTGTGGAAGAAGGCCAAGTTCATCATCCTGCCCTATGTCAAGGGCAACCGTCGCGCGCACATCCTGGGCCCCGTGGACGAGATCCTGCAGAATCTTGACGACACGAGCGTCAACCTGCAGAACATGTCCGCCTCTCGCTTCATTGGGCCCTTCCTGCCGCTCGTACAGTCATGGGAGAAGTCGCTCTCTCGGATATCAGAGGTTCTAGACGTAAGTCTGGTCTGGTGGTGTGGTGGTGTGGTGGTGTGGTGGTGTGGTGGTGTGGTGGTGTGGTGGTGTGGTGGTGTGGTGGTGTGGTGGTGTGGTGGTGTGGTGGTGTGTTGATGTAGGGGCCGGTCTGGTGGTGTGTGCTGGTGTAACGGCCGGTTTGGTGGTGTGGTGGTGTTGTGGTGTGGTGGTGTTGTGGTGTGGTGGTGTGTTGATGTACGGGCCGGTCTGGTGGTGTGGTGGTGTGTGTGCATGTAAGAGCCGATAAGGTGTAGAGGTGGTGTGTCTAGATGTGTCCGGTCTGGTGTTGTGCATCGGTACTTATGTCGGCCTGTCCTGTAAAATATACCGGCGTGTCTTATCAACACAAGTAGGACCATACGTGAGGTCTTGGTTTCAAATGTTCACATCCCCACCCTCAGCAGCATCGCCCTTGCTATTTTTATACCCTCCCCCACCCCTCAAGCTACAAGCAAAAGCTTTAGTCAATCTTCTTCATAAAAAAAATATCCTAAAACAGAAAGAGAATACAAAAGCCCCTTAAAATATAGATCGAGTTTGTTTATAAAATTTCGCACATATAATAAACTACTTGAAGAAATTCACCCCCCTCTCACCCGTCAATGTTGTGTTGACAATGATCTCGTTCAGGTGAGTTTCTTTTCTTCCACAGGTGTGGCTGCAGGTGCAGCGGAAGTGGATCTACCTGGAGGGTATATTTGGGGGAGGTGACATCAGTAAACAACTTCCGGAGCAAGCCAAGTTTTTTGACAAGATCGACAAACAGTTCAAAAAGGTGGCGACATTTCTTTATGTGTTAAAAATTCACGGTTACTCTACTTCCCCTGTTTATCTCGGTAACAGTTAACCAATCGTAAGTTGTTATATGAAACTTGTGTCAATGCACGACTGACCCTTCCACCCCTATCAGATAATGGAATCGACCAACGACTCGCCCAACATCAAGCAGGCCACTCACGTTGATGGCCGCTATGACGAGATGGTCTCGCTCTCCCTGGGACTCGAGCGGTGCCAGAAGTCTCTCAACGACTACCTGGACTCCAAGAGGAATGCTTTCCCCAGGTAAATACCCCACAGGTAGAGGGGACATTGTCCCGGGTAAATTGCCAAGGGTTAGATGGGACAATTTATCAGGTAATTTACCATTCGGCAAAAGGCACATGTGTAAACTACCAAGAACCACATTAGATTCGTGTAATATTACCAAACACAAATGTGATTACACAGATAATATTTAGATGGACGAAGCCGTTGTTGTGGTTTAGAGTTCAAATCTTACACCTGGCCTAATGTATGGAGTAACAAATTAAGAAGCTCTAGCTAAGATGTTTCTAACAATAAACTTGACGTGACTTACTGAGTGTTCATTTGTTGCAGATTTTTCTTTATTTCTGATGACGAGCTACTCAGCATTCTGGGGTCGTCTGATCCGGAGTGTGTACAGGAGCACATCATTAAGGTAATTATTGTGTACAGGAGCACATCATTAAGGTAATTATTGTGTACAGGGGCACATCATTAAGGTAATTACTGTGTATAGGAGCACATCATTAAGGTAATTATTGTGTACAGGAGCACATCATTAAGGTAATTATTGTGTACATGAGCACATCATTAAGGTAATCATGTTTTAACCATGGTTTTAAAAGATTATCAAGTTAATAATCTCTCAACAACGCCTCCACACCCCCCCCCACCCTTAGATGTACGACAACATCGCCAGCCTGAGGTTCGTCAAGAACGCCAACAACCCCAAGGAGCTGATGGTCAACGCCATGATCTCCGCGGAGAAGGAGGTGATGGAGTTCCGTACAGCTCTCAGCTCCAACGACAGGGTCGAGATCTGGATGACGGCCGTCCTAGAGGAGATGAGGAGGACCAACCGACTCATCACCAAGGAGGCCATCTTCTACTACAGCTATCAGAAGTCCAGGTGGGTCAGGGTCAAGGTTAGGCCAGGTGGGTCAGGGTCAAGGTTAGGCCATCTTCTACTACATCTATCAAAAGTCCAGTTGGGTCAAGGCCAGGGTCAAGGTCATGGCAGATAGGTCAGGGTCAAGGTTATGGTCAAGGTTAGGGTCAATGTCATGGTCAATTCTAGGCCATCGTCTACTACAGCTATCAGAAGTCCAGGTGGGTCAGGGTCAAGGTTAGGCCAGGTGGGTTATGGTCAAGGTTAGGGTCAAGGTAAGGCCATCTTCTACTTCAGCTACCAGAAGACCAGGTGGGTCAGGGTCAAGGTTAGGGTCAAGGTAAGGCCATTTACTGCTCTCAGGAAGTCTAGGTGGATTAGGGTCAATGGTTAGACTAACCTTTGACCTTTCTCAGGGCCGACTGGATGCTGGACTACCAGGGGATGGTGTGTCTGGCAGCGAGCCAGGTGTGGTGGACCTGGGAGGTGGAGGATGTCTTCAGGAAGATAAAAAATGGCATCAAGACGGCACTCAAAGACTACTCCAAGAAGATGCACATGCAGCTAGATCAGCTGGTCGTTAAGGTTAGCGGAGTGTACAGTTGGGTTGAGTTTGTGTATTAGTTGGTGAAATGTTGATTTGTACACTCATTACAGCATACCTGTTAATGCCAGTGTATCAGTTCTGCTACATTTAGTGCAGCATACTTGCTACTGCCAGTGTAGCAGTTTTCCTGCATTTAGTGCAGCATACCTGTTATTGCCAGTGTAGCACTTCTGCTACATTCAGTGCAGCATACTTGCTACTGCTAGTGCAGCATAACTGCTACTGCAAGTGTAGCAGTTCTGCTATTCAGTGCAGCATACCTGCTACTGCCCGTGTAGCAGTTCTGCTACATTCAGTGCAGCATACCTGCTACTGCCAGTGTAGCACATCTGCTACATTCAGTGCAGCATACATGATACAGCTAGTGCAGCATACGAGACCCACCGTGTCCCCTACGACCAGGCTCCATTGATCCCCAGGTACGGTCTAACCTGTTGAAGAATGACCGGAAGAAATACAACACCTCGTTGATCATCGACGTCCATGCTAGGGACATAGTAGACGGCTTTGTCAGGGACAGGTGAGTCGTGTGTCAGACAGGTGAGTCGTGTGTCAGAGAGGTGAGTCGTGTGTCAGACAGGTGAGTAGTGTGTCAGACAGGTGAGTCGTGTGTCAGACATGTGAGTCGTGTGTCAGACAGGTGAGTCGTGTGTCCGACAGGTGAGTCGTGTGTCGGACAGGTGAGTCGTGTGTCAGACAGGTGAGTCGTGTGTCATCCAGGTGAGTCGTGTGTCAGGCAGGTGTGTCAGGCAGGTGAGTCGTGTGTCAAACAGGTGAGTCGTGTGTCAGACAGGTGTGTCAGGCAGATGAGTCGTGTGTCAGACAGGTGAGTCGTGTGTCAGAGAGGTGAGTCGTGTGTCAGACATTTGAGTCGTGTGTCAGACAGGTGAGTCGTGTGTCCGACAGGTGAGTCGTGTGTCAGACAGGTGAGTTGTGTGTCACAAAGGTGAGTCGTGTGTCAGACAGGTGAGTCGTGTGTCAGACAGGTGAGTTGTGTGTCAGACAGGTCTGTCGTGTGTCAGACAGTTGCGTCGTGTGTCAGACAGGTCTGTCGTGTGTCAGAGAGGTGTGTCGTGTGTCAGACAGGTGAGTCGTGTGTCAGACAGGTCTGTCGTGTGTAAGACAGGTGAGTCGTGTGTCAGACAGGGGAGTTGTGTGTCAGACAGGGGAGTCGTGTGTCAGAGAGGTAAGTCGTGTGTCAGACAGGTGAGTTGTGTGTCAGACAAGTGAGTTGTGTGTCAGACAGGGCAGTCGTGTGTCAGACAGATGAGTCGTGTGTCAGACAGGTCTGTCGTGTGTCAGACAGGTGATGTCAAACAGGTGAGTTGTGTGTCAGACAGGTGAGTCGTGTGTCAGCGAAAGGTGAGTCATGTGTCAGACAGGTGAGTCGTGTGTCAGACAGGTCTGTCGTGTGTCAGACAGGTGAGTCGTGTGTCAGACAGGTCTGTCGTGTGTAAGACAGGTGAGTCGTGTGTCAGACAGGGGAGTTGTGTGTCAGACAGGGGAGTCGTGTGTCAGACAGGTGAGTCGTGTGTCAGACATGTGATGTCAGATAGGTGAGTCGTGTTTCAGACAGGTGTGTCGTGTGTCAGACAGGTGTGTCAGACAGGTGAGTCGTGTTTCAGACAGGTGTGTCGTGTTTCAGACAGGTGTGTCGTGTGTCAGACAGGTGTGTCAGACAGGTGAGTCGTGTGGCAGACAGGTGAGGGCAGACAGATGAGTCGTGTATCTAACAGGTGTTGTGTATCAGATGAGTATTGTGTCGCACATCTGAGTGTGTTGTTTAAGTGAACTGTGAGTCAGGGATAGCTGAGTTGTGCTTCTAAAAATGTGTTTTCGATAATTTCGCTTTCATCGCTATCATATAAAAAATGTGTCTAACCGATAGCGGTATAAAAATGTGTTTTCCGACAGTGTTATAAAAATGATTTTTGCCGGCAGTGTTATAAAAAATGTTTTGCCGGCAGTTATAAAAATGATTATTGCCGGCAGTGTTCTAATTATGTGTTTTGTCGGCAGTGTTATAAAAAATGTGTTTTGCCGGCAGTGTTATAAAAAATGTGTTTTGCCGGCAGTGTTATAAAAAATGTGTTTTCCCGGCAGTGTTATAAAAAATGTGTTTTGCCGGCAGCATCATGGACGAGAAGGAGTTCGAGTGGGAGTCCCAGCTCCGGTTCTACTGGGTGAAGGAGCCGGACGAGCTGTACATCCGGCAATGTACCGGCTCCTTTCTCTATGGGTACGAGTACATGGGGCTCAACGGCCGGCTCGTCATCACGCCGCTCACTGACCGCATCTACCTGACCTTGACCCAGGCGCTGTCCATGAACTTGGGCGGGGCGCCGGCTGGACCTGCTGGAACCGGCAAGACGGAGACGACAAAAGATCTGGCCAAAGCGCTGGGGCTCTTGTGTGTGGTGACAAACTGTGGGGAGGGGATGGATTATAAGGTGAGGGGTGTGTGGGGTGGGATATAAGGTGAGGGGTGTGTGGGGGTGGGTTATAAGGTGAGGGGTGTGTGGGGGTGACAAATTGTGGAGAGGGGATGGATTATAAGGTGAGAGCTGTGTGTGGTGGGTTGTACAATGTGTGGGGTGTGTGTTTGGGTTGTAAGGTGAGGTGTGTGTGGGTAGATTATTACGTTGTTTAAGCTAGTTGGTCGTTTTTTTTTAATCCCTAGTTATGAGACCCCACCCAACCTAAAAAAATTTCTGAAACCCCACCCAACCCGAACCCCTGCCTATTATGTTCCAGGCCTTCGGTAAGATCCTGTCGGGCCTGTGCCAGTGTGGGGCCTGGGGCTGTATGGACGAGTTTAACCGGATCGACATCTCCGTGCTGTCCGTCATCTCCACACAGCTGCAGCTCATCAGGCACGCCCTCGTCATGAAGCTTACACATTTCCAGGTGGGTCCCATTACATCAGGTGGGTACCATTACATCAGGTGGGTCCCATTACATCAGGTGGGTTCCATTACATCAGACATGCCCTCGTCATGAAGCTTACACATTTCCAGGTGGGTCTCATTACATCAGGTGGATCCCATTACATCAGGTGGGTCCCATTACATCAGGTGGGTTCCATTACATCAGACAGGCCCTCGTCATGAAGCTTACACATTTCCAGGTGGGTCACATTACATCAGGTGGATCCCATTACATCAGGTGGGTCCCATTACATCAGGTGGGTTCCATTACATCAGACAGGCCCTCGTCATGAAGCTTACACATTTCCAGGTGGGTCCCATTAAATCAGGTGGGTCCCATTACATCAGGTGGATCCCATTACATCAGGTGGGTCTCATTACATCAGGCATGCCCTGGTCATGAAGTTTACACATTTACAGGTGGGTCCCATTACATAGATAGGTCTTACATCAAGTGGATCTCATTATATCAGATGGGTCCCATTACATCAGGTGGGTCTCATTACATCAGACAGACCCTCGTCATGAAGCTTACACATTTCCAGGTGGGTTTCATTACATCAGGGGGTCTCATTACATCAGGTGGGTTCCATTACATCAGGCACGCCCTCGTCATGAAGCTTACACATTTCCAGGTGGGTCCCATTAAATCAGGTGGGTCCCATTACATCAGGTGGATCCCATTACATCAGGTGGGTCCCATTACATCAGGCATGCCCTGGTCATGAAGTTTACACATTTACAGGTGGGTCCCATTACATAGATAGGTCTTACATCAAGTGGATCTCATTATATCAGATGGGCCCCATGACATCAGGTAGGGTCTATTACATCAGGCAGACCTATTTCCATGTAGCATCCTTTACATACATTTTCTACTTTTGTATTAGTAATTTTGTAGTTATAGAAAAGCCATGAAATGCTCTAGTTACACTAAACCCATGAAATGTTATAGTTATAGAAAGCCATGAAATGTACTAGTTATGTTGTACTTTCTAGTTATGTTGTATGTTCTAGTGATGTTGTATGTTCTAGTTATGTTGTATGTTCTAGTTATGTTGTACGTTCTAGTTATGTTGTATGTTCTAGTTATGTTGCATGTTCTAGTTATGTTGTACGTTCTAGTTATGTTGTATGTTCTAGTGATGTTGTATGTTCTAGCTATGTTGTATGTTCTAGTTATGTTGTATGTTCTAGTTATGTTGTATTTTCTAGTGATGTTGTATGTTCTAGTTATGTTGTATGTTCTAGTGATGTTGTATGTTCTAGTGATGTTGTATGTTCTAGTTATGTTGTATGTTCTAGTGATGTTGTATGTTCTAGTGATGTTGTATGTTCTAGTGATGTTGTATGTTCTAGTTATGTTGTATGTTCTAGTTATGTTGTATGTTCTAGTTATGTTGTATGTTCTAGTTATGTTGTATGTTCTAGTTATGTTGCATGTTCTAGTTATGTTGTATGTTCTAGTGATGTTGTATGTTCTAGTGATGTTGTATGTTCTAGTGATGTTGTATGTTCTAGTGATGTTGTATGTTCTAGTTATGTTGTATGTTCTAGTTATGTTGTATGTTCTAGTTATGTTGTATGTTCTAGTTATGTTGTATGTTCTAGTTATGTTGCATGTTCTAGTTATGTTGTATGTTCTAGTGATGTTGTATGTTCTAGTGATGTTGTATGTTCTAGTGATGTTGTATGTTCTAGTGATGTTGTATGTTCTAGTTATGTTGTATAATCTAGTTATGTTGTATGTTCTAGTGATGTTGTATGTTCTAGTTATGTTGTATGCTCTAGTTATGTTGTATGTTCTAGTGATGTTGTATGTTCTAGTGATGTTGTATGTTCTAGTTATGTTGTATAATCTAGTTATGTTGTATGTTCTAGTGATGTTGTATGTTCTAGTTATGTTGTATGCTCTAGTTATGTTGTGTGTTCTAGTTATGTTGTATGTTCTAGTTATGTTGTATGTTCTAGTTATGTTGTATGTTCAAGTTATGTTGTATGTTCTAGTTATATTGTATGTTCTAGTGATGTTGTATGTTCTAGTGATGTTGTATGTTCTAGTTATGTTGTATAATCTAGTTATGTTGTATGTTCTAGTGATGTTGTATGTTCTAGTTATGTTGTATGTTCTAGTTATGTTGTATGTTCTAGTTATGTTGTATGTTCTAGTGATTTTGTATGTTCTAGTTATGTTGTATGTTCTAGTTATGTTGTATATTCTAGTTATGTTGTATGTTCTAGTTATGTTGTATGTTCTAGTTTGAAGGAGCTGAGATCCCCCTAGACAACAGAGTCGGTGTTCTAGTGATGTTGTATGTTCTAGTTATGTTGTATGTTCTAGTTTGAAGGAGCTGAGATCCCCCTAGACAACCGAGTCGGTGTTTTCATCACGATGAACCCCGGTTATGCCGGACGCACGGAACTGCCGGAGTCCGTCAAAGCTTTGTTCCGTCCGGTCGTGGTCATCGTGCCGGACCTACAGCAGATCTGTGAGATCATGCTCTTCTCGGAGGGCTTCCTGCAGGCCAAGGTTCGAATCCCTCGGTTTCTATCATTTATGTTCGTTAGCCATTGTTCGTTCATTGTTTTTTTCTCTAAAATTCTAAAACTTCTCACGGCATTATCATTGTGTACATTGTCATACTAAATTCTTATTTTTTAACCTTAAATTTTGTTTGTTTTACTTACATATTTAAAATTATTTTTTTATTTAACAAGTTGATTAGTGATGTATCTATAATTTAATTTTTATCTAAAGTACACGCTACTGGTTATAGACCTGTATTTATTTATAGGTTATGTTGCATAATATGTAATAGCGAGACGTCAAAACTGGTCATGCCAAATCTAGGCCAAAACGATTTCGGCCATTTATTAACTTTGGCCATCTGCTACTTACAATGATATATCTTGTACAGAAATATATGTTGGCCATCTGACACTTATGCTGGCATATCTTGTGCAGATCATGGCCAAGAAGATGACAGTACTGTACAAGCTGGCCAGAGAACAGCTCTCCAAACAGTTCCACTACGACTTTGGTCTGAGGGCTCTTAAGTCGGTGCTAGTCATGGCAGGGGAACTCAAGAGGAGTGCTGAGGAGTTGGAGGAGGTGAGTGTGGGGGGGGGGTTGACGAGTTGGAGGAGGTGAGTGTGTGGGGGTGGTGAGGAGTTGGAGGAGGTGAGTGTGTGTGGGTGGTGAGGAGTTGGAGGAGGTGAGTGTGTGGGGGTGGTGAGGAGTTGGAGGAGGTGAGTGTGGGGGGGTGAGGAGTTGGAGGAGGTGAGTGTGTGGGGGTGGTGAGGAGTTGGAGGAGGTGAGTGGGGGGGTGAGGAATTGAAGGAGGTGAGTGGGGGGGTGAGGAATTGAAGGAGGTGAGTGGGGAGTGGACAGTACTTGGTGCTTCAAAAAGCCAGTTGTGCTCCAATATTTTCTTGTCCAGAAACCTTGACGTGTAGTCCAATATTTTGTGGTCCACAAACCTTGAGATATGGTCCCATATTTTGTGGTCCACAAACCTTGAGATGTGGTCCCATATTTTGTGGTCCACAAACCTTGAGATGTAGTCCCATATTTTGTGGTCCACAAACCTTGAGATATGGTCCCATATGTTGTGGTCCACAAACCTTGAGATGTAGTCCAATATTTTGTGGTCCACAAACCTTGAGATATGGTCCCATATTTTGTGGTCCACAAACCTTGAGATGTGGTCCCATATTTTGTGGTCCACAAACCTTGAGATGTAGTCCCATATTTTGTGGTCCACAAACCTTGAGATGTGGTCCCATATTTTGTGGTCCACAAACCTTGAGATATGGTCCCATATGTTGTGGTCCACAAACCTTGAGATGTAGTCCAATATTTTGTGGTCCACAAACCTTGAGATATGGTCCCATATTTTGTGGTCCACAAACCTTGAGATGTGGTCCCATATTTTGTGGTCCACAAACCTTGAGATGTAGTCCCATATTTTGTGGTCCACAAACCTTGAGATGTGGTCCCATATTTTGTGGTCCACAAACCTTGAGATATGGTCCCATATGTTGTGGTCCACCAACAGGATGTGGTGCTGATGAGGGCACTAAGAGACATGAACCTGCCGAAGTTTGTCTTCGAGGATGTTCCCCTGTTCCTGGGTTTGATATCCGACCTGTTCCCGGGCCTCAACTGCCCGAGGGTCCGGTACCCCAGCTTCAACGACGCGGTGGAGGCGAGTCTGACAGAACAGGGGATGATCATCTTACCTGTACAGGTGAGTGGCTCAATGGTCCCGCTGATGTAGCACCACGGTGGTTTGTCTTCTGGGGGCGAGTCGCCATCTTTAAATCAGATGCAGATCTTGTTTTAATATAGTTTAAAATGAGTTCCAACTAAGTTTTGTAGAAGCTATCTCTTATTGTCGATTAAGTTGATCGCAAGCAACATCCTACACAAAACCAAAACCTACATAACTATTGCTTACAGACACATTTGGTCTAAGGGAAACAATACAACATAGGGCTAAACTAAACTCACATTCTCACTATCTAAACTATATTGAACAATCCTAAGTAATGTCACACTGTCCTTCTAGTAATATCGTAGCTTGTTAAATATCTACGTACGCTTTTCGTGCATATGTACTGTTGATTGAAAATCGGGAATTACAGACGATTTTTTGCTTGTTTGTTGTATAAGCTGTTAGGCTGCGAGTTTGTTGGATAATGATTGAAGCGATGATTGACAGGTGGATAAGATTGTCCAGTTGTACGAGACCATGATGACCCGACACTGCACCATGATTGTGGGCCCGACGGGGGGCGGGAAGTCTGTCGTACTGAACATGTTGGTCCAGGCCCAAACTAGGTAGGTCAAGGTCAGGTTTGGGGGGGGGGGGGCGGGGAGTCTGTCGTACTGAACATGTTGGTCCATGCCCAAACTAGGTAGGTCAAGGTCAGGTGTTGGGGGGGGGGAGTCTGTCGTACTGAACATGTTGGTCCAGGACCAAACTAGGTAGGTCAAGGGTAGGTGTTGGGGGGAGGGGTCTGTCGAACTGAACATGTTAGTCCAGGCCCAAACTAGGTAGGTCAAGGTTAGGTGTTGAGGGGGGGGGGGAGGGGGGCGGGAAGTCTGTCGTACTGAACATGTTGGTCCAGGCCCAAACTAGGTAGGTCAAGGTCAGGTTTGGGGGGGGGGGGGGGGCGGGGAGTCTGTCGTACTGAACATGTTGGTCCAGGCCCAAACTAGGTAGGTCAAGGTCAGGTGTTGAGTGGGGGGGGGAGGGGGGGGGAGTCTGTCGTACTGAACATGTTAGTCCAGGCCCAAACTAGGTAGGTCAAGGTCAGGTGTTGGGGGGGGGGGGCGGGAAGTCTGTCGTGTTTATTGGGGGGGGGGGGTTATGTAAGGGTTAAGTTGTTGGGGTTAAGGTTAGGTGTTTGTTGTAAGGGGGGAGGATAAGTTAGGGCTCATTTTTTGGGGGTTAGGTTGAAGTGTTTGTTTTTGTTGAGGGTTATGTTAGGGATATATGTGATAAAAGTAAAAGCTTAGTTTTCTAGTTGGAGACAAAGTTATACTTAACAAGGTTTGTTATTATAGTTAAAATTTGGGTCATTGGTAAAGGTTAAAGTTGAAACTACTTTACTTGTCTTTTCACAATTAAAATTAAGATGCAATATAAATGTACTTTGGTTAGTTTTGGCTATGGTATATGCTGTTAGGGTTACTGTTAGTTATTGTATACTTCTGTTGTTAATTTTCTTTATTTCTAAGACCCAAAATCTGAAATCTTTAAGTAATGCTCGGTTTCTTTTAGCTAGAATTCCATTTCTTGAGATTAGGGTTTAAACTAGTGTTTTAACTGACTTAAAACGAACACTTACCAGCAATAAAAAAAACCCTTGTCATTTTAACCCAAGTTTTATAATGGTTAGTGTTAACTTAGTGTTGCGATGTGAGGAGTATAAACCCAACCCTAAACCCTTGCACTAGGTTGGGCACGCCAACCCGTCTGTTCACCATCAACCCCAAGGAGAGGCCAGTGATAGAGCTTTACGGCGTCCTTGACCCCGTTAGCAGAGACTGGACTGATGGACTTCTCTCCAACATCTTCAGGTAACAGGGCGGGGTCGTGGTGATATTTTAGGGGTCGTGGTGACCTTTTAGGGGTCGTGTTGACATTTTAGGGGTCATGGTGACACTTAGGGGTCATGGTGATACTTAGGGGTCGTGGAGACACGTTGGGGTCATGTCAAAACTTAGGGGTCATGATGACACTTAGGGGTCATAGTGACACTTAGGGGTCGTGGTGACACTTAGGGGTCGTAGTGACGAGATTTAAGGGACCATTTTATATTTGATATTTGGGGTCATTTATATTAGAGATTATAGGGTCATGTAGATATTATAGTGGTCTGGTATCATTGAATGTGTTGTGACAAGATTCTCTTTTTGTCATCATGTTCAAGATCTGGGTTTTTTTTTGGGGGGGTAGTTATGCCAACTAAAGGGTTTTAAAGGTTGACGACAAAGTCATTAAAATATCATGATTAAAACTAAGTAGCATTGCGTTGTGTGGTATCAACATCTGAGTTGAAGAGATTATCAGGTTGATAAAATTGAGACTTGTAGAGAGATGAACTGTTGATAACTTCACTGTTGTAAACGGATGAACTGTTGCAAAATGGTTGTGGTAGAAGGAGGGATTGTTGATAAACCTGACTGTTGCTAACTTGCCTGTTGTAGAGAGATCAACAAACCCACCGAACGTAAAGAGCTGCGCTACATCGTGTACGACGGTGACGTGGACGCCCTGTGGGTGGAGAACATGAACTCAGTCATGGACGACAACAAGCTGCTCACGCTGTCCAACGGAGAGCGGATCCGGCTGCAGAACTACTGCGCCATGTTGTTTGAGGTAAGGAATCTAGAGAACTACTGCGTCATGTTGTTTGAGGTAAGGAATCTAGAGAACTACTGCGCCGTGTTGTTTGAGGTAGGGAATCTAGAGAACTACTGCGCCATGTTGTTTGAGGTAAGGAATCTAGAGATTTTTTAGCTGTGTAACACCTTTATACACGAAGAAGGTTTAGATATTAAGTTTACCATGTACGTGTATGGTCCACTCCAGACCAAATGTATGCAGCATAGCTTGATATTGCAGATGTATGAGTCGGCCTTGATATTGCGTGTGCCGTGTTCTTGCCTTGCATTCTGTTATACCTATAATTAACCTTGAGGATGTAACACCTAAACTTAACCTTGCTAGTGTATTAATTTTCTTTTGACCTTGCCAATATATGACCTTGCCTTGATCTTGCATGTTTATGACCTAAGCTTGACCTCGTAGATGTAAGACCTAGCGTTGAAATTCCATGTTATATCACTTGGCCTTGTTATTGTATGACCAAGCTTTGACGGCGAAAGACCAAACCTTGACCTTGACCGTGTATAATATTGTCGTTGTATGGTCCGACCTGGACCTTACCGTAGTATATCATTGACCTTGTATGACCTTGACCTTGTATGGTCCGACCTTTGACCTTGCAGGTGTACGACCTCCAGTACGCCTCACCGGCCACCATCTCACGCTGCGGCATGGTGTACGTCGACCCGAAAAACCTGGGTTACGTCCCCTTCTGGGAGCGGTGGCGCATGAAGCGGCCAGAGGAGGAGGCCAAGACCTTCGACAAGCTCTTCAAGAAGTACGTCAGTCACGTGACCGACCTGGTGGTGGACGGCCTGCAGGACGGTCAGCAAGTGGAGAAGCTCAAGATGATTGTACCACTGACCAATCTCAACATGGTAGTTTTCTTATGATTGTACCGCTGACCAATCTTAACATGGTAGTTTTCTTATGATTGTACCGCTGACCAACCTTAACATGGTAGTTTTCTTATGATTGTACCGCTGACCAACCTTAACATGGTAGTTTTCTTATGATTGTACCGCTGACCAATCTCAACATGGTAGTTTTCTTATGATTGTACCGCTGACCAACCTTAACATGGTAGTTTTCTTATGATTGTACCGCTGACCAACCTTAACATGGTAGTTTTCTTATGATTGTACCGCTGACCAACCTTAACATGGTAGTTTTCTTATGATTGTACCGCTGACCAACCTTAACATGGTAGTTTTCTTATCATTGTACCGCTGACCAATCTTAACATGGTAGTTTTCTTATCATTGTACCGCTGACCAACCTTAACATGGTAGTTTTCTTATGATTGTACCGCTGACCAACCTTAACATGGTAGTTTTCTTATGATTGTACCGCTGACCAACCTTAACATGGTAGTTTTCTTATCATTGTACCGCTGACCAATCTTAACATGGTAGTTTTCTTATCATTGTACCGCTGACCAACCTTAACATGGTAGTTTTCTTATCATTGTACCGCTGACCAACCTTAACATGGTAGTTTTCTTATCATTGTACCGCTGACCAATCTCAACATGGTAGTTTTCTTATGATTGTACCGCTGACCAACCTTAACATGGTAGTTTTCTTATGATTGTACCGCTGACCAATCTTAACATGGTAATTTTCTTATGATTGTACCGCTGACCAATCTCAACATGGTAGTTTTCTTATGATTGTACCGCTGACCAATCTCAACATGGTAGTTTTCTTATCATTGTACCGCTGACCAATCTTAACATGGTAGTTTTCTTATGATTGTACCGCTGACCAATCTTAACATGGTAGTTTTCTTATGATTGTACCGCTGACCAACCTTAACATGGTAGTTTTCTTGTGATTGTACCGCTGACCAATCTTAACATGGTAGTTTTCTTATCATTGTACCGCTGACCAATCTTAACATGGTAGTTTTCTTATGATTGTACCGCTGACCAACCTTAACATGGTAGTTTTCTTATGATTGTACCGCTGACCAATCTCAACATGGTAGTTTTCTTATGATTGTACCGCTGACCAACCTTAACATGGTAGTTTTCTTGTGATTGTACCGCTGACCAACCTTAACATGGTAGTTTTCTTACGATTGTACCGCTGACCAATCTTAACATGGTAGTTTTCTTATCATTGTACCGCTGACCAATCTCAACATGGTAGTTTTCTTATGATTGTACCGCTGACCAATCTTAACATGGTAGTTTTCTTATGATTGTACCGCTGACCAATCACAACATCACTCCCGTATGCCATCCACCTTACTGAACAACCATCTGTCTCACCAAACAACCCTCTCACCCATCATCAACCATCTCACTGCTCCATCTGCCAACCATCTCTCTGCCCCATCTGCCAACCATCTGCCAACCATCTGCCAACTGTCTCACTGCCAACCATCCACCAACCATCTGCCAACCATCAGGTCCAGCAACTGACCGTCATGCTACAAGCCACCATCGTACAGAATGACCTTGACCCCGCCGAGTTGGAGGCCCTGATGGTCCAGGCCCTGGTCTGGTCTCTGGGGGCGGGTCTACTGGAGGAGAGCCGGATCCGGTTCGACACCTACCTCAAGTACATTGCCAGCATGGCCATGATCTATGACCCCAACAAAAGTCCCGGGGCAGGTAGGGCGTGATCTTTGTATGTTAGGGCGTGATCTTTGTATGTTAGGGCATGATCTTTGTATGTTAGGGCGTGATCTTTGTATGTTAGGGCGTGATCTTTGTATGTTAGGGCATGATCTTTGTATGTTAGGGCGTGATCTTTGTATGTTAGGGCGTGATCTTTGTATGTTAGGGCATGATCTTTGTATGTTAGGGCGTGATCTTTGTATGTTAGGGCATGATCTTTGTATGTTAGGGCGTGATCTTTGTATGTTAGGGCGTGATCTTTGTATATTAGGGCATGATCTTTGTATGTTAGGGTATGATCTTTGTATGTTAGGGTATGATCTTTGTATGTTAGGGCATTATCTTTGTATGTTAGGGCATTATCTTTGTATGTTTGGGCGTGATCTTTGTATGTTAGGGCATGATCTTTGTATGTTAGGGCGTGATCTTTGTATGTTAGGGCGTGATCTTTGTATATTAGGGCATGATCTTTGTATGTTAGGGTATGATCTTTGTATGTTAGGGTATGATCTTTGTATGTTAGGGCATTATCTTTGTATGTTAGGGCATTATCTTTGTATGTTTGGGCATGATCTTTGTATGTTAGGGCATTATCTTTGTATGTTGTGGTATGATCTTTGTATGTTGTGGTATGATCTTTGTATGTTAGGGCTTGATCGATATGTGTGGTAGGGCATATTATTTAATGACAGTGCACAATCTTTTTGTTAGGGCATGCTCTTTTAGTTGTACAGTGTGATTTTTGTTTGTTAAGACATGATCTTCTGGTGGTAGGATCAATGATCATTTTGTTAAGACATGATCTTTTAGTTGAAGAGCATGATCGTTTGGTGCCAGGTCAGACTTGTACTCAGGGGATAGTATCAGGCCAAAAGACACAATCATACAAGAAAATGCCTCATCTGTTGATCTTGTGTCTCGTGTCTTAAAGGTGAACTGCCTCACCTGTGTTTCGTGTCTTAAAGGTGAACTGCCTCACCTGCCTACCTTGTGTTTCTCGTGTCTTGAAGGTGAACTGCCTCACCTGTTGACCTTGTGTCTCGTGTCTTAAAGGTGAACTGCCTACCTTGTGTCACGTGTCTTAAAGGTGAACTGCCTCACCTGCCTACCTGTGTCTCGTGTCTTAAAGGTGAACTGCCTCACCTGCCTACCTAGTGTCTCGTGTCTTAAAGGTGAACTGCCTACCTTGTGTCTCGTGTCTTAAAGGTGAACTGCCTACCTTGTGTCACGTGTCTTAAAGGTGAACTGCCTACCTTGTGTCTCGTGTCTTAAAGGTGAACTGCCTACCTTGTGTCACGTGTCTTAAAGGTGAACTGCCTACCTTGTGTCTCGTGTCTTAAAGGTGAACTGCCTACCTTGTGTCTCGTGTCTTAAAGGTGAACTGCCTCACCTGTCGACCTTGTGTCTCGTGTCTTAAAGGTGAACTGCCTGGCCTGCTGACCTTGTTTGACCACACCTATGACGTCGTCAAGAAGAAATGGATCCCCTGGCAGAAGCTGGTGCCGTCCTATGAGCACGATCCTGAGAGAAAGTTTTACGACATCCTGGTCCCTACGGTAGAGACGGTAAGTTTTACGATATCCTGGTCCCTACGGTAGAGACGGTAAGTTTTACGACATCTTGGTCCCTAAAGACTGTAAGTTTTACGACATCCTGGTCCCTAAAGACGGTAAGTTTTACGACATCCTGGTCCCCACGGTAAAGACGGTAAGTTTTACGACATCTTGGTCCCTACGGTAGAAACGGTAAGTTTTACGACATCCTGGTCCCTAAAGACGGTAAGTTTACGACATCTTGGTCCCTACGGTAGACACGGTAAGTTTTACGACATCCTGGTCCCTACGGTGGAGACGGTAAGTTTTACGACATCCTGGTCCCTAAAGACGGTAAGTTTTACGACATCCTGGTCCCTGCTTTAGAGACGGTAAGTTTTACGACATCCTGGTCCCTAAAGACGGTAAGTTTTACGACATCCTGGTCCCGAAAGACAGTAAGTTTTACGACATCCTGGTCCCGAAAGACGGTAAGTTTTACGACTCACCTACCTGTGCCCCAAATGTAACTCTATGTGTGTGTCACCTACCTATGTTTTAAATGTAACTATATTTGTCTCATCTACCTGTGACCTAAATATAACTCTATATGTGTCACCTACCTGTGCCCCTATATAAAACTCTTTGTCTCACCTACCTGTGCCATTATGTAAAACTCTATATGTGTCACCTACCTGTGTCCTAAATATAACTATATGTCTCACCTACCTGTGTCCTAAATATAACTATATGTCTCACCTACCTGTGCAATTATGTAAAACTCTATATGTGTCACCTACCTGTGTCCTAAATATAACTATATGTCTCACCTACCTGTGCCATTATGTAAAACTCTATATGTGTCACCTACCTGTGTCCTAAATATAACTATATGTCTCACCTACCTGTGCCATTATGTAAAACTCTATATGTGTCACCTACCTGTGTCCTAAATATAACTATATGTCTCACCTACCTGTGCCATTATGTAAAACTCTATATGTGTCACCTACCTGTGTCCTAAATATAACTATATGTCTCACCTACCTGTGCCATTATGTAAAACTCTATATGTGTCACCTACCTGTGTCCTAAATATAACTATATGTCTCACCTACCTGTGCCATTATGTAAAACTCTATATGTGTCACCTACCTGTGTCCTAAATATAACTATATGTCTCACCTACCTGTGCCATTATGTAAAACTCTATATGTGTCACCTACCTGTGTCCTAAATATAACTATATGTCTCACCTACCTGTGCCATTATGTAAAACTCTATATGTGTCACCTACCTGTGCCCTAAATGTAAAACTCTATATGTGTCACCTACCTGTGCCCTAAATGTAAAACTCTATATGTGTCACCTACCTGTGCCATTATGTAAAACTCTATATGTGTCTCCCCTACCTGTGCCCTAAATGTAAAACTCTATATGTGTCTCCCCTACCTGTGTGTCCAGGTGCGGGCCACCTGGCTCCTACAGCTGCACATATTGGTCAGACGGCCCGTGGTTCTGGTGGGCGAGACTGGGACGTCCAAAACTGCCACCATCCTCAACTTCCTGCGTGCCATCAATCAGGACACGACGGTAGGGGTTGTAGGCCCTTAGTGGGTGAGAGTTATATGCCCTTAGTGGGTGAGGGTTATATGCCCTTTGTGAGCGAAGAGATTTATGCTGTTATTGGAACACCCACTGTAGGAGTTAAATTCCTTTAGTGTATAAACTTATAAGTTAACATTCCGTGTATGTAAGCATTGACCATGTCCCCAGATGTTGCTCACCATATAAGTTAACATTCCGTGTATGTAAACATTGACCATGTCCCCAGATGTTGCTGAACATATAAGTTAACATTCCGTGTATGTAAGCATTGACCATGTCCCCAGATGCTACTCAACATATAAGTTAACATTCCGTGTATGTAAGCATTGACCATGTCCCCAGATGCTACTCAACATATAAGTTAACATTCCGTGTATGTAAGCATTGACCATGTCCCCAGATGCTACTCAACATATAAGTTAACATTCCGTGTATGTAAGCATTGACCATGTCCCCAGATGCTACTCAACATATAAGTTAACATTCCGTGTATGTAAGCATTGACCATGTCCCCAGATGCTACTCAACATATAAGTTAACATTCCGTGTATGTAAGCATTGACCATGTCCCCAGATGTTGCTCACCATATAAGTTAACATTCCGTGTATGTAAACATTGACCATGTCCCCAGATGCTGCTGAACATATAAGTTAACATTCCGTGTATTGTCCCCAGATGTTGCTGAACATATAAGTTAACATTCCGTGTATTGTCCCCAGATGTTGTTCACCATATAAGTTAACATTCCGTGTATTGTCCCCAGATGTTGTTCACCATAGAAGTTAACATTCCGTGTATGTAAGCATTGACCATGTCCCCAGATGCTGCTGAACATGAACTTCTCCTCCCGGACAACCTCCCTGGACGTACAGCGGAACCTGGAGGCCAACATGGAGAAGCGCACCAAGGACACATACGGTCCGCCCTCCAACAAGAGACTCATCATCTTCATTGATGAGCTCAACATGCCGCAGGTACGGTCTGACGTCATATGACGTCTCGTTATCAGCATGGTCCGTGGTGCTGACGTCAGACATGACGTCATGTGTGTCGTTATCCGGGTGGTGCCAAAGTTGAAAACTGTACAGGTTTCCGGGAGAGCCAAGAGCAGGTGCACTGCTGCGTTTTGGTTGCCATGGAAACTGGTGTCAACTGTAAGGAAACTTAAAAAATAATTAGCAGCTGGCTACGTCAGCTTTAAGTTCTCGGGAAGCATCTGTTGTCTCCTGAGGTAAAACTGAACCACTCCACCCCAAATACAAATAAAGTTGGAACCATTACCCCTCCCCTCCCCACCACCACACCCCAACCACAAATAAAGTTGGAACCCTCCCAAGTTTTAAAGTGCAACAAATCATCATCTCCCCACCACCACCACCACCCTACCCCACCAACAAACCATCCTCTCCCCACCACCACCACCACCACCACCCCACCCCACCAACAAACCATCCTCTCCCCACCACCACCACCCCACCCCACCAACAAACCATCCTCTCCCCACCACCACCCCACCCCAACAAACCATCCTCTCCCCACCACCACCCCACCCCAACAAACCATCCTCTCCCCACCACCACCCCACCCCAACAAACCATCCTCTCCCCACCACCACCCCACCCCAACAAACCATCCTCTCCCCACCACCACCACACCAACAAACCATCCTCTCCCCACCACCACCACCCCACCCCACCAACAAACCATCCTCTCCCCACCACCACCCCACCCCAACAAACCATCCTCTCCCCACCACCACCACCACCCCACCAACAAACCATCCTCTCCCCACCACCACCCCACCCCAACAAACCATCCTCTCCCCACCACCACCACCACCCCACCAACAAACCATCCTCTCCCCACCACCACCACCCCACCCCAACAAAACATCCTCTCCCCACCACCACCACCCCACCCCACCAAACCATCCTCTCCCCACCACCACCACCACCACCCCACCAACAAACCATCCTCTCCCCACCACCACCACCACCCCACCCCACCAAACCATCCTCTCCCCACCACCACCACCACCACCCCACCCCAACAAACCATCCTCTCCCCACCACCACCACCACCACCACCCTACCCCACCCCAACAAACCATCCTCTCCCCACCACCACCCTACCCCACCAAAAAACCATCCTCTCCCCACCACCACCATACCCCACCAACAAACCATCCTCTCCTCCAGGTGGACACGTATGGGACCCAGCAGCCGATCGCCATGTTGAAACTTCTGCTGGACCGTGGGGGCGTGTACGACAGGGGCAAGGAACTCTGCTGGAAGAACATGAAGGACCTGGGCTACATCGCCGCCATGGGGAAGGCGGGGGGCGGCCGGAACGAGACGGACCCACGATTTGTCTCCCTGTTCTCCGTCTTCAACATGACCTTCCCTGATAACAACTCCCTGCTCAGGATCTACGTCTCCATCCTGGAAGGTCATCTCAGACCTTTCGAGTTGGAGATCAGTCGACAGGCGACCAACCTCACACACATGACCTTGGAGCTTTACGCGTGGGTGACCTAATGACATTAGAGCTTTACGTATAATAGTTACGCAATTATGTTCAAGAATTTTATTTAGTGTTTTTTTAGCACATACAAAACATAAGGCGATAGGATAATTTTAAATGTATCAAGTTATTTCTTACCTATATCCCTGTTATAGGTCACAAGTGTACACACCGTATTGGCCATTGTCGACAACCTATTCACCTATTGTACACACCCTCTGAAAACAAACTGTGTACACATCACTAGAAATGGCACCGTAGCATTCCAATTTAAAAAAATAAAAATGTGTCTTAACTCTAGCATAACCATAACCCTAAGGTGTTGATAAAAGAGCCCCCCCCCCCACCCGCCCAAATTAACTCTAGCATAACCTTGTCCCCAGGGTGTGATCAAAGAGCTAACCCCCCCCCCCCCCCACCCGCCCAAATTAACTCTAGCATCACCTTATCCCCAGGGTCCTGATCAAAGAGCTACCCCCCACCCCGTCCAAGTTCCACTACATCTTCAACCTCCGCGACCTGTCCCGTGTGTACAACGGCCTGTGTATGTCCACCCCAGACCGTTTCAGCACCCTCTCCCAGTTCCTCAGGCTGTGGAGGAACGAGTGCATGAGGGTCATCTGTGACAGGCTCATCACTATAGAGGACAAGGACCTGGTGCAGGTAGGTGGCATGGGTTGGTGCAGGTAGGTGGCATGGGTTGGTGCAGGTAGGTGGCATGGGTTGGTGCAGGTAGGTGGCATGGGTTGGTGCAGGTAGGTGGCATGGGTTGGTGCAGGTAGGTGGCATGGGTTGGTGCAGGTAGGTGGCATGTGTTGGTGCAGGTAGGTGGCATGGGTTGGGTTGGTGCAGGTAGGTGGCATGGGTTGGGTTGGTGCAGGTAGGTGGCATGGGTTGGGTTGGTGCAGGTAGGTGGCATGTGTTGGTGCAGGTAGGTGGCATGGGTTGGGTTGGTGCAGGTAGGTGGCATGGGTTGGTGCAGGTAGGTGGCATGGGTTGGTGCAGGTAGGTGGCATGTGTTGGTGCAGGTAGGTGGCATGGGTTGGTGCAGGTAGGTGGCATGGGTTGGGTTGGTGCAGGTAGGTGGCATGGGTTGGGTTGGTGCAGGTAGGTGGCATGGGTTGGTGCAGGTAGGTGGCATGGGTTGGTGCAGGTAGGTGGCATGGGTTGGGTTGGTGCAGGTAGGTGGCATGGGTTGGGTTGGTGCAGGTAGGTGGCATGGGTTGGTGCAGGTAGGTGGCATGTGTTGGTGCAGGTAGGTGGCATGGGTTGGGTTGGTGCAGGTAGGTGGCATGGGTTGGTGCAGGTAGGTGGCATGGGTTGGGTTGGTGCAGGTAGGTGGCATGGGTTGGGTTGGTGCAGGTAGGTGGCATGGGTTGGTGCAGGTAGGTGGCATGGGTTGGTGCAGGTAGGTGGCATGGGTTGGGTTGGTGCAGGTAGGTGGCATGGGTTGGGTTGGTGCAGGTAGGTGGCATGTGTTGGTGCAGGTAGGTGGCATGGGTTGGTGCAGGTAGGTGGCATGGGTTGGGTTGGTGCAGGTAGGTGGCATGGGTTGGTGCAGGTAGGTGGCATGGGTTGGGTTGGGTTGGTGCAGGTAGGTGGCATGGGTTGGTGCAGGTAGGTGGCATGGGTTGGGTTGGTGCAGGTAGGTGGCATGGGTTGGGTTGGTGCAGGTAGGTGGCATGGGTTGGGTTGGTGCAGGTAGGTGGCATGGGTTGGTGCAGGTAGGTGGCATGGGTTGGTGCAGGTAGGTGGCATGGGTTGGTGCAGGTAGGTGGCATGGGTTGGTGCAGGTAGGTGGCATGGGTTGGTGCAGGTAGGTGGCATGGGTTGGTGCAGGTAGGTGGCATGGGTTGGTGCAGGTAGGTGGCATGGGTTGGTGCAGGTAGGTGGCATGGGGTGGTGCAGGTAGGTGGCATGGGTTGGTGCAGGTAGGTGGCATGGGTTGGTGCAGGTAGGTGGCATGGGTTGGTGCAGGTAGGTGGCATGGGTTGGTGCAGGTAGGTGGCATGGGTTGGTGCAGGTAGGTGGCATGGGTTGGGTTGGTGCAGGTAGGTGGCATGTGTTGGTGCAGGTAGGTGGCATGGACAGGGTTGGTGCAGGTAGGTGGCATGGGTTGGGTTGGTGCAGGTAGGTGGCATGGGTTGGGTTGGTGCAGGTAGGTGGCATGGGTTGGGTTGGTGCAGGTAGGTGGCATGGGTTGGTGCAGGTAGGTGGTATGGGTTGGGTTGGTGCAGGTAGGTGGCATGGGTTGGGTTGGTGCAGGTAGGTGGCATGGGTTGGTGCAGGTAGGTGGCATGTGTTGGTGCAGGTAGGTGGCATGGGTTGGGTTGGTGCAGGTAGGTGGCATGGGTTGGGTTGGTGCAGGTAGGTGGCATGGGTTGGTGCAGGTAGGTGGCATGGGTTGGGTTGGTGCAGGTAGGTGGCATGGGCAGGGTTGGTTGGTGCAGGTAGATGTTTTGTACATTCCTCTTTTTGTTGTTGAACGTAGTAATAGCAATTTTAAAAACAATTTTAATGACTAATTAAGTATCTTGTTACACTAAACACAGGATAAAATGGGAAAGTATTTATTTCGAAAGTTTGAAAGAAATTAGCATTAGAGTTTTTTAAACTTAGAGTGACTTAAGTCAAATCTTCCACACTTGACATGTCCCAGGGCCACATCCTGCGTCTGATCAAGGAACACTTCAAAGACTCCAACAGTGAGTACATCGCGAGGGACCCCATACTCTACGGCGACTTCCGGTATGCGCTGGACGAGGGCGAGCCCAGGATCTATGAGGATCTGCAGGACTACGAGGCTTGTAAAGCTCTCTTTAACGAGGTGTGTAAAGCTCTCTTTAATGAGGTTTGTAAAGCTCTCTTTAACGAGGTGTGTAAAGCTCTCTTTAACGAGGTGTGTAAAGCTCTCTTTAACGAGGTGTGTAAAGCTCTCTTTAACGAGGTGTGTAAAGCTCTCTTTAACGAGGTGTGTAAAGCTCTCTTTAACGAGGTGTGTAAAGCTCTTCTAGCTAGAAATTCTCCTGAACGACGAGAAAATCTACTTTAATGAGGTTTCTAAAGCTCTTTTAGCGAAGCGTGTAAAGCTATCTTTCTGGGCTTGTGTAGAGCTGTCTTATCAGCATGCAATCAGAAACAGCCTATCTGCTGTTGCTAGCTGTAGTCAATATAGGCATAGGCGTCCGCATAATAAGCCTAGTGGTTGCAGGGTTGGCGCTGGTGTGGTTGTAAGGTTGGCGCTGCTGTGATTGTAAGGTTGGTGCTGGTGTGGTTGTAGGGTTGGCGCTGGTGTGGTTGCAGGGTTGGCGCTGGTGTGGTTGCAGGGTTGGCGCTGGTGTGGTTGTAAGGTTGGTGCTGGTGTGGTTGCAGGGTTGGCGCTGGTGTGGTTGTAAGGTTGGTGCTGGTGTGGTTGTAGGGTTGGCGCTGGTGTGGTTGCAGGGTTGGCGCTGCTGTGGTTGCAGGGTTGGCGCTGGTGTGGTTGTAAGGTTGGTGCTGGTGTGGTTGTAGGGTTGGTGCTGGTGTGGTTGCAGGGTTGGCGCTGGTGTGGTTGTAAGGTTGGCGCTGGTGTGGTTGTAGGGTTGGTGCTGGTGTGGTTTCAGGGTTGGCGCTGGTGTGGTTGTAAGGTTGGCGCTGGTGTGGTTGTAGGGTTGGTGCTGGTGTGGTTGCAGGGTTGGCGCTGGTGTGGTTGTAAGGTTGGCGCGTGCTGTGGTTGTAAGGTTGGCGCTGGTGTGGTTGTACGTTTGGCGCTGGTGTGGTTGTAAGTTTGGCGCTGGTGTGGTTGTAAGTTTGGCGCTGCTGTGATTGTAAGGTTGGCGCTGGTGTGGTTGTATGTTTGGCGCCGGTGTGGTTGTAATTTTGGTGCTGGTGTGGTTGTAGGGTTGGCGCTGGTGCGGTTGTAAGTTTGGACACTGGTATAAGCCTACCGATCTGTCCCCAGATACTTGAAGACTACAACGCAGTCCAAGACTCGATGCGTCTGGTGCTGTTTGATGACGCGCTTGAGCACCTGACTCGCATTCACCGCGTGCTCAGGATGGACAGGTGCGTCAGTGAGTCAGTCAGTGAGTCAGTGAGTGAGACAGGTGAGTCAGTGATTGAGTCAGCGAGTGAATTAGAATCGATGTTAAAAGGTTGGTACCGATATACTGAATAAAACCTTAATACTAGAGTGTGATATGAACTTCACGAGGAATAGTATCGATCTATTGATCAAACTTTGCATCTGTTTCAGGGGCAACTCCCTGCTGGTGGGGGTGGGGGGCAGCGGGAAGCAGAGTCTCTGTCACCTGGCCTCACACGCCGCCAGGTGTGAGGTCTTCCAGATCAAGCTCAGCCGCGGGTATAACGAGTCCACGTTCCGGTAGGTCAGCCTGACATGTGTCTGACTCTTTGACTCGAGGTCAGCCTGACATGTGTCTGGCTCTTTGACTCAAGGCCATCCTAACATTGACTCTTTGACTCGAGGTCAGCCTGACATTGACTCTTTGACTCGAGGTCAGCCTGACATTGACTCTCTGACTCAAGGTCAGCCTGACATTAACTCTTTGACTCAAGGTTAAACTGACATTTGATTGGCTCTTTGACACAAGGTCAGCCTGACATTTGTAATACTTTTTAACTCAAGGTTAACCTGACATCTGTCTGACCTGACTCTTCGACATGTGTGACGCTGCTACGGTCGGGGTTTCTAAATGACTTGAGTGACTCTTTACCACGAGAAATATATGGACACACGGGGTGAACCCAACCATACTGACGTTGTTCCGGGCAGGGGTTTATATTTATCCTATCACCACTCAACCTGTATTCTCCACCTCCCCCCCCCCCACCCAGGGGTTTATATTTATCCTATCACCACTCAACCTGTATTCTCCACCTCCCCCCCCCCACCCAGGGGTTTATATTTATCCTATCACCACTCAACCTGTATTCTCCACCCCACCCCTCTCACCCCCAAGGGGTTTATATTTAACTCATCCTATCACCACTCAACCTGTATTCTCCACCTCCCCCACCCCCCCACCCAGAGAGGACCTGAAGACGTTGTACCAAAAACTGGGCATGGAGAACAAGCAAGTCGTTTTTCTCTTCACAGACCAGCAGGTAGCGGAAGAAGGTAGGGCGGTATCGTTATGGCTTTGTTATTTGACTAAAGCATTTGTTGTTTTTTTTACTGCGGTATCGATACGTATTTTCGCTGGAGAAGGTAGGGCGGTATCGATATGGCTTTGTTATTTGACAACTCTCCCTGGATTCCTGGAGTTGTTATATTAACTTACAACTATCCCATAATTTATGGAGTTGTTATATTAACTTGCAACTATCCCATAATTCATGGAGTTGTTATATTAACTTGCAACTATCCCATAATTCATGGAGTTGTTATATTAATTTGCAACTATCCCATAATTCATGGAGTTGTTATATTAACTTGCAACTATCCCATAATTCATGGAGTTGTTATATTAACTTGCAACTATCCCATAATTCATGGAGTTGTTATATTAACTTACAACTATCCCATAATTTATGGAGTTGTTATATTAACTTACAACTATCCCATAATTCATGGAGTTGTTATATTAACTTGCAACTATCCCATAATTCATGGAGTTGTTATATTAACTTGCAACTATCCCATAATTCATGGAGTTGTTATATTAACTTGCAACTATCCCATAATTCATGGAGTTGTTATATTAACTTACAACTATCCCATAATTTATGGAGTTTTTATATTAACTTACAACTATCCCATAATTCATGGAGTTGTTATATTAACTTGCAACTATCCCATAATTCATGGAGTTGTTATATTAACTTACAACTATCCCATAATTTATGGAGTTTTTATATTAACTTGCAACTATCCCATAATTCATGGAGTTGTTATATTAACTTGCAACTATCCCATAATTCATGGAGTTGTTATATTAACTTGCAACTATCCCATAATTCATGGAGTTGTTATATTAACTTACAACTATCCCATAATTCATGGAGTTGTTATATTAACTTGCAACTATCCCATAATTCATGGAGTTGTTATATTAACTTACAACTATCCCATAATTCATGGAGTTGTTATATTAACTTTGAACTATCCCATAATTCCCGGAGTTGTTATATTAACTTACAACTATCCCATAATTTATGGAGTTGTTATATTAACTTACAACTATCCCATAATTCATGGAGTTGTTATATTAACTTGCAACTATCCCATAATTCATGGAGTTGTTATATTAACTTGCAACTATCCCATAATTTATGGAGTTGTTATATTAACTTGCAACTATCCCATAATTCATGGAGTTGTTATATTAACTTGCAACTATCCCATAATTCATGGAGTTGTTATATTAACTTGCAACTATCCCATAATTCATGGAGTTGTTATATTAACTTACAACTATCCCATAATTTATGGAGTTTTTATATTAACTTACAACTATCCCATAATTCATGGAGTTGTTATATTAACTTGCAACTATCCCATAATTCATGGAGTTGTTATATTAACTTACAACTATCCCATAATTTATGGAGTTTTTATATTAACTTGCAACTATCCCATAATTCATGGAGTTGTTATATTAACTTGCAACTATCCCATAATTCATGGAGTTGTTATATTAACTTACAACTATCCCATAATTCATGGAGTTGTTATATTAACTTGCAACTATCCCATAATTCATGGAGTTGTTATATTAACTTACAACTATCCCATAATTCATGGAGTTGTTATATTAACTTGCAACTATCCCATAATTCATGGAGTTGTTATATTAACTTACAACTATCCCATAATTCATGGAGTTGTTATATTAACTTTGAACTATCCCATAATTCCCGGAGTTGTTATATTAACTTACAACTATCTCACAATTCATGGAGTTGTTATATTAACTTACAACTATCCCATAATTCATGGAGTTGTTATATATTAACTTGCAACTATCCCATAATTCATGGAGTTGTTATATTAACTTACAACTATCCCATAATTTATGGAGTTTTTATATTAACTTACAACTATCCCATAATTCATGGAGTTGTTATATTAACTTGCAACTATCCCATAATTCATGGAGTTGTTATATTAACTTGCAACTATCCCATAATTCATGGAGTTGTTATATTAACATCACAATTCTCCCAGGATTCCTGGAGCTGATCAACAACATGCTGACCACTGGAATGGTTCCAGCGCTCTACGCAGACGACGAGAAGGAAGGAATCATCGGCGCGGTAAGTCATTTGGTTGGCCTATTATAACAAAGTCATTTGGTTGGCTTCTTATACCAAGTCATTCGCTTGACTTCTTAAATACCAGGTCACTTATTTGACTTTTTTACAAGCTTTTATTTAACTTGTGCGAAATGCTACGTCCTTACGCCAGGGATCGAAACTTGCGAACGAAATTGTACCCACTTCTACTGAACCAATTTGCTTCAAACTTGACACTTAGGTCACCGATAACCCACAATGCAATACGACATGAACTTGGCATAATTAGATGTTTAGTAAATATTTAAATCAATCAAAATTTGCTGTATAAAGTGCTGAACTTATCGCGCTGTAACAAAAACATGGGTGTGTTCATATTATGTGCAAGTGGTTTTAACCAGCTGTTTGTGATGCACTCAAAAGACGGGAAACTTTTTAAAAATAAATTGATGCACCCCAATATTTAAAACTGTAAATAAAAGAGTGGGTCGACCATAAAATTTTATTACTTGCAAATAAATATTAATACTATCCACTTTTAGTAGTATTAAAGTACTAGTATAGTTAAATAAAATTATACTATATTACTTGGTATATAATAGTTTATAGGCAGATTTATATAAAGTCAACTGCTTTCAGTTTCTAACGTTTCCTGGTCCTGTACTTTATAACTTTATAAATAATGATGTATCATTTTATTTTAAAATAATTTTTAGTGCACAATTAAAAGCTAGTTAATACACTTTTATAAAAATGTGATTTGGCTGCTATGTTTTAGCAAACAAAGTAATTAATTAAACAATTTAATGGGTAACCAAGATGGGTATCTGGAGAAATTTAAATAAAAAATTTAATTGAATAAAAACTGCAAACGTCAGAGGAATTAATTACAATTTTGACAAAATTCAATTTACATTTCAAAATGTTTAATATATAAACATGTAAGGTGTAGATGTGTCTATCCACTAACACCCACATAAAAACTAAAAATGTCAGCCGTTTCACAATCCCAGCTTGCGAATAGGTTGAGAACATAAATCAGGATAAGTAACTCCAGAAGAACTCACTTAGAAATAGGAACACGAATACTTGTTAGCGTTTACGGTGAGGTATCGGTGTAAAGGAGTGGACAACTCTGATGTGTACGCTGTGAGCATTCACGACACATAAGAGCTCCGTGTTTGTCGGGCTGTTTGGTCGTGGTTTGGGCACACAGCTCCATGACTGAGCTACCACAGCACGCTCATCACGGCGCACACCGCTAACCTATACCACTAGGCTGACAGTGTGGGGGAACCAATAGGGTAAGTACAAAACAGGTCGACCAAGAAACATCTGGCGACGGGACCTGGAAGCTCAGACTAAAGATGGGCGTCATCTGGAGCCAGGATGAGAATATGGCAGAGGACTCTGGAGATCGTTGGTTGGCGGCCCATACCCCAGCAGGACAGAGGACTCTGGAGATCTTTGGGTGGCGGCCCATACCCCTGCAGGACAGAGGACTCTGGAGATCTGGTTGGCGGCCTATACCCCAGCAGGACAGAGGACTCTGGAGATCTTTGGTTGGCGGCCCATACCCCTGCAGGACAGAGGACTCTGGAGATCTGGTTGGCGGCCTATACCCCAGCAGAGGTGCCGGGCAGTGAAGATGACACCACGCTGAATTGTTGCGTGAAATGCTGGTACCCCAAGCCACAACGCCGTACTCTCTACAGGGTTCAATGTTTCTGTTTGTGTTTGCCCTGTCTCCGCCCCACTGCCAACATGACGTTGCTGATGGACATGAGCAGCCCTGACATCAGTAGCAGACCACCCCCCAGGTAGAAAGCTTCGTCATAGCCGCCGAGGTTGTCCTTCATGGCCCCAGCAAACGGTGGCCCCAGGAGGTTCCCTAAACCCTGGAACACAATTAAAATCCCGAAGGAGTTGGCCATGTGGCCCGGGTCTAGGATGTCTTTGAGGATGACAGACTTCTGGGAGATGTAGGCACCGGAGAGCAGGCCGTACACCCCACAGGCGGCACAGTACGGCACGATGCCGGACAAGGACGGCAGCAGGAAGGCGATGCCGGCCAGGGCGAAGATGACGAGGTTGTACAGGTAAGGCCGAAAGGGGCGGAGCAAGGACGTGTCCAATAGGAATCCAGCCAAGACACGCCCCACCGTGTCCACGATGCCGGCAACAGATAAAGCCATGGCCGCTTCCGGTTCTGGTATTCCTTTCGATTTGATGAGAGCCGGCATGAAGGTGAAGGCTGTTCTAAAGGCCATGGCGAAGAGCCAGATGCTGATACAAAACAACAAAAATGGCGGCTCCTTCAGCAAGTAAAAATGAAACAGTTTTTTCTTGTCATTTGACGATTTTGAGCTTGTTTCTATTGGGAAACAAATACTAAACGATGACGTCATACACTGACAAGTTCTCGCCTTCAGGTTTTTGCCTTCAGTGAGTTCACAAACCGCGTCAAAGTCCTTGTTCCTGATCGTCTTAGTAGTGGCAGATTTGTGTCCATCGTCTTGTGATTTTCTCTTGTGGGCTCTGGTGAACTTGTGATGTAAACTTAAAGGCCGAAACAACATCCCCGCCACTAACGTATTAGCACTGAAACCACCAATGAGCAGAAAGGTCCCGATAAAGCCATAGCCCTGAGCCATGACCTGCACTAGAGGAACCAACAGGAACGTTCCAATTCCAACACCGGATGTCCCCAGGCCGGATGCCAGCCCCACCCTCTTATCGAAGTACATGCCTACGATGATCAGGCCAGGGGCGTAGACCAACCCCCTGCCGACCCCGCCCAGAAGGGCGTGCGAGAAAAAGAGGAAGTAGATGTTGGTGGCGAAACAGTTGAGGAGGAGAGCTAGTGACATCAGACAACCCCCCAGCAGCACGCCCGTCCTGACGCTGTACCTGCTACAGAAGGCGTTGGCCACCGGCCCCATGACCAGCTGCAGCGTGCAGACGATGGCCCCGGGCCAGGCTGTCAACAGCGCGCTCTGGCCAAACGTGTCGAGCAGCAGGAGGAAGAAGACGCCTTCACTGCGGTCCAGCCCGCCCAGGATCACGTGCATGATAAAGCAGCCAATCACAACCAGCCAGCCGTAGCCGCCGTCGGGGGGTGGGTCGGTGGGTCCATCTGCTATCAGAGGCTCGCTGGTCTGTGGGCCATCTAACATGGGGCCATCTGCTATCAGCGGCTCGCTGGTCTGTGGGCCATCTAACATGGGGCCATCTAACGTGGGGCCATCTAACGTGGGGCCATCTTCAGTCTGGGGCCTGTTGGCCTTGTGGCCAGACTCTATCAATGATTCATTGGCGTTGTGGTCATCATGTATGAGAGTCAGGTGAGCTGTATTGAGATCTTGTATGGAGGACTTGGTCGCTTTGTTCTGTTCTCTGGACTGCATGTTGATGGGATCCCTTGAAATAAGGATGGTGGAGGGATCAGTATAACAAATCGTATAACATGATCAACTGAATACTATATAATATATATATATATAATATATATATATATATATATATATATATATATATATATATATATATATATATATATATATATATATATATATATATATATATATATATATATATATATATATATTTATATATATATATATTTATATATATATATATATATATATATATATATATATATATATATATATATATATATATATATATATATATACATATATATACATACACACACACATTTTCCCTTGCTGTAATGGTAAAACTCGGCCGAAATATACCATGACTGTTACTAACACTATAACACTATAACACAACAGCTGGTGCCATTGTACTAACCATTAAGGCTAACCATGTATGGGATGGTGTTGTATGCTAATCAGCGCGTGCTATTCAAGCTGTTAATGATGTTTGTCTGACGGCTTGTCGAATCGCGACGTGCCGTACGACAAGACACAATGGGTGGAACATGCATGTATGACAGAATGTTGGTCTTAAAATAGATACGTCAACCTATATATATATATATATATATATATATATATATATATATATATATATATATATATATATATATATATATATATATATATATATATATATATATACAATTCAAAACGTCTTAGACTTTTAACTGATATTTTATGAGTGTAACTGAACTATAAACTTACCTGTAAATCTCGATTGACCAACTAAACCCAACATGAAAGTTGTGGTGTTCACGTTTGTTAATGTCGGCACACGGTCGCACGTCTGTCTCTCTACCGCATGCCGCGGTTACAGATAGGTCACGTGACAACCGCCGTTAGTTTACCTGGTTTGTTTGCCAGAGCTAAGGTCAAGGTTCTTTTTACAAATTCTGCAAATATTGAAGATCTCGCTCGTGAGTGTTAGCCAACGGTAGCTGACGATAAATTGAGAGAGGGATACCCAAGGCTTCTCAAAATTGTACAGCACTTTTGAGGTCATTCGATCTTAGGCTGTTATTCTCACCCTTTAAGAGACACAGGAATATAAATCAAATGTTTCCTTGCTTGATTTTTTATAAGAGTTCTTTACTCTGTAACTTAACCACACACCAAACTTTGACTTAACCACACACACCAAACTTTAACTTAACCACATACCCCATACTTTGACTTAACCACACCCCATACTTTGACTTAACCACACCGTCACGTCATGGTGGAGTGTTAGTGTGACGTCACTATACAATGACGTGACGACATATACCAGACGCTAACCCACACGATGACTCCCATGGTAGTGTGACGTCACTATATAATGACGTGATGACGCTAACCAGACGCTAACCTACACGATGACTCCCACAGCTACGTCGTGACGCCGACCTGGCAGGGCGGGGACCAGCCAAGGAGAGCATCTGGCAGTTCTTCGTGGACAAGTGCGCCAACAACCTGCACATCGTCATGGCCATGTCACCTGTAGGGGAGACCCTCAGAACCAGGTGCCGGAACTTTCCAGGTGAGTCTTTGGGAGACTCTCAGGTGCCGGAACTTTCCAGGTGAGTCTGTGGGAGACTCTCAGAACCAGGTGCCGGAATTTTCCAGGTGAGTCTTTGGGAGACTCTCAGGTGCCGGAACTTTCCAGGTGAGTCTTTGGGAGACTCTCAGAACCAGGTGCAGGAATTTTCCAGGTGAGTCTTTGGGAGACTCTCAGAACCAGGTGCAGGAATTTTCCAGGTGAGTCTTTGGGAGACTCTCAGAACCAGGTGCCGGAACTTTCCAGGTGAGTCTTTGGGAGACTCTCAGGTGCCGGAACTTTCCAGGTGAGTCTTTGGGAGACTCTCAGGTGCCGGAACTTTCCAGGTGAGTCTTTGGGAGACTCTCAGAACCAGGTGCCGGAACTTTCCAGGTAAGTCTTTGGGAGACTCTCAGAACCAGGTGCCGGAACTTTCCAGGTGAGTCTTTGGGAGACTTTCAGGTACCGAAATTTTCCAGGCAAGTCTTAGGTAAGACTCTGGAAGATTTGCAGATGCCATAATATTCCAGGTACAAACTCGTTTTCTTGTAAATTATGATAAAAACTAGACGTGTGACGCAGTACAATTTAGCCGTACCGTGATGTAATTGTTGCAGGTATCGTCAACAACGCTATCATCGACTGGTTCTTCCCGTGGCCCGAGCAAGCTTTGTTTGCTGTGGCCAGCGTCATGATCTCGCCTGATGTGAGTACAGCACACTACACACATAGGGTAACACACTACACACATAGGATAACACACTACACACATGGGCTAGCACACTAGACACATAGGGTAACACACTACATACATACGCTAGCACACTACACACATAGGATAACACACTACACACATAGGGTAACACACTACACACATAGGCTAGCACACTACGCACATAGGGTAACACACTACACACCTAGGATAACACACTACACACATAGGGTAACACACTACACACCTAGGATAACACACTACACACATAGGGTAACACACTACACACCTAGGATAACACACTACACACATAGGGTAACACACTACACACCTAGGATAACACACTACACATATTGGCTAGGACACTACACACATAGGCTAACACACTACACACATAGGATAACACACTACACATATGGGCTAGCTCACACACGTCGACCCATTGACTCAGACATTTAGTCCTGATTATAAATTCTAATCGACTTGGACTTTTTAACTAAATTCCCATAAACATCGTGACTAAACCATAAACCTAACCCTAACACAGTCCAGACACTACAATACCGTGTTAGCGTCAATCTTGAGATCTATGTAGCATCCTGTGTGTAACATCGCACAAAGCTTGTTCACCAATCCACCTTACCCCCGCCCACCGACCCTCCCCAGAACCAGCTGATCCCTGGTGAGTACATCGAGGACATCGTGGCCCACTGCGTCATGGTCCACCAGAGCGTCAACGACTTCAGCCTACTCTTCCTGCAGCGCTGGCGCCGCTACAACTACGTCACGCCCAAAAACTACTTGGATTTTATTTTCTGCTACCTCAGGCTGCTCAAGGAGAAAGATCTTTACATTCTGTCACAGGTGAGTGAACTCAGATCTTAACTGTCACAGGTGAGTGAACTCAGACCTTTACTGTCACAGGTGAGTGAACTCAGATCTTTACTGTCACAGGTGAGTGAACTCAGATCTTTACTGTCACAGGTGAGTGAACTCGAGTTTATCGTCACAGTAAGATATTTATATATCACAGCTAAGTTAACTCAGATTTTCGCAATTCTGTACATATTGTCATAGCTTATACATCTTTAAAGTGAAATGTTTAAAATAATGTTTTTTTTTTGTTTAAACTTTAAACCAACCGTAAGTTGCTCTAAACTAACCAAACCCGCATACATGGCATGAATAACTAGACTTAGTTTGTCTCTACCAGTGTGAGCGTCTACAAGGAGGTCTGACGAAGATTGCCGAGGCCAGCCAGATGCTGAAGGTACTGAACGAGAAGCTGGCCGTCCAGAGGGTGGCCGTCAAAGAGAAGACAATCGCCTGTGAGAGTCTGCTGAAGGAGATCTCCCAGTCCAGCTCGGAGGCTCACGAGATGAAGGCGGCGGCACAGATCAAGGCCGAGGAGATTAAGGAGTCCAGCAAGATTATTGCTGTGGAGAAGGTGGGGGTCGGGTGGGGTGGGGGCGGGCAGAGTGCGGTGGGGGCGGGCAGGGTGGGGTGGGGTGAGGGTCGGGCATTCTTGGGTGGGGTGGGGGGTCGGGCAGGGTGGGGTGGGGTGGGGGGTCGGGCAGGGTGGGGTGGGGTGGGGGGTCGGGCAGGGCATTGCTGTGTGGGTTATGGGTCGGACGACGCTTTTCTGCCTGTTGAAACTTTAAACTACTTGACTGAAGTTAGTGTTGTACTAAACTGTATGTAAAGATGTACTTGCCATCATTACACTGTATGTAAAGATGTACTTGCCATCATTAGACTGTATTTAAAGATGTACTTGCCATCATTAGACTGTATGTAAAGATGTAATTGCCATCATTAGACTGTATGTAAAGATGTACTTGCCATCATTAGACTCTATGTAAAGATGTACTTGCCATCCCTCTCAGGCTGAAGCGGAAGAAGCTCTACAAGAAGCTCTACCAGCACTGGAGGCTGCAAGGCTGGCACTGGATGACCTTGACAAAACGGACATTACAGAAGTCAGGTAAAGTGTTTATCTGGCATTTTGTACACTGTGTCGTTGTACACACATCATGTTCGCTGCCTTGTTATGTACACATCATGTTTCCTGTGATGTAATGAGTATATCGTTTGATTTGTAGTTATGTAACAACAGGTAGACTGTGTATTTAAGTAAACACCAGGTACACTGTGTAGTTATGTACACTTGATGTTCAAAATGCGTCGAAGCTGTGCTTGCCCCGAGTTTGGTTTAAAAGCTGCATTTTAGAAACCCTTCTAGCCATTCTAATTTGAGAAGTTTTTTCTGTGTTCGGTGTGAAGGTCATTCGCCAAGCCCCCGCCAGCCGTCCAGACGGTCTGCGAGTGTATCGTGGTGCTGAAGGGGGTCAAGGAGGTGAGCTGGAAGTCTGCCAAGGGGATGATGTCGGACCCCAGCTTTCTCAGACAGCTCAAGGAGCTCGACGTGGACAACATCACGTCTAGACAGACACAGACGGTCAAATGTAGGTGGCGTGTTGTGGGGGGGGGGGGGGGGGGTATTGTAGGGAGCATTGTAGGCGTCATTCAACACAGACGGTCAAATGCAGTAGCGTAGCGAGGGGGGGGCGGGGGGGGGACATATGTCCCCGGGCGCCGACCTTAGGGGGGGCGCCAAATTGAAAGTTTGAGGGGGGGGTGCAAATGAAAAGTTCGAGGGGGGGGGTGCAAATCGAAAATTTGAGGAGGGGTGCAAATGAAAAGTTCGAGGGGGGGGTGCAAATCGAAAGTTTGAGGGGGGGTGCAAATGAAAAGTTCGAGGGGGGGGTGCAAATCGAAAATTTGCTCCTGAGGGGGCGCCAAATTGGAAGTATGTCCCCGGGCGCCGGGAAGGGTCGCTACGCCTCTGGTCAAATGTAGGTGGCGTGTTGTAGGGGGGGGGGGTATTGTAAGGAGCATTGAAAGGCGGAGGGGGGTCATTATTATGCCTTTCGGTACATCTTGTTTCTGTTCCCAATATTAATATGCCTTTAGCTACATCTTAGCTCTTCCCCCAACATTAATATGCCTTTAGCTTCATCGTGTCTCTGTCTCCATATTTGATATGCCTTAAGCTACATCACGTCTTTGCCTCCATATTTGATATGCCTTAAGCTACATCACGTCTTTGCCTCCATATTTGATATGCCTCTAGCTACATCATGCCTCTGCCCCCAGCTATGCTTCAGGGCATCAACGTGACCATCCAACAAATGTCAGCCATTAGCAGGGCTGGCGCGGGACTGCTCAAGTTCGTCGTGGCTGTCATGGGATATTGTGCTGTCTTCAGGGAGATCAAACCCAAGAGAGAAAAGGTGGGTTGTTGTAGCTGTCATGGGATATTGTGCTGTCATGGGATATTGTGCTGTCATGGGTTGTTGTAGCTGTCATGGGATATTGTGCTGTCTTCAGGGAGATCAAACCCAAGAGAGAAAAGGTGGGATGTTGTACCTAGTGGATGTCGTCTTGATTTAGTTGATGATGCGGTGATTTATTTTAATGCCACCATTTATTTAATAACGATAAGATTTATTTAATGACGCCGTGATTTATGTAATATATTTGATGTTGATGTGATTTAACTATGTCATGCTTTATTGCATGATCTGAAGATTGATTTAATGACGCCGTCATTGATTTAATGACGCCGTGATTGATTTAATGACGCCGTGATTGATTTAATGACGCCGTGATTGATTTAATGACGCCGTGATTGATTTAATGACGCCGTGATTGATTTAATGACGCCGTGATTGATTTAATGACGTCGTGATTGATTTAATGACGCCGTGATTGATTTAATGTCTCCTTGATTGATTTAATGACGTCACCTTCCCTTGACCAGGTGGCCACATTGGAGAGAAACTTCTTCGAACTGAAGAGAGGTCTGGACAAGATCAACAAACAAGTGGCCAAACTTGAAGACCTGTTGGCCAACCTGAACCTCAAGTACGAGATGGCCATGGCAGAGAGACAGCGGCTGGAGGAAGAGACAAGGCTGATGGAGAAACGGTTGATAGCAGCTGATAAGCTCATCAACGGCCTCAGCTCGGAGAACGTCAGGTGGTTGGCTTAGGTGGTTGGCTTAGGTGGTTGGCTTAGGTGGTTGGCTTAGGTGGTTGGCTTAGTGAGGTGGTTGGCTTAGGTGGTTGGCTTAGTCAGGTGGTTGGCTTAGTCAGGTGGTTGTTTAGTTGGTTGGCTTAGTCAGGTGGTTGGCTTAGTCAGGTGGTTGTCTTAGGTGGTTGGCTTAGATGGTTGGCTTAGGTGGTTGGCTTAGTGAGGTGGTTGGCTTAGGTGGTTGGCTTAGGTGGTTGGCTTAGTCAGGTGGTTAGCTTAGTCAGGTGGTTGTTTAGTTGGTTGGCTTAGTCAGGTGGTTGTCTTAGTTGGTTGGCTTAGTCAGGTGGTTGTCTTAGGTTGTTGGCCTAGGTGGTTGTCTTAGTTGGTTGGCTCAGTCAAACGGGTGTCTTAATCAGGCGGTTGTCTTAATCAGGTGGTTGTCTTAGTAAAGGTGGTTGTCTTAAGTGGTTGGCCTAGTCTGGTGGTTGTCTTAGTCAGGTGGTTGTCTTAGTCAGGTGGTTGGCTAAGTCAGTTGGTTGTGTTAGTCAGGTGGTTGTCTCATGTGGTTGTCATAATCAGATGGTTGTGTTAGTCCAGTCAGGACATGACAAAGACATGACGCCCCAATACGTGTAACTAATCTAACCCTAACCTTACAGATGGCTCAAAGATCTGGCAGAGCTGAGAAAAAAACGGGAACGGTTGCTAGGCGACTGTATAGTCGGCGCCGCCTTCCTGAGCTACGTGGGCGCCTTCAGCTTTGAGTACAGGTATGTCGCCTGGGGTGTGTTACCCCCTTACGCCACTGTATGAAAGGTTCAGCCTTATCATTGTTTAGACAAGCCTTTTCAAACGCCGCTGACAATGTCTGTATTTTGTCTGGGCAGACACGAGCTGATGAACAAAGTCTGGGTGCCAGACCTCCAGACGAGACAGATCCCACTGAGCAGCCCGTACCGTATCGAGGACCTTCTGACCACAGACGTCGAGATCAGCAAGTGAGTACAGTAGGTGTCCCCCCCCCCCCCACACACGGTGTATTGACCCCCAGCAGCTCAGTCTTAGCTCCAGGGGACACGTGTGTGGTGTGTCACTTGAAGGTCTTACAAGGTATATGTGACATGTAGGTCTGATGACATGTGATATGTGACATGTAGGTCTGATGACATGTGATATGTGACATGTAGGTCTGATGACATGTGATATGTGACATGTAGGTCTGATGACATGTGATATGTGACATGTAGGTCTGATGACATGTGATATGTGACATGTAGGTCTGATGACATTTTATATGTGACATGTAGGTCTGATGGCATGTGATATGTAGGTCTGATGACATGTGATATATGACATGTAGGTCTGATGACATGTGGTATGTGACATGTAGGTTTGATGACATGTGATATGTGACATGTAGGTCTGATTGCTAGTGACATGTAGGTCTGATGACATGTGGTATGTGACATGTAGGTTTGATGACATGTGATATGTGACATGTAGGTCTGATGGCTAGTGACATGTAGGTCTGATGACATGTGATATGTGACATGTAGGTCTGATGACATGTGATATGTAGGTCTGATGACATGTGATATATGACATGTAGGTCTGATGACATTATATATGTGACATGTAGGTCTGATGACATGTGATATGTGACATGTAGGTCTGATGACATGTGATATGTGACATGTAGGTCTGATGACATGTGATATGTGACATGTAGGTCTGATGACATGTGATATGTGACATGTAGGTCTGATGACATGTGATATGTGACATGTAGGTCTGATGACATGTGATATGTGACATGTAGGTCTGATGGCATGTGACATGTAGGTCTGATGGCATGTGACATGTAGGTCTGATGGCATGTGACATGTAGGTCTGATGACATGTGATACTTGACATGTAGGTCTATGACATATGAAACGTGACATGTAGGTCTGATGATATGTGATATGTGACATGTAGGTCTGATGACATGTGATATGTGACATGTAGGTCTGATGACATGTGATATGTGACATGTAGGTCTGATGACATGTGATATGTGACATGTAGGTCTGATGACATGTGATATGTGACATGTAGGTCTGATGGCATGTGACATGTAGGTCTGATGACATGTGATATGTGACATGTAGGTCTGATGGCATGTGACATGTAGGTCTGATGACATGTGATACTTGACATGTAGGTCTATGACATATGAAACGTGACATGTAGGTCTGATGATATGTGATATGTGACATGTAGGTCTGATGACATGTGATATGTGACATGTAGGTCTGATGACATGTGATATGTGACATGTAGGTCTGATGACATGTGATATGTGACATGTAGGTCTGATGGCATGTGACATGTAGGTCTGATGACATGTGATATGTTACATGTAGGTCTGATGACATGTGATATGTGACAAGTGTAGGTCTGATGACATGTGATATGTGACATGTAGGTCTGATTACATGTGATATGTGACATGTAGGTCTGATGACATGTGATATGTGACATGTAGGTCTGATGACATGTGACATGTGACATGTGACATGTGACATGTAGGTCTGGTGATATATGTAGGTCTGATGACATGTGATATGTGACATGTAGTTCTGATGACATGTGACATGTAGTTCTGATGACATGTGACATGTAGGTCTGATGACATGTGATATGTCCCACCTTGCAGATGGTCATCTGAAGGTCTCCCACCCGACGAGTTGTCCATACAGAACGGCATCTTGACCATGCGGGCCAGCAGGTTCCCTCTGTGTATTGACCCCCAGCAGCAGGCCTTGAACTGGATCAAGAAGAGGGAGGAGAAACACAACCTCAAGGTCAGTCACGTGGTACACGACCTCAAGGTCAGTCACGTGGTACACGACCTCAAGGTCAGTCACGTGGTACACGACCTCAAGGTCAGTCACGTGGTACACGACCTCAAGGTCAGTCACGTGGTACACGACCTCAAGGTCAGTCACGTGGTACACGACCTCAAGGTCAGTCACGTGGTACACGACCTCAAGGTCAGTCACGTGGTACACGACCTCAAGGTCAGTCACGGGTACACGACCTCAAGGTCAGTCACGGGTACACGACCTCAAGGTCAGTCACGTGGTACACACCTCAAGGCCAGTCACGTGGTACGACCTCAAGGTCAGTCACGTGGTACACGACCTCAAGGTCAGTCACGTGGTACACGACCTCAAGGTCAGTCACGTGGTACGACCACAAGGTCAGTCACGTGGTATATTACCTCAAGGTCAGCCCCGTGGTACACGACCTCAAGGTCAGTCACGTTGTACACGACTTCAAGTCAGTCACGTGGTACACGACATCATGGTCAGTCACGTGGTATATGATCTCAAGGTCGGTCACGTGGTACATGATATCATGGTCAGTCATGGTTGAAAATATCAAGTTTCAGCTTGCCTACCTTGGCTCAATGCTAGAGTCTCATCATCTCACAAACAGTTTGAAATTCTCATCAATCACAAAGGTCAAGGCCACAAATGGCACGTGATCTGTGTTTATAGCATAAGTGGACAGACAAGAAAATAATGTGTCAAACTTCCCCCCCCCCCCCTCCCCAGTGCTGCACTTTTAACGACGACGACTTCCTGAAACAACTGGAGATGTCCATCAAATATGGCTTCCCCGTCCTGTTTACCGACGTAGACGAGTACATTGACCCCGTCATTGACAACGTGCTGGAGAAAAATATCAAAGGTGACATCAGGTTTACTTGTTCATATTATCAAAGGTGACATCAGGTTTACGTGTTGATCACATCAAAGGTGACATCAGGTTTACGTTTTGATATTATCAAAGGTGACATCAGGTTTACGTTTTGATATTATCAAAGGTGACATCAGGTTTACTTGTTGATAGTATCAAAGGTGACTTCAGGTTTACGTGTTGATCACATCAAAGGTGACATCAGGTTTACGTTTTGATTACGTCAAAAGTGAAACAAACTTTAACGTTGAGTTTATAAAGAGTTTGACCAACTGAATTTGACCTAAAGATTTGGGTCATTGTCTGCTACACTCTTAAAGTACACTCCAGTTTTTAGTGAGTTTGTTTAACTTCCGTTATATATAGTATCATGTTATTGTTTTGTTCTAAGTTTCTTCGCCAAATAACACGCAAAACTGAATAAGTAAGATAAAAAAATCTTTCAAAGTACTATACTCAGATAATAATTTCTAAAGTATGAATAGTCAACCAATTTGTTTCGTTTTTCCAACTGTGTGTTGAAAACATTTTTAACCCACCCATGTTGATGCAGGCGCGCAGGGGAGGGAGACGGTGATGCTGGGAGACAAAGAGGTGGACTACGACAAAAACTTCCGGTTGTACCTGAACACCAAACTCTCCAACCCCAAGTTTGGGCCCAATGTGTTTGGCAAGGCCATGGTCATTAACTACACCGTCACGCTTATGGTGAGTTCACGGTTGGCGGAGTGACGTCATTACATTACTCATTGAACACAACACTAACACTTGCTAGAACCCCACAAACCCATCTGAAAACCCCCACTAACCCCTATGAAAACCCCCACTAACCCCTATGAAAACCCCACTAACCCCTATGAAAACCCCACTAACCCCTATGAAAATCCCCACTAACCCCTATGAAAACCCCACTAACCCCTATGAAAACCCCACTAACCCCTATGAAAACCCCACTAACCCCTATGAAAACCCCACTAACCCCTATGAAAACCCCACTAACCCCTATGAAAACCCCACTAACCCCTATGAAAACCCCACTAACCCCTATGAAAACCCCCACTAACCCCGATCAAAACCCCCACTAACCCCTATGACCCCCCCCCCACTAACCCCTATGAAAACCCCTACTGTGTTGTAGGGCCTAGAGGACCAGCTACTGAGCGTCATTGTGGGTTACGAGAAACGGGAACTAGAGGAACAGAGGGAGAGCTTGATCCAAGAAACTAGGTCAGTATGGCTTCCAGGAAACTAGGTCAGTATGGCGTCCAGGAAATTGGGTCAGTATGGCGTTCAGAAAACTGGGTCAGTATGGCGTCCAGGAAACTGGGTCAGTATGGCGGCTAGGAAATAAGGTCTGTGTGGTGTCCGAAAAGTAGATCAGCATTGCAGTTAAAAACTAGATTAGTATCGCAGCCTTCGATTCACTAGTGTTGCAAACCTTCAAATTTTGAGTGCACCATGCATTTTTTAAAACAAACATTAAAGGTTTGTTTTTTTAGGACCATCACCATTTAAAACAAGAAAGGTTTTCCTTACATTGGTCTTGTTTGAAGTTGTTGAATTTTTTCCACGGATGCAAATTTTAAGTCAAACATAAAATGTCAACATTAGCTTGCCAGGTAAACTTGAGCAGGTTGAGGGTTACCTGTGGAGTTTTACCTGTGCAGTTTAGGTGCGATTCAACTCACAGGTGAGTTCAAAGGTTGTAGATTGGAGGATGTAACGTTTTCATGTTTACCTCGGGAGGGTATTGTGTGGTCGAGTTAGACGTATCTGGTTGAATATCAATCGGGGTGGCTGTCACTCGGTTCATACTGTACCCCACGTGACCGCACCGGTGTGTACCAACCGAATATAATCAGACACTACTTTGATCACACAACCCAATATTTTCAGTAATTCCACTTTGATAAAGTCTAATATTATAAAACGACTTAAAGAATGCTAATAATATGAACTCTCCCCATACCCATTTTTACAGCTTCAACAAGAAGCTGTTGTATGACCTTGAAGACTCCCTCCTAAGAGAGCTCGCGCAGTCCAAGGGCAACATGCTGGACAACGAGGACCTGGTGCAGACACTCGAGTCCACCAAAACTAAAGCCTCAGAGGTCAGTGCTTTCATCTTTAGAGTCCACCAAAACTAAAGCCTCAGAGGTCAGTGCTTTCATCTTTAGAGTCCACCAAAACTAAAGCCTCAGAGGTCAGTGCTTTCATCTTTAGAGTCCACCAAAACTAAAGCCTCAGAGGTCAGTACTTTCATCTTTAGAGTCCACCAAAACTAAAGCTTCAGAGGTCAGTACTTTCATCTTTAGAGTCCACCAAAACTAAAGCCTCAGAGGTCAGTGCTTTCATCTTTAGAGTCCACCAAAACTAAAGCCTCAGAGGTCAGTGCTTTCATCTTTAGAGTCCACCAAAACTAAAGCCTCAGAGGTCAGTGCTTTCATCTTTAGAGTCCACCAAAACTAAAGCCTCAGAGGTCAGTGCTTTCATCTTTAGAGTCCACCAAAACTAAAGCCTCAGAGGTCAGTGCTTTCATCTTTAGAGTCCACCAAAACTAAAGCCTCAGAGGTCAGTGCTTTCATCTTTTGAGCAGCTAACAATTTATGTTTTTACAATGTCCAACATTTTAGGTTTTTAAAATGTCCAACATTTTAGGTTTTTATAATGTCCAACATTTTAGTTTTTTACGATGTCACGAATGTTTGCTGTTTCAGGTGACCTACAAACTTGACCTGGCCTCCAAGACGGCCATTGACATCGAGAAGACACGTGACGGCTACAGACCAGCTGCCATGCGCGGCGCCATTTTGTTTTTCGTGCTGGCGGATATGTCAGTGGTCAACTCGATGTATCAGTACTCGCTGGAGGCTTTCCTAGAGGTCAGTCATGTGTAGCAGTATATGGTCATATGTGTACTGGCTGGAGGTTTTCCTAGAGGTCAGTCATGTGTAGCAGTATATGGTCATATGTGTACTGGCTGGAGGTTTTCCTAGAGGTCAGTCATGTGTAGCAGTATATGGTCATATGTGTACTGGCTGGAGGTTTTCCTAGAGGTCAGTCATGTGTAGCAGTATATGGTCATATGTGTACTGGCTGGAGGTTTTCCTAGAGGTCAGTCATGTGTAGCAGTATATGGCCATATGTCAGTACTGGAGGCTTTCCTAGAGGTCAGTCAGCGATATGGCCATATGTCAGATAGATATCTACTGAGGTAGCAGATTTATAGCAGAAGCCTATATGACCGGAAGTTATGAACGTTTTGTCAAAATTCCAAATCATTCACACTTATGAAATAACTTATAATTGTTGTAAGTCGTAAGAAAGCGTATAGTTACATTAATGTAACCAGTATTATCATTTTTTGAGAGATTATTTTCTCTTCAGCCCGAAAATAAACACATGGCGTCAATGAATGTCTTTCGTTTCTAGGTGTTCGTCTTCTCCCTGAAGCGGAGTTTACCAGACACCACACTAAGGAAGCGAATCTTGAATTAATGAAGTGTTGGTGTTCTCTCTTCTAGGTGTTCGTCTTCTCCCTAAAGCGGAGTTTACCAGACACCATCCTAAGGAAGCGAATCTTGAATTAATAAAGTGTTGGTGTTCTCTCTTCTAGGTGTTCGTCTTCTCCCTGAAGCGGAGTTTGCCAGACACCATCCTAAGGAAGCGAATCTTGAATTAATGAAGTGTTGGTGTTCTCTCTTCTAGGTGTTCGTCTTCTCCCTGAAGCGGAGTTTACCAGACACCATCCTAAGGAAGCGAATCAACAACATCCTGGAGGCCCTGACCATGAACGTCTACAACTACGGTTGTACTGGTCAGTAGGACAATACACAGTTGTCTAGCTGGGGTTTGGTTACGGGGGCGTTTTCAAATTTTTAAAATATGTCTATATGTCTATATATATATATATATATATATATATATATATATATATATATATATATATATATATATATATATAAATAAATAAATAAATAAATAAATATATATATATATATATATATATATATATATATATATATATATATATATATATATATATATATTTATTTATTTATTTATTTATTTATATATATATATATATATATATATATATATATATATATATATATATATATATATATATATATATATATATATACATATATATATACATACATACTCCCCAACCTAATCTACACCAATGTCTGTACTGTTGAGCTACTCTAACGTCTTGTGTGTGCAGGAATCTTCGAGAGGGAGAAGCTGCTCTTTTCCTTCCAGATCACCATCAAGCTCGAGCAGCAACTGGGTCACGTCAAGCAAGAGGAGCTGGACTTCTTCATCAAGGTCAGTCGGTGGTCAGCTACGTGGGTGTGTCGTGTATGTGTTTATATGTGTGTCGTGGTGTGTTTATATGTGTGTTGTGTGTGTGTTTATATGTGTGTCGTGGTGTGTTTATATGTGTGTTGTGTGTGTGTTTATATGTGTGTCGTGGTGTGTTTATATGTGTGTTGTGTGTGTGTTTATATGTGTGTCGTGGTGTGTTTATATGTGTGTTGTGTGTGTGTTTATATGTGTGTCGTGGTGTGTTTATGTGTGTTGTGTGTGTGTTTATATGTGTGTCGTGGTGTGTTTATATGTGTGTCGTGGTGTGTTTATATGTGTGTCGTGGTGTGTTTATATGTGTGTCGTGGTGTGTTTATATGTGTGTCGTGGTGTGTTTATATGTGTGTCGTGGGTGTGTCGTGTGTGTGTTTATATGTGTGTCGTGGTGTGTTTATATGTGTGTTGTGATGTGTTTATATATGTGCCGTGTGTGTCGTGTGTGTTATATGTGGCACACGTTGATTCAATTATCTTGTTGTGTGTGTGTAAACTTAGTGTCGCGATGTGTTCATGCACATCTAAATGTGTCACATGGTAGCCATATTCAGAATTTTTGTTTGAGTTTGCGATTACTCTTTATTTTACCGAAACCCCCAGAATTTGTAATAGTAATAAATAAAAGTCTGTACTTGACCAGTGGCTCCACTACCAAGTCTGTACTTGACCAGTGGCTACACTACCAAGTCTGTACTTGACCAGTGGCTACACTACCAAGTCTGTACTTGACCAGTGGCTACACTACCAAGTCTGTACTTGACCAGTGGCTCCACTACCATGTATTTTCTTGAACAGTGGCTACACTACCAAGTCTGTACTTGACCAGTGGCTGTCTGTACTTGACCAGTGGCTACACTACCAAGTATTTTCTTGACCAGTGGCTACACTACCAAGTCTGTACTTGACCAGTGGCTACACTATCAAGTCTGTACTTGACCAGTGGCTACACTACCAAGTCTGTACTTGACCAGTGGCTACACTACCAAGTCTGTACTTGACCAGTGGCTACACTACCAAGTCTGTACTTGACCAGTGGCTACACTACCAAGTCTGTACTTGATCAGTGGCTACACTACCAAGTCTGTACTTGACCAGTGGCTACACTACCGAGTCGGTACTTGACCAGTGGCTACACTACCAAGTCTGTACTTGACCAGTGGCTACACTACCAAGTCTGTACTTGACCAGTGGCTACACTACCAAGTATTTTCTTGAACAGTGGCTACACTAGAATCCTTGTCTCACCCTCAGGGGAACACGTCCCTCCAAAAAAGCGAAATGAAAAAACCGTTTCCATGGATACCAGATGTGGGGTGGGAGGACTGTAACAGACTGGCGGGTGACTTGAGCAACTTCCAGAACCTTCGAGAAGATATCGCTAACAACCAGATGATTTGGAAAAATGTGAGACAACATTCGCTTTGTTTTAAGTCATACATTTATATCATACTTTCAGATCATTTGACTTATGTGTTGAATACTATTAACATATTTCTCCTTTGTGTAGAATATTCTAATCCTATTTTAATCCCCTGAGAACAGTAAGGATTGACTGTGTCAAAGAAAATGTTTACATTTTCCCCCTTCAATTGGTTTCACTTTCCAGTCGAATCTTAGCTCCCATCTCTCATTTCACAGAATAAAGTGTTTTAATGTGTTATTGCATGTAGCTGTTGACAAGACCCACAGGAAGTTCCGTCTGGATGCAGAAGATTTCTCTCACCCCCCGAGTCCCACCCCACCCCTACTCCTCACCCACACCCCTCACCCACACCCCATGTAACACCTCTCACTGTGTCCACAGTGGTATGACCACGACACCCCCACCCCCATGTAACACCTCCCCCTGTGTCTACAGTGGTATGACCATGACACCCCCACCCTACCCCCACCCCCATGTACCACCTCCCCCTGTGTCTACAGTGGTATGACCATGACACCCCCACCCTACCCCCACCCCATGTAACACCTCTCCCTGTGTCTCCAGTGGTATGACCACGACACCCCCACCCCCATGTACCACCTCCCCCTGTGTCTACAGTGGTATGACCATGACACCCCCACCCTACCCCCACCCCCATGTAACACCTCTCCCTGTGTCTCCAGTGGTATGACCACGACACCCCCACCCCCATGTACCACCTCCCCCTGTGTCTACAGTGGTATGACCATGACACCCCCACCCTACCCCCACCCCCATGTAACACCTCTCCCTGTGTCTCCAGTGGTATGACCACGACACCCCCACCCCCATGTAACACCTCTCCCTGTGTCTCCAGTGGTATGACCACGACACCCCCACCCCCATGTACCACCTCCCCCTGTGTCTACAGTGGTATGACCATGACACCCCCACCCTACCCCCACCCCCATGTAACACCTCTCCCTGTGTCTCCAGTGGTATGACCACGACACCCCCCCACCCCCATGTACCACCTCCCCCTGTGTCTACAGTGGTATGACCATGACACCCCCACCCTACCCCCACCCCCATGTAACACCTCTCCCTGTGTCTCCAGTGGTATGACCACGACACCCCCACCCGCATGTAACACCTCCCCCTGTGTCTACAGTGGTATGACCACGACACCCCCACCCGCATGTAACACCTCCCCCTGTGTCCACAGTGGTATGACCACGACACCCCCGAATCCCAGACGCTACCCCTCAACTACGACAAGCAGATCACACCCTTCCAGAAACTCATGCTGCTGAGGTGCTTCAGGGTCGATCGGATATACCGCGCCATTATGGAGTAAGGGAGGCTAATGTGTTTGTTTACAGCAGTTGGACGGTCAAGGGAGATAATGTGTTTGTTTACATGAGTTGGACTGTCAAGGGAGATAACGTTTGGTGTTTGTTTACATCAGTTGGACTGTCAAGGGAGACAACGTTTGGTGTTTGTTTATATCAATTGGACTGTCAAGGGAGATAATGTGTTTGTTTACATCAGTTGGACGGTCAAGGGAGATAATGTGTGGTGTTCTTTTACATCAGTTGGACTGTCCAGTTGTAGGATGTTTGTTCAAGGGAGAATGTTTTTGACAGTTTTCAGTTTATTTATGTTTTGGGGGGAAATATTACACAATAGAGTAGCCTATTCAACAACCGTTTGTCTGTGGGAAATACTTTCAAAAGAAAGACAACTCAACTTAACAGTTAACTTGCTGGCCAAGCTTCTCTAGTAACATTTATTTCCCTTTTAGGCCAGATTATTGGATAGAGTCAGGCTTGCCAGTTAGGCCAACACTCGTCTCAATCTGTGCTATCCTAACTAGCAATTGGAAAATTAAAAACAACAAAAGATTTTTCAAACATGACCTCCGTTGTGAACAATCTCTGACATAGTTCTAGAGTTTTCCTTCGATCGATCTGATTTGTCATTGAATCCTCAACTCCAGACAAATTGTAAAAGAACTTATGATAGCTTCAATAATTAGGTCACATGAATTTAACAGTCTGTAATTCAAATAATTGTGAAAGGGGTTTTTTTTTCACTCAAAAATACCTCTATGTTCTAATTGTAATTTTGTCCAATTCCAGTTACGTGACCTTGACCATTGGTGAGCGCTACGTGACCCCGCCCATCCTCAGCTTCGACAACATCTACGAGCAGAGCAGCCCCACCTCCCCCATCGTCTTCATCCTGAGCCCGGGTTCGGATCCCGCCAGCGACTTGATCAAACTGGCGGAGAGACAGGACTTCCACAACTCCAAGATCAAGTTCCTCTCTATGGGTCAAGGTCAAGAGGAAGTAGGTTCAATATGATTGGCTGATTTTAAATCAATAATTGTTTTACCCTCGTCTGACGCTGTACCCTCGTCTGACGCTGTACCCTCGTCTGACGCTGTACCCTCGTCTGACGCTATACTCTCGTCTGACGCCCTCGTCTGACGCTGTACCCTCGTCTGATGCTGTACCCTCGTCTGACGCTGTACCCTCGTCTGACGCTGTACCCTCGCCTGACGCTGTACCCTCGTCTGACGCTGTACCCTCGTCTGACGCTATACTCTCGTCTGACGCCCTCGTCTGACGCTGTACCCTCGTCTGACGCTGTACCCTCGTCTGACGCTGTACCCTCGTCTGACGCTGTACCCTCGCCTGACGCTGTACCCTCGTCTGACGCTGTACCCTCGCCTGACGCTGTACCCTCGTCTGACTCTGTACCCTCGTCTGACGCTATACTCTCGTCTGACGCCCTCGTCTGACGCTGTACCCTCGTCTGACGCTGTACCCTCGTCTGACGCTGTACCCTCGTCTGACGCTGTACCCTCGTCTGACGCTGTACCCTCGTCTGACGCTGTACCCTCGTCTGACGCTGTACCCTCGTCTGACGCTGTACCCTCGTCTGACGCTATACTCTCGTCTGACGCCCTCGTCTGACGCTGTACCCTCGTCTGACGCTGTACCCTCGTCTGACGCTGTACCCTCGTCTGACGCTGTACCCTCGTCTGACGCTGTACCCTCGCCTGACGCTGTACCCTCGTCTGACGCTGTACCCTCGTCTGACGCTGTACCCTCGTCTGACGCTGTACCCTCGTCTGACGCTGTACCCTCGTTTGACGCTATACTCTCGTCTGACGCCCTCGTCTGACGCTGTACCCTCGTCTGACGCTGTACCCTCGTCTGACGCTGTACCCTCGTCTGACGCTATACTCTCGTCTGACGCCCTCGTCTGACGCTGTACCCTCGTCTGACGCTGTACCCTCGTCTGACGCTATACTCTCGTCTGACGCTGTACCTCGTTTGACGCTGTACCCTCGTCTGACGCTGTACCCTCGTCTGACGCTGTACCTTCGTCTGATGTTGTACCCTCGTCTGACGCTGTACCCTCGTCTGACGCTGTACCCTCATATGACGCTGTACTCTCGTCTGACGCTGTACCCTCGTCTGACGCTGTACCCTCGTCTGACGCTGTACCCTCGTCTGACGCTGTACCCTCGTCTGACGCTGTACCCTCGTCTGATGTTGTACCCTCATCTGACGCTGTACCCTCGTCTGACGCTGTACCCTCGTCTGACGCTGTACTCACGTCTGACGCTGTACTCTTGTCTGACGCTGTACTCACGTCTGACGCTGTACCCTCCTCTATGCAGACGGCCATCCATCTGCTGGACACAGCTATAGCCAGGGGCCAGTGGCTGATGCTACAGAACTGCCACCTGCTGGTCCGGTGGCTGAGGGACCTGGAGAAGATTCTAGAGAACCTCAGCAAACCCCACCCAGACTTCCGTCTGTGGATCACCACCGACCCCACCCCCAACTTCCCCATTGGGATCCTGCAGAGGTCCCTGAAGGTGAGAGCATAGGGATTTGTTATGGTTATACGGAGGGGGGGGGTATGTATGCCTGACACTATTTGTTGGACATACAGACATCTAGTTGTATGACTGATACGTCAGGTGTCGGACTGGCACCAACTGCTGTATGACTGTCAGGTAAGTGTATATATATATACTGAGACACGGGTTGTCTGACTAAAAACTTGGTTGTTCTACTGAGTCACATCCGCCTGTCTTTGACCGGAAGTTCTAAGACGTTGTGTTAGATTCTGTCCACCTCCAGGTTGTGACGGAACCGCCCAACGGACTCCGCCTGAACATGAGGAGCACGTACCTCAAGATGCCAGCCACGGCACTGAGCGAGTGTGAGCACTCAGCCTTCTCCTCGCTCGTCTTCGTTCTCGCGTTCTTCCACGCCGTGGTGCAGGAGAGGAGGAAATACGGCAAGGTGGGTCAGGATGAGGGCGTGTCTAGGGCAGACTGGGGGTGTGTCTGAGCAGGCTGGGGGCGTGTCTGTGGGCAGGCTGGGGGCGTGTTTATGGTCTTACTGTGGGGTTGTCTGTGTTCAGGCTGAGCAATGTGGTTTTGCCTGTGATGTGCATGTATGCGCCTGTTTATTGACAGCCTTGTAGTTGGGTGTGCATTCTTGTGACCTAGATATACGTAACATGAGCATACATGTTGACGATCGTGTGCAGATTTTGGTACAACAACAACATTACATTAATAGGTGGGATGGAACGTGAGCTATGACTTTAACGAGAGCGACTTCAACACGTGCATGATAGTACTCAACACCTACCTGAACAGGATGGTGGAACAGGCTGACCCGCGAATCCCGTGGAACACGTTAAAATATCTCATCGGAGAGGTAACTCAGATATCTCGTTGTGTTTGGTGTGCCGGGGATAATTTGAACCGTGGTTCTGTGTATTTGATGCCATTAGCAAGTTAAATACCACTAGAATCTTGCTTGACGTAATGTTTACATGCATTGTTTAATCTCTAGGGTTATAGATGACTTTGTTTCTTGTCTCAGGTCATGTATGGGGGTCGGGCTATAGATGACTTTGACCGACGAATCCTGAGAACTTACATGGACGAATACATGGGCGATTTCATATTCGATTCCTTCCAACCGTTCCACTTCTACCACGACGAGACAGTCGATTACTACATTCCGATACCAGAGGAGCCGACCAACAAGGACGAGTACTTGGGTAGGTTGTTGGCAAGTGTGTCTGTCTGTTGTGTGGCGTGTGTCTGTCCTGCGGCGTGGTGTGTCTGTCGTGTGGCGTGGTGTGTCTGTCGTGTGTCTAACGTGTGTCGTAGTGTGGCGTGGTGTGGAAGAAGTGTGTATTACACGAACCGTATTGGTCGAGATACGTATCTTTATGTGTCGTATTGAGGTGGAGACTGTCATTGGTTTTTATTATGTGTTTTTTGTCTTGACAAAATGTATGTAGGGCCTACCACTTGACAGCACAATGCTAACCTACCACCCCCCCCCACACACACACACACATCACACACATATACACATACACACCACACCCACACACACCTTAGCCTTACACGCATGACGGTTTCCATACCAGCTTACATCGAGTCCCTGCCATTGGCCAACAAACCGGATGTGTTTGGTCTGAACCCGAACGCCGAGATTGGCTACTACACGCAGGCGGCCAAGGCATTGTGGGAACATTTGGTGGAGCTCCAGCCCCAGACAGGTCAGTCACGTGACCCACACCAAGGTCAGACTGTCTTTAGACAAGGTCACACTTTCTTTAGACGTGTAGTGTAGCTGCCAGAATGCCGAGATAAAACTATAACTAGCTAACAGAACAACTGGTACACTGTATCCTGCAGGTCATTAGGTCATGTCACGATTGCTGGTGTCTGTAAATAACCCGCTTCACTGGTCATGGAATCAAGTAAATCTACTAGGTTTAATAGAACGTTTTAAAGTGTATTCCCCCAGCCCCTGCACTTAAAGGTTCATCCCCACACCACACCCTCTCTCTTCTCTCTTTGAAAGTCTCCCCCTCTATAAACCAAACGCCTCCATTAGATAGATCCAAGTCTTCCACCCCTCCCCCCCCCATAACTATAAACTTTCACCAGGTGGATCCGCGTCCCCCCCTCCCTCCCTCCCTCCCTCACTATAAATCAACCTCTTCCACCATGACGATCCACGTCTCCCCCCCCCCTCCCTCCCTCCCTCTCTCCCTCACTCACTACCAACCTCCTCCACCAGGTGGATCCACGTCTCCCCTTCCCTCCCTCCCTCCCTCCCTCCCTACCAACCTCCTCCACCAGGTGGATCCACGTCTCCCCCTACCTCCCTCCCTCTCACCCTCCCTCACTACCAACCTCCTCCACCAGGTGCATCCGCTGCCGGCATCAGCCGTGAGGACTACATCTCCAACATCGCCAGCGACGTCCTTGAGAAACTGCCGGCGGAGTTTGACCTTGCCAAGATCCGGCGCAGTCTCGGCCTTGACATTTCCCCCACAACGGTCGTGCTTCTACAGGTAACCGAACGTTTCCTGTCACGTGATGATCTCAACCTTTGACCCCCCCCCCCGTTTGCTTTTACTGATGACCTTTGACCTCTACCCGTGTAGTTGCTTGTGTATGTAACCGTGTTGTGACCCATGCTAATGTGCTGACCTCTATGTTTGGTCCACCAGGAACTGGAGAGATTCAACCACCTGCTCACACGGATGAGGCGTTCGCTCATGACCTTGAAGAGAGTGAGTATCCATATATACAGTAAGAACATTTATGTATCTATTTCGGACTTTGGTCGGTCACCCCTAGCCAGATGATTTTTTAATACGGACTTTGGCCGGCCCACTGTGGCCAGTCCGCGGACTTGCCGGCCAATGGCCGAAATCAAGAACCATGCGTGGATCTGTTACCTTTATGATTAAAGAGATTTAAATTATGTCATTTAAGAGCTCATGGTTGAGTTACAAACATAACAACATCTTGTTTTCTGACATGGTGACGTCATCTAGGCCCTAGCGGGGGAGGTGGGGATGAGCACAGAACTTGATGACGTAGCACGCTCCCTGTTTAACGCCAACATCCCCAACATCTGGCGTCGTCTGGCGCCCATCACGCTGAAGTCTCTGGGCAATTGGATGGTGCATTTCCAGAGGCGGCTCAAGCAGTACTACCACTGGGTGAGTCGGGGTTAGGGTTGGTCGGCATAGGGTTAGGGTTGGTGTTAGGGTTGGTCGGCATAGGGTTAGAGTTGGTCGGCATAGGGTTAGGGTTGGGGTTAGGGTTGGGGTTGGTCGGCATAGGGTTGGGGTTGGTCGGGGTTAGGGTTGGTTGGCATAGGGTTAGGGTTGGGGTTAGGGTTGGGGTTGGTGAGCATAGGGTTGGGGTTAGGATTGGAGTTGGTCGGCATAGGGTTAGGGTTGGTCGGGGTTAGGGTTGGTTGGCATAGTGTTAGGGTTGGGGTTGGTCGGCATAGGGTTGCGTTTAGGGTTGAGGTTGGTCGGATAAGGGTGGGGCTAGAAACTGCTCAGACATGTAATATACAGCGTCAGTTTGCCTAGCATGTTCGCTTTAGCCACTTTAGTATTTCAGTTTTCATCATCGGCGTGTGAGGACTGATAAAGATTTACAATAGTGATACTGCTTTCTTACTTGTAGCCTACTTTCATTAATTTAAGATGGTTTACTTATAGATAGATATACTACAAAACCTCTAATTACAATTTTATTTTTAAGGGATTTTTTTCCATCGGCGTGGTGGACTGAGGGGGGTTGGGTTTTTAAGTAGAGCTGAAATAAATTTGGGATTTCAAAAAATTAAAATTATAAAAAATTTAAGCAACCGGTAAAGTTGTGTTGATTACAACGAAACACATCAAATCAAACATTCTTCTCTTTCAAATATCTATATCTATAGCAGTCCTCCCAGTTTTTTTTTTAATTATTTTTTTTTAACATTTAAAATAGTAGTAATAATTTATTTGGGAGTTTTACACAACTTGAAAGGCATTAACATTAATTGCATATATAGTAATTAAATTGAGTAAGTAAAATGGCGTAAGAGTTAGACTAAAATTAAGTGTGGAACTCTGTTTCTTTTGACTGCTAAAATTAGTTTACTGTGCTCTTCCTTAGATAACATATAAATAAACAACTTTTTTTTTAAAAATAAGGTCACTAGCGCGATGGAATAAAAGCAATCACATATTAAAAATTGTGTTTTTATTAATGATGCAAATAATATCTAAACAGACAGTTGGTTTTAAAACATTAAATATATTAAACCATTGAAAAATAAAATATAAAACATTTTATATTTCTTTTTTAGGCGAATAATCTAAATTATATTTATATGTACTTAATTTAATTAAGTTACAGTTATTTCTTCTCTAATTGTAACATCGCGAATATATTTAAACAATAAACAAACAAATTGTTGGACTATTTCCCTTTAATCTGTAAAATCATGAATTACTTCCCTTGTTTTACAAATGTCCTAGGTGAACGATTGCGAGCCAGCTGTGATGTGGCTGTCTGGGCTGCACATCCCCGAGTCGTACCTGACGGCGCTCGTGCAGGCCACGTGCAGGAAGAACGGATGGCCACTGGACAAGTCCACCCTCTACACCACAGTTACCAAGTACACGGACCCTGATGACGTCAACGACCGGGCCTCCAGTGGTAATTAGGCGGCTCATTAAGGAATCTTTTAATTTATTACAGTCTGCTCATTTCATTTTTCTACAAATTTACAACGACAGCCTGAAATCTTAAACGATTTCCTTTCTGTATTTTTAAATATAAAAAAAAATTTGCAAACCTACGTGCCACAAACCTACCTGCCACAAACCTACGTGCCACAAACCTACATGCCACAAACCTACCTGCCACAAACCTACGTGCCACCAACCTACCTGTGCCCAACCTACCTGCCACAAACCTACGTGCCACAAACCTACGTGCCACAAACCTACCTGCCATAAACCTACCTGTCACAAACCTACCTGTCACAAACCTACCTGTCACAAACCTACCTGTGCCCAACCTACCTGCCACAAACCTACCTGCCACAAACCTACCTGTCACAAACCTACCTGCCACCAACCTACCTGTGCCCAACCTACCTGCCACAAACCTACCTGCCACCAACTACCTGTCACAAACCTACCTGCCACAAACCTACCTGCCACAAACCTACCTGTCACAAATCCTACCTGTCACAAACCTACCTGTCACAAACCTACCTGTCACAAATCCTACCTGTCACAAACGTACCTGCTACAAACCTACCTGCCACAAACCTACCTGCCACAAACCTACCTGCAACAAACCTACCTGCAACAAACCTACCTGCTACAAACCTACTTGCTACAAACCTACCTGCAACAAACCTACCTGCAACAAACCTACCTGCTACAAACCTACCTGTCACAAACCTACCTGTCACAAACCTACCTGCCACAAACCTACCTGTGCCAAACCTACCTGCTACAAACCTACTTGCTACAAACCTACCTGCAACAAACCTACCTGCAACATACCTACCTGCTACAAACCTACCTGCTACAAACCTACCTGCCAGAAACCTACCTGCCACAAACCTACCTGTGCCAAACCTACCTGTCACAAACCTACCTGTGCCAAACCTACCTGCCACAAACCTAGCTGCCACCAACCTACCTGTGCCCAACCTACCTGTCACAAACCTACCTGCCACCAACCTACTTGCCACCAACCTACCTGTACCCAGCCTACCTGTACCCAACCTAACTGTACCCAACCTACCGGTGCCCAACCTACCTGTCACAAACCTACCTGCCACCAACCTACCTGCCACAAACCTACCTGCCACAAACCTACCTGCCACCAACCTACCTGTACCCAACCTACCTGTACCCAACCTACCTGCACAAACCTACCTGCCACCAACCTACCTGTACCCAACCTACCTGTACCCAACCTACCTGCACAAACCTACCTGCCACCAACCTACCTGTACCCAACCTACCTGTACAGGCTGCTATGTCCACGGCCTGTACCTGGAGGGGGCCGCCTGGGACGTGGAGAGAAAATGTGTCATCAGACAACCCCCTAAACAGTTAATCCAGGAGTTACCTGTGCTCAGGATTATCCCTATAGAAGCTCATAGGCTTAAGCTACAGGTGAGTTACCCAGCCATAGGCTTAAGCTACAGGTGAGTTACCCAACCATAGACTGAAGCTACAGGTGAGTTACCCTACCATAGTCCTAAGCTACAGGTGAGTTACCCAGCCATAGGCTTAAGCTACAGGTGAGTTACCCTACCATAGTCCTAAGCTACAGGTGAGTTACCCAACCATAGTCCTAAGCTACAGGTGAGTTACCCAACCATAGACTGAAGCTACAGGTGAGTTACCCTACCATAGTCCTAAGCTACAGGTGAGTTACCCAACCATAGACTGAAGCTACAGGTGAGTTACCCTACCTTAGTATTAAGCTACAGGTGAGTTACACTACCATAGACTTAAGCTACAGGTGAGTTACCCTGCCATAGACTTAAGCTACAGGTGAGTTACCTTACCACAGACTGAAGCTACAGGTGAGTTACCTTACCATAGACTTAAGCTACAGGTGAGTTACCTTACCATAGACTTAAGCTACAGGTGAGTTGCCCTACCTTAGTCTTAAGCTACAGGTGAGTTACCCTACCATAGACTTAAGCTACAGGTGAGTTACCCTATCATAGTCCAAAGCTACAGGTGAGTTACCCTACCATAGGCTTAAGCTACAGGTCAGTTACCCTATCATAGTCCAAAGCTACAGGTGAGTTACCCTACCATAGACTTAAGCTACAGGTGAGTTACCCTATCATAGTCCAAAGCTACAGGTGAGTTACCCTACCATAGTCCTAAGCTACAGGTCAGTTACCCTACTATGTCCTGTCTCTATGTCCTGTATGTGCCATGCAGTGGCTCTATTAGCTGTGGTTTACATTATGCTATACGTATTGTGTATGTTGATGTGCGTAATATGTATGGATCAGGATTAATCCCTTTATTAACAAACAACAACCAGCTGATCATTAATTTTTGTCAGAAGCCTTTTTTATCATCAACACCACCATGACAACCAATACCTTAACTAACACCACTATCAGCATCAACGGCAATACCACTACTTCCACCAACACCACCATGACAACCAATACCTTAACTAACACCACTATCAGCATCAACGGCAATACCACTACTACCACCAACACCACCATCAGCTGCCACCAGATGAATCTGAAGTCAACGCCCACCTTACAACAGGGCTACACCATAAAACCATATGGTTATAGACATGATCGATCAAACCATATGGTTATAGACATGATCCCGCTAACCATATGGTTATGGACATGATCCTGCTAACCATATGGTTATAGACATGATCGATCAAACCATATGGTTATAGACATGATCCCGCTAACCATATGGTTATAGACATGATCCCGCTAACCATATGGTTATAGACATGATCGATCAAACCATATGGTTATAGACATGATCCCGCTAACCATGTGGTTATGGACATGATCCCGCTAACCATATGGTTATGGACATGATCCCGCTAACCATATGGTTATAGACATTATCGATCAAACCATATGGTTATGGACATGATCCCGCTAACCATATGGTTATAGACATGATCCCTCTAACCATATGGTTATAGACATGATCCCGCTAACCATATGGTTATGGACATGATCCCTCTAACCATATGGTTATAGACATGATCCCGCTAACCATATGGTTATAGACATGATCCCGCTAACTATATGGTTATAGACATGATCCCGCTAACCATATGGTTATAGACATGATCCTGCTAACCATATGGTTATAGACATGATCCATCAAACCATATGGTTATAGACATGATCCCGCTAACCATATGGTTATGTTATGGTGTGGTCGTGTGATGGACCACCGCACGTCCATGAGCCCTCACAGCTCTTATCGGTACCTAACCCTAATTGGGGGAAAATAGTCAACTTGTCATAACCCTCATATACTGAGGCATAGATTGCTCCATCTGCCCCATAGCCCTTCAGGTCTAATACTTTCAGCTTGTCCTAACGTTCATATACTGAGGCATACATTGCTCCATCTGCCCCATAGCCCTTCAGGTCTAATACTTTCAGCTTGTCCTAACGTTCATATACTGAGGCATACATTGCTCCATCTGCCCCATAGCCCTTCAGGTCTAATACTTTCAGCGTGTCCTAGCGTTCATATACTGAGGCATAGATTGCTCCATCTGCCCCATAGCCCTCCAAGTCTGATACTTTCAACGGTGTTTTGTTTGACGTCCACAGAACACAATTCGAACCCCCGTGTATGTGACGTCAATGAGGCGTAACGCCATGGGGGTCGGCCTGGTGTTTGAGGCTGACCTGGCCACAAAGGAACACATCTCGCACTGGGTTCTACAGGGGTTGTGTCTCATACTCAACACAGACTAGCTCTACACATATACAATATATAGTCATACACATACTCAACATTTAGTCATATACATACTCAACACAAAGTCACACACATACTCAACACAGAATAGCCCTACACATATACAACACATATACTTAACATAGTTTTACATATACTCCCCACATAGACTCACTCATACTCTATACTGACTAGCCCACCCCGTACTCCACATAAAATCCTATACATTACAAATTGTCCTACAAAAACTCAACACATTTGCCCCACACATATTCAACAGACAAAATATTGAGCAGAAATTCTCCTATACGACAGTACGAACAGACATTGGTAAAAATAATGTTAACTTTTAACAAACGTTTATTCATTTATGACTGGTTACTTTTCAATTTGTATTGTGATTGTTGTCTTTGTTGATTCAAATAAATTTTGTTTTGATAAAATCAGAAAAATATTGTAAATTTTCGAATGTGTTGTATCCCATAAATTGTTGGTTTAAAATAAAATTATTAAAAATATAATATTAAGATTTATTCTTTGTAATAATTTCTTTAAACCAAGTTGTAAAAAATGAAAAGGTATGACAGCTTGCAGCTTAAGGAAGTGTTCTCTTAATTTTACTGGTGCTAGATCTAGAATTAATAAGTTTGGCATTTCAAAAAATGTAGTTAGGACGCTGACTTTACATAGTCGTCCGACCACTTTATTATTTATTTTTTTGGCTCGACCAAGTAAGTATGAAGGGATCAAAATATTAAGGAAGAAATCACAGGACGTACCATCACGGCGGTCACAAGTCGACTATTCGGCCACGATTAGAAATGAAAATTATGTTTGTCACAGCAAGAATAATATATACACGATCAACGCGCACCTGTATAGGTGGCGTTGACACGATTTGTGAAATGTGCGTCATTATGTCAAGGGTTCCTCGATATAGAGGTATCAGGCGCACTTTATTCCTATGTCCTGCTGTCGTGCTGTGGTATTTGAACTGCCATCGGCCGAGCTCGCTAGTTCTATCGTCTGTACTCACAAATTTCGACCGCAATTTATATGAGTCGGGTGTGTGTCTAGAACCACCGAACCTCCTAGAGTTCGATAGAACCCAAGTTATGAACCATTGCTGCAAAACCTATGCTAATTAAATAAAAAATCAAGATATTAACTTGATGTTCTCAGTTTCACCAATACGGGTCAAATAAAAATTGTATCCAATCGAGACAACTCTACAAAAAAATAAAAGGATTTAATTCAACGGCATGATGTTGGTAAAAATGTTGCATTTTTAATAGTCTTCACGTATTATATAGTTGCAATATAATGTGTTTTTAAGTTTGATAATAGATTTTGAAGTTATTTACTTGAGGAAGATATTATACTCCCCGATTTTGAAAATTAAACATTTAACTTCTGATAAATTCAAGGGAGGCTACTCATTAAGATGTTCACAGAGACAGTTTTCTTAACCTATTCAAATCAGAGATATAGCTGGTAACAATATTACGTATTTAAAAAGTATAGAAATAACTTTAGAAATGATTCACAAGCAGAAGATAAAATTCTCCACTGGATTTTTAAATAGAAACATTTTAATTGACAAAATATTAATTTTTCTAAAAGTATAAGAAAATAGCCTAAGACAATCTGGAAGGTATATAAAAGAGATGTACTAATAAATACATTGAGAAGTGATGGCAATGCTTGCATATAGGGGTCACATACAGGTACTTGTTACCTCATTACCCCTGGGAAGGTCTGAGACAAAGGCTAATCAATCACCATGCAGGTGACCTCATTAATTGGGGGTGGCTCACTAGAAAAACAATAGGGTGGGCTGGGTGCAATAGATAAGGGAGGCTGATCCACACTGTGGAGGCTGATATCATGTGCCCAGCTTGACTTGGAAGAGTCCATGGCCAGCTAATCTAAGTGCGATGTGCAGGGTGGTGTACAGTCACACCATAACTCAATTCAGACTATTCTGCTGACACTTCTTTTTGAAAAAAACAATTTGTGTTATCAATATTTGAACAGTTTATTACAATGGACATTATCAAACTCACGAGAATCATTTCTTTGTTATAGAGTGAAACCGTTTTTTTTCCCCCAGAGTTTACAAAGCAGCAACTTCAGCCTGAAAATAATTCAATTTGATAAAATATCTGTAAGCGGCTTTTCAACGGCTTATATTTTTTTAATAAAAATAAGTGTAATCGATGGTTACCAAAATATAACTATAATTTTTTCGCTTGCCATATTTTTAAAAAGATTTTTTTTTTAAAGCATGATTGCATAGACTACAAGTCTATTTTGCTCGTAAAAATTATTATAAGTGAGATTATGCCCGTTTTCTCGGTAAAAATGTTATGTGTGAAACTTGTACTGATTCAATTTTCGTAACTTTCTGACCAAATAAAGAAATGTATGATTCCGAGGGTTTACCCTATTCCAATGATAATCAAAAACTATATAAACCTCATATAAAATGCAGCACAATGTAACTCCCGAAATACGGAATTTTCAAATTGTTTGACCAAGTAGAGAAATTGTATCTTGCGAAGATATACTTAATGGCGATGACAAGTTTATTTTGCTCGTAAAAATTATTTTAAGTGAGATTATGCCCGTACTCTCGGTAAAAAATATTATCTGTAAAATTGTGCTGGTTTAATTTTTATAACTTTCTAACCAAATACAGAAATATATTATTCCGAAGTTTTACCCTATTCCTATGATAATAAAAAACTATAAAACCCTCATATAAAATGCAGCACAATGTAACACCCGAACTACGGAATATGTCCCCAATACAATTTTTATAACTTTTTTTGACCAAGTAGAGAAATTGTATCTTGCGAAGATATACTAAATGCCGATGACATGTCTATTTTGCTCGTAAAAAATTATGTCCGAAGTTAAATTTTGTCTTAACCTTTTGACCAAGTGGAGAAATTGTATCTTGCGAAGATATACTAAATGGCGATGACAAATCTATTTTACTCGCAAAAAATATTTTAAGTGAGATTATACCCGTACTCTCGGTAAAAATATTATCTGTAGAATTGTGCTTGTTCAATTTTCTTAATTTTTTTACCAAATACAGAAATATATTATTCCTAAGGTTTACCCTATTCCAATGATAATCAAAAACTATAAAACCCTCATATAAAATGCAGCACAATGTAACTCCCGAAATTCGTAATATGTCCTATGTACAATTTTTATAACTTTTTTGAACAAGTAGAGAAATAGTATCTTGCGAAGATATACTAAATGCCGATGACATGTCTATTTTGCTCGTAAAAATTATTTTAAGTGAAATTATGCAAGTATTCTCGGTAAAAAATATTATCTGTAAAATTGTGCTGCTTCAATTTTCATAACTTTCTAACCAAATACAAAAATTTATTATTCCGAAGGTTTAGCCTATTCCATTGATAATCAAAAACTATAAAACCCTCATATAAAATGCAGCACAATGTAACTCCCGAAATACGGAATATGTCCTATGTACAATTTTTATAACTTTTTAGACCAAGTAGAGACCAAGTAGAGAAATTGTATTTTGCGAAGATATTACTAAATGCCGATGACAAGTCTATTTTGCTCGTAAAAATTATTTGAAGTGAGATTATACCCGTACTCTCGGTAAAAATATATCTGTAAAATTGTGCTGTTTCAATTTTCTTAATTTTTTTACCAAATACAGAAATATATTATTCCGAAGGTTTACCCTATTTAATGATAATCAAAAACTATATAACCCTCATATAAAATGCAGCACAATGTAACTCCCGAAATACGGAATATGTCCGAAGTAAAATTTTCATAACTTTTTGACCAATTAGATAAATTAAATCTTGCGAAGATATACTAAATGCCGATGACAAGTCTATTTTGCTCTTAAAAATTAATTTAAGTGAGATTATGCCCGTATTCTCGGTAAAAAATGTTATCTGTAAAATTGTGCTGCTTCAATTTTCATAACTTTCTGACCAAATACAAAAATATATTATTCCGAAGGTTTACCCTATTCCAATGATAATCAAAAACTATATAACCCTCATATAAAATGCAGCACAATGTAACATCCGAAATACGGAATATGTCCAAAGTTAAATTTTCTTAACCTTTTGACCAAGTAGAGAAATTATATCTTGCGAAGATATACTAGATGCCGATGAAAATATAAAATCTAAGTTCATATCTAACCCTTATATAAACTGCACCAGCAGCTCATTTTATTAACTAGATCTACATATCTCCAGTGCAATTGTAAAACTGCTCCAGAAAAAAAAAACTTCTTCGGAAAATATTCTTTAGTCAACATATATACTAGATGCCTATGATAATCAAAAACTAAGCCCATATTATCTTACCCTTATATGAACTGCACTAGCCGTTTATTCTATTAACTAGATCTACATAATTATCTCCAGTGCAATTGTACAACTGCTCCAGAAAAACTTCTGCGGAAAAATATTCTTTAGTCAACATTTTAAAATGAATGTCACAATTCAATGTGAAAATGAAGTTGTGTCTCAAGAGATTTATCTTGAATTTTCATCGGATAAAAACAAAGTGTTCATTAATTTTCGCCACTCCGCCAGTGGCAATACCGACATTGAGACCACTGAAATAAGTTTCAACTTAAGCTCTGTTAATCAACACAACGGCCAACATATCAGTCGCTGTTCCCGTGATGAAGATGGTGTGGAGCCAATGGACATAGAATACAACGGCGTGGAGCCCATGGACATTGAATGTAGCCCGACTTCGGATGATCACAATGCCAACCGTTCACTCTCTCGAAAACGACGAGGTAACGTGTTCGACAATCTCGAGGTACCGACGAAAAAGAGAAAAATCTAAGCTCTGACTTGTGCATGAGTAGTTCTGCAAAAGTGCGCTGATGGACATTTTCTTTGCCTCGCTTTTATCTTCGAAAACATTGTCGCAATTTTCTTCAATGAATTTGTTTAAAGTATTTGTATTGTATCAATGGAATAAACACAACTTGTGCAGTATATATGTAATACACGACTTGTGCCATGAATTTTTTTCCATTAACTGTTTTGTGTTTGGTAAGAATAACGTTACAAGTGTATCACAGCATATATTGCTCAAGGTTATTAATACAATCTGGTTGCATATGTGGCCTTAGCTCTAAGCTTAATGTGACACGATGACAGAAATACTGGTAAGATTCACAGTGTAACATCAACACGTCGTTCCCGATTGTTTAGAGATAAAATATTTTGATCTTCCAATTGTAACGTCCCTTACATGTCCTCTTATTGTGTCTGTGTGTGTCTATGTTGTGTGCTCGAACGATAAGTACCCTACTTTTTGTGTATAGTTGTAGCCCTTGGTTGAGTGTGTTTACATGGAGCGAGAGGTATTCACGTGAGGTGTGTCAGGTGAATGTAGGGTAGCTGTGGATGTGGCTGTGGACGTGGTGTTTAGTACTGTTGTTTGTGTACTAGAACATTTTATCATTTATAATTCATTATTGTTAATTTTGTATATATAATAAATTTCGTATTATTGTTTAACAGTGTTATTTATTTTTATCTACACGTTGTGTTGTGTGTTCTACCCCTGGACTGTAGAACAACCCAACACCAATCATTTGCGAGATTAGATGGTTGTGATCTAGTTTTAGAAAAGTCATGAGAGAAGTGTTGCATTCTTTCAAACAAAACTAAGTTACAAAAAGTTCAGTGCTGACACATTACTATCAACATATTGAAACACATTGGCTTTTGACCAAGTATTGTTAAAACTAGACATTTTTGTTTTAAACAAACATAATCACTTAGAAGTAATAAGAAACAAAAAAAACGCTACAAAAGTGTAATTAAAATTGTATTGTTTTAATCAGTTTTAAACATGCATAACATTAAATTGATGACTTATGTTTTACAACTAGGAAGTTTTAAAGTCGATTTTTTCAATTACAAAAATACAGCTAACAAAGAATAAATATTCAGTGACAAAGCAATACATGTATACATAAAGTTACGGAATATAATTAAATAAATCTGAGACAAACTAGTCATAAACATCTTCATATCGTCTTCACCTAGTTAAATTAGAAATAAACTAGTTGCGATAGTGGACATATAAAATATTCTCAGTTAAAAGATAAAATTTTATGCCTGACTTGTAAATAACATTTTAATTGACTTAATATTATTTTTTGTTAAACCATACAGAAAACAGCGTAAGACCATATGTATGTAATATGAAAGAGGAGTATATTATTAACTAATGAGAAGTGATGGCAATGCTTGCATATAGGGGTCACATACAGGTACTTGTTACCTCATTACCCCTGGGAAGGTCTGAGACAAAGGCTAATCAATCACCATGCAGGTGACCTCATTAATTGGGGGTGGCTCACTAGAAAACACTAGGGTGGGCTGGGTGCAATAGATAAGGGAGGCTGATCCACACTGTGGAGGCTGATATCACGTGCCCAGCTTGACTTGGAAGAGTCCATGGCCAGCTAATCTAAGTGCGATGTGCAGGGTGGTGTACAGTCACACCATAACTCAATTCAGACTATTCTGCTGACACTTCTTTTGTACTTAATTGTACTATTTTCAACGGTGGTTTATAGTTTGGATTAAACAGATTTGTGTACATTACAACGAATTTGATCCTCATAAAAATACCATGTGAATCAAATTTCATTTAGTTACATGGGCATTTTATGAATTTATTAACATTACTTTATAAAATTTCGAATTTACACAAAATGTTTGTCAAAAATTGTGTTTCTTATAACACAGATTTAGGCTCTAGAGTTTCTTCCCATTTTAAAACTGATGATTGGATTTTCTATGAAAGGAGATTATGAAACACGAGCTTGTATAAATGAAATTCTGCTTTCACCATTAGTTTGCGCTAATGGATTTTTTACAACCGAGGTTTCTTCAAAGACAATTGTAAACAAGTACATTTGTATAATTGAAATGTATGCAAATTGTAATACTATAAAACAGTAAATTCAAATAAAGATTCAAAAATGTGATCTATACGTCTGGTAACTAGAAATGTAATTCATACAATAGGAACTTACTACAAACAGCAGTTTCTAAGGTGCGCGGACCTTTGACCACAGGTGCTTTGACCATAGGGGGTTTGACCATAGGGGGTTTGACCACAGCGGAGCTTTGACCATAGGGGCTTTGACCATAGGGGGTTTGACCACAGCGGGCCTTTGACCATAGCGGTTCTTTGACCATAGGGGGTTTGATCATAGGGGGTTTGACCATAGGGGGTTTGACCACATGTGTTTTCTCAGCAGAGGGTCTTTGATCACAGGTGGTCTATCAACTGGTGTTTGATCACAAGCGCTGTGTCCGGCTTTGATCATAGGTGTGATACAATTAACTCGATTTTATACATGTTTCCTGAGAGTACGTTAATAGAAATTAACATGTATTTAAAAAAAGCCAAGAACTATATTTTAGTCTCCACATAAAGGCTGGTGCTAGGCCTCATAGATTTATTTTAAATATAAATGAATCACAAATAATGCGTTATATAACAAGTTTCACAAATAAATAATGTAGATGTACTTGAAAATACATAGCATATATAAATGATAACAAATGATACAAAACTTGCCAACAATATAGTCAAAGATGTAATACATAAAATGGTTAACTAAATGACAGATGTGCTATAGCACGCAAATATGTCAGTACATCTGTTTGACCATATATCTGGACAGCACGTTGTACTTTTTCGTGCAGCATCTTGTATCGCTTCTCAGCTGGGTAATGTTTTATTTGGCAAGAGACAGTATAACGCAGCAGGGTTGATGCCGTTAACAAATTGACATAGAGTAGTTTAGATGACTTGTAATTATACATGATGATTTAACATATTACATCATGTCGAAATTTAAAATACAATTTAGCAACTTTTTAAAAATCCTTACCATATATGGACAGCATTGGACAAACCACCTGAGATCAAAGACCCTATGTGGACAAAACACCTATGATCAAAGCCGGACACAGCGCTTGTGATCAAACACCAGTTGATAGACCACCTGTGATCAAAGACCCTCTGCTGAGAAAACACATGTGGTCAAACCCCCTATGATCAAACCCCCTCTGGTCAAAGCACCGCTATGGTCAAAGCTCCGCTGTGGTCAAACCCCCTATGGTCAAAGCCCCTATGGTCAAAGCTCCGCTGTGGTCAAACCCCTATGGTCAAACCCCCTATGGTCGAAGCACCTGTGGTCAAAGGTCCTAGGACCGTTTCTAAATGTGGAATTTCTATTATTGAATGTCAACAAAAGTAGTTTATAAAAATACATTTACTTTATTATATGTTTATAAATACAATGTCTGGAGTTTAAATCAATGTTAACGCAATCGCCATTCCCGAGAAAAAGATAAAATTTGATGACTTTAAAGTAGATTTGAAGGCCATCACTTTTGGCCTATGCTTATCACTTTAAATGATCGCACTGGAAACGTTTTGTTCTGGAAGTATTTTCTTGTAAAGTAAATAAAATATCACTTCGTTGAACTTTCTTGTGTTTTATTTCTATTTTTCTTCCTACCCTATTTTGCTGATGATGATGTCGTTGTTGCAAATGCTCTGTAAATCATGAAGGTTTGTTCTGTTTTCTTAAAACTGAATTTGGATTAAATGTCCACTTGGCATAACTTGATAACATCTATAAGTCTGGTGTGAAAGCTGAAACGAGAGTGGAAATACTGAACAATTACCAACAAAGTCGCAATAACTTGGAAGTCCGAAAATTAAATTAAAATCTAGAAACATGGACATGAGTTAATTCACATCCGATATAATATACCCTCTTCATTAAACACTGCTATAAATGGACCGTCCACTCAGGTTGTCCTCATTACAATTTGGAATGCTTCCTTGATCACATCACCTTTAGACAACCGCATCGTTTTAACATTCTTTTTCACCACAGTTAACTCAATGCACTTCAGCTCAAGATTAATATTACTATCTAGATCTAGCAACATATAGGTCCCAATCACGTCTTCTTGGGATGAAAAATACCAAGTGCGACAAATATTAGTTTTGGCTTGGATAGGACAGCATTCACACAAGGAACGGAAAAGACAGGAATACTAGTTTGTGCTCTGAAAATTGAGTAGAGATTTGAAATATTATAAACTGAAAATATTTGTAATTGCATGTGTTAAGCGCTGAAGCACAACCTTCGTTTCTGGCAGTATTAGTTGACCAGGAGATATATTTGTTTTCTCTTCTAAAGAAGAACTTTGATACATTTGAAACATACACCAACTAAACACTGGAAACCTCCCCGCATCTTCAAACTCAACGTAAGAGAAGGTTGTGTGATCATACTGTCAGAGATATCAAAATATTTCAAATAAGTATGGAAGCTAAAGCTCTAACAACTATAAACTTTCAAAAGAGACGCTTATATGCCCCGAGTGACTACAGCATCGACGATATTGCCATTCCGAAGAAAAATATAAAGTTCGATGACGATTTCAACGTCAATGTGGACGCCATCACGTTTGGCTTATACAGTTTATCTTTGAATGAACGCAAAGTTAACTGTAAAGTTTCGCGAAAGCGAAGTTTTGATGCAATGAGCAACTACAGCAACGATGATATTGCCATTCCGAAGAAAAAGACAAAGTTCGATGACGATTTCAACGTCAATTTGGAGGCCATCACGTTTGGCTTATACAGTTTATCTTTGGATGAACGCAAAGTTAACTGTTTGGTTTCGCGAAAGCGACGCTTTGATGCAATGAGCGACTACAGGAACACCGCAATCGCCACTCCCGAGAAAAAGATAAAGTTGGATGACTTTAACGTAGATTTGAAGGCCATCACTTTTGGCCTATGCTTATCACTTTAAATGATCGCACTGGAAACGTTTTGTTCTGGAAGTATTTTCTTGTAAAGTAAATAAAATATCACTTCGTTGAACTTTCTTGTGTTTTATTTCTATTTTTCTTCCTACCCAATTTTGCTGATGATGATGTCGTTGTTGCAAATACTCTGTAAATCATGAAGGTTTGTTCTATTTTCTTAAAACTGAATTTGGATTAAAAATCACACTTGGCTCTAACACGATTACACCTATAAGTCTGGTGTGAAAGCTGAAACGAGAGTGGAAATACTGAACAATTACCAACAAAGTCGCAATAACTTGGAAGTCCGAAAATTAAATTAAAATCTAGAAACATGGACATGAGTTAATTCACATCCGATATAATATACCCTCTTCATTAAACACTGCTATAAATGGACCGTCCACTCAGGTTGTCCTCATTACAATTTGGAATGCTTCCTTGATCACATCACCTTTAGACAACCGCATCGTTTTAACATTCTTTTTCACCACAGTTAACTCAATGCACTTCAGCTCAAGATTAATATTACTATCTAGATCTAGCAACATATAGGTCCCAATCACGTCTTCTTGGGATGAAAAATACCAAGTGCGACAAATATTAGTTTTGGCTTGGATAGGACAGCATTCACACAAGGAACGGAAAAGACAGGAATACTAGTTTGTGCTCTGAAAATTGAGTAGAGATTTGAAATATTATAAACTGAAAATATTTGTAATTGCATGTGTTAAGCGCTGAAGCACAACCTTCGTTTCTGGCAGTATTAGTTGACCAGGAGATATATTTGTTTTCTCTTCTAAAGAAGAACTTTGATACATTTGAAACATACACCAACTAAACACTGGAAACCTCCCCGCATCTTCAAACTCAACGTAAGAGAAGGTTGTGTGATCATACTGTCAGAGATATCAAAATATTTCAAATAAGTATGGAAGCTAAAGCTCTAACAACTATAAACTTTCAAAAGAGACGCTTATATGCCCCGAGTGACTACAGCATCGACGATATTGCCATTCCGAAGAAAAATATAAAGTTCGATGACGATTTCAACGTCAATGTGGACGCCATCACGTTTGGCTTATACAGTTTATCTTTGAATGAACGCAAAGTTAACTGTAAAGTTTCGCGAAAGCGAAGTTTTGATGCAATGAGCAACTACAGCAACGATGATATTGCCATTCCGAAGAAAAAGACAAAGTTCGATGACGATTTCAACGTCAATTTGGAGGCCATCACGTTTGGCTTATACAGTTTATCTTTGGATGAACGCAAAGTTAACTGTTTGGTTTCGCGAAAGCGACGCTTTGATGCAATGAGCGACTACAGGAACACCGCAATCGCCACTCCCGAGAAAAAGATAAAGTTGGATGACTTTAACGTAGATTTGAAGGCCATCACTTTTGGCCTATGCTTATCACTTTAAATGATCGCACTGGAAACGTTTTGTTCTGGAAGTATTTTCTTGTAAAGTAAATAAAATATCACTTCGTTGAACTTTCTTGTGTTTTATTTCTATTTTTCTTCCTACCCAATTTTGCTGATGATGATGTCGTTGTTGCAAATACTCTGTAAATCATGAAGGTTTGTTCTATTTTCTTAAAACTGAATTTGGATTAAAAATCACACTTGGCTCTAACACGATTACACCTATAAGTCTGGTGTGAAAGCTGAAACGAGAGTGGAAATACTGAACAATTACCAACAAAGTCGCAATAACTTGGAAGTCCGAAAATTAAATTAAAATCTAGAAACATGGACATGAGTTAATTCACATCCGATATAATATACCCTCTTCATTAAACACTGCTATAAATGGACCGTCCACTCAGGTTGTCCTCATTACAATTTGGAATGCTTCCTTGATCACATCACCTTTAGACAACCGCATCGTTTTAACATTCTTTTTCACCACAGTTAACTCAATGCACTTCAGCTCAAGATTAATATTACTATCTAGATCTAGCAACATATAGGTCCCAATCACGTCTTCTTGGGATGAAAAATACCAAGTGCGACAAATATTAGTTTTGGCTTGGATAGGACAGCATTCACACAAGGAACGGAAAAGACAGGAATACTAGTTTGTGCTCTGAAAATTGAGTAGAGATTTGAAATATTATAAACTGAAAATATTTGTAATTGCATGTGTTAAGCGCTGAAGCACAACCTTCGTTTCTGGCAGTATTAGTTGACCAGGAGATATATTTGTTTTCTCTTCTAAAGAAGAACTTTGATACATTTGAAACATACACCAACTAAACACTGGAAACCTCCCCGCATCTTCAAACTCAACGTAAGAGAAGGTTGTGTGATCATACTGTCAGAGATATCAAAATATTTCAAATAAGTATGGAAGCTAAAGCTCTAACAACTATAAACTTTCAAAAGAGACGCTTATATGCCCCGAGTGACTACAGCATCGACGATATTGCCATTCCGAAGAAAAATATAAAGTTCGATGACGATTTCAACGTCAATGTGGACGCCATCACGTTTGGCTTATACAGTTTATCTTTGAATGAACGCAAAGTTAACTGTAAAGTTTCGCGAAAGCGACGCTTTGATGCAATGAGCGACTACAGGAACGATGATATTGCCATTCCGAAGAAAAAGACAAAGTTCGATGACGATTTCAACGTCGATTTGGAGGCCATCACGTTTGGCTTATACAGTTTATCTTTGGATGAACGCAAAGTTAACTGTTTGGTTTCGCGAAAGCGACGCTTTGATGCAATGAGCGACTACAGGAACACCGCAATCGCCACTCCCGAGAAAAAGATAAAGTTGGATGACTTTAACGTAGATTTGAAGGCCATCACTTTTGGCCTATGCTTATCACTTTAAATGATCGCACTGGAAACGTTTTGTTCTGGAAGTATTTTCTTGTAAAGTAAATAAAATATCACTTCGTTGAACTTTCTTGTGTTTTATTTCTATTTTTCTTCCTACCCAATTTTGCTGATGATGATGTCGTTGTTGCAAATACTCTGTAAATCATGAAGGTTTGTTCTATTTTCTTAAAACTGAATTTGGATTAAAAATCACACTTGGCTCTAACACGATTACACCTATAAGTCTGGTGTGAAAGCTGAAACGAGAGTGGAAATACTGAACAATTACCAACAAAGTCGCAATAACTTGGAAGTCCGAAAATTAAATTAAAATCTAGAAACATGGACATGAGTTAATTCACATCCGATATAATATACCCTCTTCATTAAACACTGCTATAAATGGACCGTCCACTCAGGTTGTCCTCATTACAATTTGGAATGCTTCCTTGATCACATCACCTTTAGACAACCGCATCGTTTTAACATTCTTTTTCACCACAGTTAACTCAATGCACTTCAGCTCAAGATTAATATTACTATCTAGATCTAGCAACATATAGGTCCCAATCACGTCTTCTTGGGATGAAAAATACCAAGTGCGACAAATATTAGTTTTGGCTTGGATAGGACAGCATTCACACAAGGAACGGAAAAGACAGGAATACTAGTTTGTGCTCTGAAAATTGAGTAGAGATTTGAAATATTATAAACTGAAAATATTTGTAATTGCATGTGTTAAGCGCTGAAGCACAACCTTCGTTTCTGGCAGTATTAGTTGACCAGGAGATATATTTGTTTTCTCTTCTAAAGAAGAACTTTGATACATTTGAAACATACACCAACTAAACACTGGAAACCTCCCCGCATCTTCAAACTCAACGTAAGAGAAGGTTGTGTGATCATACTGTCAGAGATATCAAAATATTTCAAATAAGTATGGAAGCTAAAGCTCTAACAACTATAAACTTTCAAAAGAGACGCTTATATGCCC